TGTTTTTATCTTATCATTTACCCTTGTAACTTTTTAAAAACGGATTTTAGTGGTTCAACGAAAGCACAAAAGAATGCAGATATTTCACTTGGTTCCTTTTTGATGCGCGTTAGCGCGTGTTAGGATGTGGTGCATCATTGTACTCCTTTTAGTGCTACACTGATGTCCGCATGTTGGCACATGGAACCCACAAACAGGCTTACGTTTGGTGAACTCCGAGAACAACTTGAAGCTATTCAGGATGAACACATACTGCTGATTGGACGAGCGGGTCTGCCATTGTTACCGAGGAACCTGCCGCTCTCACGTCTTGATGCGCAACGTCTTCCCAACCCATATCTGGAAGTGCTTTAGCTGGATTTCGAAAGTACTGTATAGTAGAGTTAGGCCAATGGCTGTTGATTTGTTTAGTTAGGTAAAGACATCGCTGTCATTCTCATTCCAGATCGGCCCTATTTGCGAAACAACTTCTTCAGTTACTGTACGAGTACGTTACCTTTTTAGCTGTGGTGCTGCTAATACGGTACAATAGCGAAAAGCACCCTGCGTGCGTTGTGTCGTTTTTATACAGAAGTGCATGATTTTGGTTATGTTTACAGTTTACCTTCGTATATTATTTGTTTACCTAAGTATATTGTTTTATTTAACTCAGAAAGCCGCTCCACCTGTTTTCTTATTCAACGTCGAAGTCTCGAGATTCAACGTGGTAATGCTCAAAGTGTTTTGGGAACTGTTCCGTCCCATGCTAATTGGATCTTTTATTTAGATCATGCACACGTAAGGCGTTGTCGCTTGTCTAACATACTGATTAAAGTTAATAAACATTCCAGTTAATAACAGCTAACAAGGGTTGCCATAATATGTTTATCCATTTAGGAATTGCACTAGAGTGATATTAATAACTAGAAGTTCGGGCACAGTACTGCTAATATAGATATCATGTTGCACTACATATTACAGCATACAGAATCAACCAACGCAGACAAATTGCAAGTGTTTTGAAAACGAGAAGCGGCACTTTCAATCGCATGCAAATTCAGGAAATGACAGGAATTGGTAACGGCAATTAACCAGTGACGTTAGCCGACACCAAAGGTTATTTCCGCAAAAACAAACGGCGAACATGATCAACAGAAGTTAGCACTCCTCAGACGAATCCTACGTAAACTGCACCTCCGCGAGCAGCATATCCTAGTAATGCCTTGGTGGTGACGTCAAACGAGACACTGAATACCTAGAAATTAAGCATAGGTAAAATTATCTATTTCTCGAAAACTGTTGCCGATGTCGAACAGTGTCGCTTTTGCTGTTCATATCCCGTGAAAGTCGGTTGAAATATGAGAAGGAAGCGTTCATTCCGCCCAAGAGAGATAGAGAGAGACCGCGGTCGGTATTTTCCATGTGGACTTTAATTACTGCTCGGCATGACATCAGCATTGTTTTTCCGTCACACCAATCGATAGTTTTGGGGAAATCAGTAATACTATTAAACATGTATACTAGGAAAATGCACTACTGCGTGCATTGGTAGGCCGGAGCGCAGCGTTAAGAATTGTGGAGAGTTTGTCAACGCATACAGACAACAGAGCATATGATCTATCGATGCGTTTTTGTTAACGGGCCAAAGCTCCCATATGATATGACTTAATTATGACATTTTCAAAAGTTTATTTTATCCAGTTAAACTTTCTTTTTGCTTGACCCATTGAAGCGGTTGGAAAGGTTTCATATTTTTATTACTGGTTGCACGCACATCCTTCCTGAGACTCTGAGTCCTGTGGCGCGTTACATAATAACTGTTGACCACACGACTTTCTAGCGGACTTGTGTTCACTGCCGTGTAGCCATCAAGGCAAAATTGAAATTTTAAAAACTCGAAATTATTCAACTTTCTATACATGGATGACCAACCGATCTTTCACGTATGCAAATATCAGTCATTTCGAGTGCACTTCGGCATTGCACCCAGTCCAGTTCCGGGCAGTTCTGGTTAATGGTACTGGTAGTGGTTGTGGTTGGTTCTGGTAAGATTAGTGGTACTGGTGATGGTAAAGGTACTGGCAGTGGTTATGCTAGTGGTGGGGTAACTACACAGTTTTCTTACTTCTCCGTATTCGAGTTTCTAATGTGTTTTATGTTTTCCTAAGCTTACTTGTGAAGTCTTATGTTTTTTCTCAGGTTTTCTATGTTTAACTGTTAAATTCTTAGGCTTTCCTGCTGTTTTAATTTTCTCAAATTCAACCGTTTTCTTGCGACTTAGAAGCTTCAGGTGTAGTTTTCCTGGTACGCACCGAAACACAAAAAAAACACGAAAATAACTTCAATAACAAAGAAAATCGACAAAGCTGACAAGCCTATGAAGCCCTAGCAAACTGAGAAACCCCATGTAATCTAAGACATCGTAAAAAAACAAATGAGAAACTAAGAATCCTAGCAAAACCTAGCAATCTAAGTAAACTGTGTAGGTACAGTACCACCGTCATAATCACTACCAGTCCCTTTACCACCAGCACCACCTTCCAAAGCGCAGCACGAATGTTTGCAACTTTGCGGCGGTTAGTGTCCGAGACATTGTGCGCTGTACTTGCGCTGTACAAGTTAGCATTGTTTGTCTCCTGAAATTTTTTAACCACTTGTCGACGTGTGTCTGTTTTTTGCCTGTATGACCTTATTTTTTTGCACTTTTGTTTCGCTCCCTACTCATTGAGCGTTGTTGCCTAACGTCTTCGGGATTGCTGGGAATCGGTATGTTGATTTACTACGTCCCCGCACCTTGTATGGGAACGCTAATGAGGAAGTTGCGGGATAAGGAAGGGAGGACGTAATAAGGAAGATGCGGAATAAGGCAGTGATGACGTAATAAGGAAGTGACCTGCCACTTCCGTAACAGACAGACGGACGGACAGACAGACAGATTCCCAGTTTTGTTGAATTAGAGGACCTTCGCCGCGCTCCGGTTGATTATTGACAATCGCTGTACTCTCAGCATAAGTTAATAACAAATGTTACCAGAAAGCTTAAAACGTTTGCACAATCAGAGTACAGAGCTTGCGAAAGTCAAGTCGTTTGCGCCAAATAATACTGTACTAGCAACAGAAAACAGCAAGTCGAAATAACAAGACTAATGAGGCATTCCGATTTTTTCGGGTTTGTAGCCTAGCGGGGTGGGCTGTGGCAACTTTTTCATCACCGGTGCCATCTTGACTAATTACCCGATTCGATGAAGCGACTCATACGCGGTACGACCTATAAACCGGAGAAGTTTTTATGATCAGGCGCGCTAACAATTGTAATCATGTACTTTTTACCGTTCTTTTTGGTGTTAATATATTAGTATATTACTATCGAGACTAAATACGTACAGTAGTTTTTTCCAGCAACGCTGTTGCGAAAACTTCTATATATCTGGTGAATATCTTCGAATACACGCATAAAAAAGTTCTTCTGTTCAATATAATGAACGACGCTTATGAGACGGCCATAACAAGGCAAACAAAAGTAGGGAAGTTTTAAATTATTTATAGCACAAAGCTCTAGGAGCGAATCATTTTTTGCCGATACCGACCAACATGGATCCAGAACTGAGTGAACCATATCATGTGTGATATCCTTGATTTTGTAAACGTATTCATGATCCCCAAACGGCGATCGGAAGTTTCAAGCAATATTATAGTTGAGGGTCGCACCGCTCGACAACGAGCGTTGAAGAGAAAATTCCGTATGGCGAATATGGTGTTCGCCGTGTTTGCCTGGAATACAGTACTTTGTGTATGTGCGCGGTACCTGTCGCGGTTGCGATCGTCCCAGATGCCTTCTTCAATGCACCCATGGTTGTACTCTGGATATCTGCGGTGACGTGTTAGGATATACGTTTAATCCGGTAAGGGAACAGTCGGTTTAAAATTTCTGGTCGACGTGGTCGTTATACGTAGGTAAATATCACTCAATCATTGTATGGCCTTGTATATCCTACATATTTTGCTTCTACTATTTGAAGTCTGCATAATACGAGTACCATTAGAACGAAATCGTAAATCGCTGCGTGTAACCGTTTTTTAGGTAATCTGCTACGCGATGAATTATCAATACAAAACAGCCATAATCCGACAAATCGAGTCTGGATTTGCCGGATTGTCGGAGTGCGCTCGAAATCTCAGGGAAATGAGTCAAACCATATTTTCAGGTTCTGGACACTAGCCACTAGAGTAGTCACTTTTGGTTTTTCCAGCTCTTTGTGCATGCCGCACTAAGACAGTTACAGTTTAAAAATGAAAAATTAGACGTAATTAAGTGTTCAGTTTGTACAGATGTGCTACCAATCTTCGCACAACATTAGAAAGCAAAATAAAGGCATTCAAAAGGTTTTGGTGCGGAGCTACTTTTCTGTTAAGTTTTATTTGGCAGCGTTAAACTTGTGTTAACTAGCAAAATGAAAAATCAACGATTAATTTCAGAATGTCATAAGCTTTACTTACATTGAAGTTGCCCAGATGTTTGTTCACGTAGACGTCGTACTGACGTCGTATTGATAAATACGACGTCAGTACGACGTCCACGCAAGGTTGTTTTCAAGTTATTTGCAGAGTGATAATTACAGATCGTGACAATAACTGCCGACATAGTTCGCGTCCGTGTGTCGCTTAATACTTTTAAATTGTCGCCTGGTTTCAAGCACAATTCTGGCGTTGCCGAAATGCGCGATATCAGTTGATACAGGGAAATGTCAAGCGGCTGCAATTAGGAGCATGACAGCTTAGAACATGGCACAGAACAAGCGCAGAAAAACATTAGCGAACCTAACATTGCACAACTTGGATGATATGAATAACGTGCCAACCTTTACATGCAGTACACTGCCCGTTGACGCCCATTGGTGTTAGCCGAGTACATAGTATAGCATAGAAAACCGATACAAGTTCTGGACGCTGGCGGGTTAAAGCACTTCCAGATACGGGTTCAAAGGACGTTCTGTAATAGCACTGTTGGTTGGCAGCTGCTTTGGTAACACTGACCCAGACTGATCCGCTGCTCCAGTCATCAAAGCATGCTCCTCTTGGATAGCCTCTAATTCTTCTCGTAGCTCAGAGAATTTCGGCCTACATTTAGGGTTGATATGCCAGCATGCCGACATTAGTACTGCACTGCAAGTAATGAAAGACGGCAGACTATAAACCATTCGCCGCCAACTGAAGCGCTTGTACAAATGTACACGTATCTGTATATAAATATACGACGCACAAGAATAAAGTACAACAGTGCTTACGTCTTATTACGACACAACTCCGGTATCTGCAGTCGATGGCCGTCGTGAAGGAAACTTCGGAAATGAGCATAAAGAAATCCGTTGGGAAATTCGGCAGAGTATGGAATATCGCCCATCGAAAATATCTCCCAGAGGACCACACCAAACGACCATACGTCGCTATGCACCGAAAACAATCGATGGTCTTTATCCAAAGCTTCAGGCGCCATCCAGTAAAATGGTAGCACACAGGGACTCTAAAAACGCTTTTGCCTTTAAAGTATAAAAGCTTTTATACGGTCTGTAGTTAGTGGCATTCATGTGTCAACTGAAAATCTTATTCTGGTACCCATTGCCGACCTTATTTCGTTCGAGTTCGATATATATGGAACGTTTCGTACCAAAGAAAAAAACTGGAACGTTTTTTTCCTTCCTGTAGTCACTGTAGACAACCGCAGACAACCTGTAGACACCCTGTATACATCCTAGAAACCAGATGACTACAGTATGTCTACAGTGGTGTCTACGGGTTGTCTACAGATGACTACCGGTGTATACAGGCAGAGCATCGAGCTGAGTCTAAGAAGGTCTGCCTGTATACAGCAGTAGACATCCGTAGACACCCTGTAGACAACCTGTAGACAACCTGTATACATCCTAAGAAAACCTAAGAAACCTAAGAAACCAGGTGACTACAGTATGTCTACAGTGGTGTCTACGGGCTGTCTACAGATGACTACCGGTGTATACAGGCAGAGCATCGAGCTGAATCTAAGAAGGGCTGCCTGTATACAGCGGTAGACATCCGTGGACAACCTGTAGACACCGTTGTAGACACGCCGTATACATCCTAAGAAACCAGGTGACTACCGATGGGTCTACAGGGTGTCTACAGCCTGTATACAGATGTCTACTGTGACTACAAGGAGAGAAAAAACGTTTCACTTTTTTTCTTTGGTACGAAACGTGCCACAGGTGAGTTCGAACGGTATTTGCTCAGTTTGCTGATTCGCCATCCCAAAATCGGCAATTTTTATCTTCATTTTGCTGGATAGCAGAACATTCCTGGCGGCCAAGTCGCAATGGACTACATTCTTGGAAGACAGATATTCCATGCCACAGCTGATCTGATGGGCAAAATCCGTCAATGCGTATGTGTAACCTCCAAAGTCACCCATTGCACATTCCAAACCATCCATCAAGAGGTCAGATTTTGCCTTCCTGAGGTAGGCATCTAATGATCCGTGCTCACAATACTCCAAAAGTGTCATAAACCCTTCTACAAAATGCTTCTGTCAGTGGTTTATTGATTGCCTTTGCACTGCAGATTTATCGACAGCGTGCCTGTACATGGTACCAAATTTGAATAAAATGGCGAAACTTACATAACGGTGCAGTTTGTTAAACTTCGAGTACGGCTCTTATACAGATAAAATACCTTATTGCTTATTATTAACAAGCTCAAACTAACACGCCTTAAAAAAAACTTGTAGCTGGCCGAGTCTGCTACGAGCCGATACGTCTTCAAGCCGACAAGTCCTTTTTCTGATTCAAGCTGTACTTAAGCAACTAGAATTACGAAAGATACAGAACTTATTATACGCACGTATAAGAACAATGCCTTCCAAACCGATTATATTCGGATGCCGCCCAATGTTCATCAAGATTGTCATTTCAGCAAGTAAAGCTGCGACTCCTTGGTGGTCACGGGATTCATCCAACAGCATTTTTACTGCTATACGGTGCTGCCGCTTAGTGCGTGCACATTCGAGCCATCCCAGATAAACGTGTCCGTACTGGCCGCTACCGAGACGCACATCTTCTACAATACAAAACCAAGATAGTTTGCTTTTTTTGCGTGTAGTTAATGTGAATACAAAAGCTATGCACTGTCTGTATACTTTGTAAAGCGATGGACCAACGTGGTACCTCGAACATCGCCAGGGTATGTGGAGATACCGCTTTTAAAACTGCGAGACGGTAATCACGTGCACTCGTGACTTGACCACCATTGCTTAAAGGTCTTTTGAATGGATTTCGGTGTTTAACGCTTTTATTGGTAGCTTTGGTTCTTCTTAACGGATTAAGTTTTATAAGCAGTTCATCCGCTTGCAGACGTTTCACGCTGAACATGCACAAACACTGTTCGATGCACGTGACCAAGACCGTCGGCAGCGAATCCCAATCAGCGAGATATGGCACGTATCCGTCTATGACGCTCTTGCATAAACCGGATCACCCATCTTGTTTCCGGCTTCCATTTTCTGGAAGTTGTTTTTCCTTAATCATTTCTTATCGCTGCCTAGAATGCAGCCTGCTAATTCCAGCATAACACAGCCCAAGCTCCAGATGCCTGTTTTGCGTCCAGGATTTTCCGGTTCTGGTGATGTTTCCGAAAACTTCCTCAGCATTTCAGGAGACATGAAACGTATTGTACCGCGGAGATGGGTAATATCATCCGTGCATGTGACACTCCGCTGCATTTGTACCAGATCGTCTAGATCCCCGAGCAGCAACCTACATTGACCGTCCTCTAAATTCTTGATAAGTATATTTGCTGGCTTCAGGTCTCCGTGAATGATGCTCCGATGGTGCAGAAAACTGAGTCCTTGTGCAATGTCTGTTGCGTAATGGACAGCTGTACTTAGATCCAGCATTTCTTTGTTATCGATAAGTCTTTTTAAATAATCCGCAAGATCACCACCTAAAACATTACTTGTGCAGTTGTGCTGGCAACAAACAAGCAATACATTACAACTAAGTTATCGTGAAAGTATGCTGCAGCCGGCCATGTTGTATTGTTAATTGTACATACTACATAGTACGTACCATGTGCATGGCTATGCTCTGTAGAAACTAAAGTATTACAGTATTATTACGCATTTTCTAAACGTGCGCCTTTCGTACATACGTTTATAGCTTATTGTCACATTAAACTGCGATTGGGAATACCAGTTTCCGGTTACCAGAGTAGTAGTCCATCATCAGCTCAATCGAAGTTCTTCCCAATGATTTGGTAACTGTAATTTTATGGTAGGCCACCAGGTTCATGTTGTCAATGGCTAAGAGAGTTTTCAGCCTGGTTAGGCACCTTTCCCACTTGGTTGCGCACGTCCCGATTTCTGAGCTCTTTTCTAAATGAACGGCTTTGACCGCTACAGTCTGCTCTCCCACGAAATCGCCCCGATGCGTGATTGTCGCTCTGTACACAACTCCGAAAGCTCCTCTAGCAACGAAATCACCACTGCTCCTATAATCATATGTGCAGCTACGGCCGAAAGTTTCTTGGCGAATAATTTCCAGTTCCATTTCAATAAATCAATGAAATGAACTTGTAACAGTAACGAAGTTTCCCAACCAAGCTTTTCTAGCGATACTACAAAGAAACAGAAAATCCATGTACAGGAAGACCTTCACATGCAGTAACTGCAATGTTTTGTTAACTTCACATGCAGTAACTGCAATGTTTTGTTAACTTGAAATTCAAACCGTAGAGTTTGTTTTCATTTGATTCTCAGATTGCATTTGATTAAGCCGCACCCTGTTTAAACTTAAAGGTCGTCCGAAGGCGTTGTACTTGTATATCATTCAGTAGGCCAAGATAACAATTTTCGATAAGAAGTTAAACGCTGCCTCTTCTGATTTTAAGTTTGGCTGTTCATGAATATAGCTATCCGGCGACTGTAACTCTGTAATTATCCATTTAATGGGCAATAGCCACCACAATAACAATGACTGCAGGCGCCGGTGCACCACTTAATAGTTAAAATTTAAACATTAAAAAAACAAACAAAATCTCGATCTTCTCTTGGGTTAAAAGGTAACGTGCTCAAAACAGCCGTAGCATTTCCTTTTACAACGGCGAGACTAAAACGTTGCTTAATGAAAGCAGTAGAACGCGCTTCGAATTTTACGGCCCATGAAATGCAACAGTTCACTGAAAGCGGGGCCAAATGTAAGTAACTCGACATGACAAATTATTGGTCATAATGATCTACATATCTCATCTTGTTTAGCCCGATTACAATCATATTTCTCCTGTCTAAATATCAGGCTAATCTGAGATCTCGGATGCGGACGTGCAGTAACTAATTACAGATTTACAGTTAGTACTAGTATGCAGATACTACAGATATAAATATAACCGAGGCATTACGAAAGCTCTAAGGCATAAAATCGAACTGGCAGCCTGTACGATGACGTCACGGTGGAGGAGACCGATCTTGCGAACTCCATAGGCTTGCGCGCTCTTTGCGTTCCAGCAGAACGAAATTTCCTTGCGTCTAAATGGGTTTTTTTTGTTTAAAACTGAAAAACATGATGTTTCGTCACTGTCCCCGAAAATTCTAGCGGTAAAAGTTGAGTTAAAAGCAGTTTGGCCTCGCACATGGTGGATCCAAGAGCCAAGGTACTGGTGTGTCTTCAAAGAGTGGTTAAGCTGCAACCATGGCTGTTTTCTTAATGATTAAAGTCCAGGAAACAAAGTCAAGTGAAAACATAAATTTCTGGACTCGTATTTCAGAAAGTGTTCACATACTGATAGTGACAGATAGTCAGCAACTTAGTCGGAAGACTGCAGCCGTCCACAGTAAATCGGCACCACAAGCATAGCCACAAGTGCAGGCTTCTTCCATAGACTTCCATGTTAAATAAAAACACTCATATCGCATCTAATTTGCATCGGATCCGCGCTAACTTAGTATCAGAAGAAACAACGAATTATTCTCTTTCTTTTGAGGTGTTCCTGGAGACTTATAAACAAAGGTACAAGGAATTCTAGAATTTCAAAGTTGAATGTAAGTCTACGGGCGACACAGTACATCGTCTCCACTATCCTGACACCGTCGCAGTCGATTTTATGCCTGTAGCTTTCGTAATGCCTCGATATAACGTAATGGTATTTACGGTCAGAATACGCTTGTTAGTGGCTGTTATTTGTGCAGTGTTAATGCTTCGTTTTGTTATTTGAATACGATACGAATATACTTATGCGTTATCTGACTATACGTATTCCACACAAAGATGACGAAAGACCGTAAAATTATATTAACGTTTCGCGATCTTCAGACCAGAACAGTTTGCCGTAAATGGGGTTGCTCAGCAGAGGTGGTAAAGTGCAGACCGATGTCCGAACTTGGCAACTGAAGGGCCAAGCTGGTCAGTCTACCGCTTGTGTAACCGTCCGCGACCAGACCCCTTTATTGATAAACCGGATAAATGATAAACCATAGACAATATGATGATAAACGATAAACAGTGTGATAGAAAGAGAAGGGTGTGGAGGGCGGGTTTTTTTCGCTTTCGACGGCAAATTCTTTTCAAACTATTCCGAAATTAAATAAAATACATATCAACTTATATAATTAAGCTTAATATGCCACGTCCATCGGAAGTTCTGCATAGCAACACGGTAAACTTCCGATCGCACGTTAACGACAGTTATTGCTGTAGCAATAACTGACATTAACGTTTCGCGATCTTCAGACCAGAACAGTTTGCCGTAAATGGGGTTGCTCAGCAGAGGTGGTAAAGTGCAGACCGATGTCCGAACTTGGCAACTGAAGGGCCAAGCTGGTTTAGTCTACCGCTTGTGTAACCGTCCGCGACCAGACCCCCAAAAGCGAAGCCGCGGCCCAAACAAGAGAGACGAACAAGAACAAAATGCAATAGCGGGATTAGAGGAGAACATCACACGAATGAACAGTACATATATACAGAATGAACAGTACGTATATACTTTGGCAAAGAACTTGAACAATTTGCAGAAAATGAACGGACAGAGAAGCCTAGTGGTTTCTAAACTGGTCGGTTTTGGAGAAATCGCATAGAGAAAATATCTTGAATAGAACTGATATGGAGAGGCACGTCGTAGGCATTGGATGGCTGTCCGGTGGTGTCGGTGCATGGTGTGGAGTCGTGGACGTTAAAAATAGTTCGGTGGTGGGAAAAGGCAGCGGAGGTATATCGGTATACTTCATTACGTAACTGTAACAAAAGTTCTGAACATGGGAGAGAAAATTGAGAAAAAGAAAACTCATTGTGAATTATGGATTATATTGTGGCTTTATCAGTATAGCGAATTGCGTATACACGTGCGAAGTTCATATTGTTAGATGTTCATGTTCTTTGTTGTTAATAAACATATAGTTCTAATCGACAAATCCAAAGTTCTCAACACCTACGATAAATGTAGAGTAGAGATAGTGAGATTACAAGTATGAATGAAAGAAAAGAAAATGGTTAAAACATAAATAATGCAGGGAAAAACATTTTTATAGATTACTGTGAGTAACTTGACTTACTTGAGGATATTATACAAGAAATGATAGTATTGCAAATCAGGTATGATGCAAGTTTGAAGTACATGGACAACATTAATTCAGAAGTATAAACTATAAAACATTAAAATTATCATCTTTACGTGTATAATTAGCTTGTCATATGAATCTAATTTCGTCAAAATGGACAAAACCGTTCATAAACAATAAATTAATAGTGCCATGAAAAGAAGTAAGAAGGGTTAGTAAATGCACCGAAGAGCAGAAATAAATTTTAGTACAGTACATACAGTATAGTACAGACAATATAGTACATTCAATTTTGTTTTATTTTTTAGCAAAAGATAACTGTACTGTTGTGCTATAGTACTGTTGCATACTGTTGTACTTTTGCAGAGTACGTATTATAAATTCGATAAATTCCTTATGCTGGCTCGCCTTTAAATTTGATAAAGTGGAATTCCACTACCAATAAATTCGACTGACGATAGACTGTTCGGTTCAATAAAATTGTATTCTTTAACGAATATTTCAAATCCCGCTCAAAAGATCGAAACCATTATATCTAAATATTGTCGGACTCGTATCGTATATGTAAGAGAGATTTAGGTACATGACTGCCATTAAAAGTTTCCGAGAAGTACTAGAAGAAACGAAAAACCAAAAACATGCGTTGTATGAAAGTAATAGATAGGATAGTGAATCAAAAGAAATATTTGATTGGCAAAAGAAAAAATTTGTTCAGACTGATTGGACGGAGTTTATGCGGTAACGCGACAAAAATGTGTTATGTACTCTGTAGAAGGCCAGAAGCCATTCATAGTTAGTTTCTCGTGCTGCATATTTATTCAGTAACTGCTCTACATTATATAAATATCGTTTGTCTTGTGTAAAAAATATGACACATAAAATTTGACTCACGTCCGCTATACTTCTACTCAAAAATCCGGATCGAGTTGATTTGATTTTTGTGGTATTCTTCGGAATACTTTTAGAAAATTTCGGTTGTAGTTTAGACTTCTGTAAACTTAGAAGAGGTTATATTCCTCTGAATTGTCTCAGGAGTCGGATGAAAAACACGAAGTGGCGTTTTCTTGTCTGCTTCGCAGTCAGCGAAAACATTCCGTCGCGGACTCGCTGTGCAAATTATTACGTATTATTCGTGAACTATAAATTTGTGATTAACGGTATAGTTAGGGACCATACATTAACTACGTACAGAACGAATTTTCGGGAACGTAGTTTATGGATAGTCCCTTACAGTATCTTCCTTTGTGTAACTTGATGCTTGTGCTGTGCTAAACCACCCCCCTAAAATGTGCGAATCAGAATCGTGTAACATTTTGGTTACAGACTGTTCCATAGACCTGATGAAAACAAGCCGTAAACTAAATAGTGTACAAAGACTAGTCTTTGTAATTATTCTAGTTTAACCGACTGCCAACTGGTGTCAGTCCGCTCCGGAAAATTCACTAAAATCTTGGTTCAGTTACAGACTTAGACTATTGTAGATAGCGCAAAAAGGATGCATGCAATGATACTATGCTGACTAGACAGTAGACACGAAAAAGTGTGTACGGTATAGTTCAAAAGCTTGTTACCATGCATGCCGTAGAGTTTACACGGGCTTCTACTGTCAATACCAAAACACGGTATTTCAAAAATTAAAATATAATGCATGTATTACAAATAGTTATTAGGCACAGTAGCAGTTGTGATTATTAAGATGAAGAAAAGTATCATGCTTATGAACAAAGGGATGATGACCAATAGGAGCAAAGCATTACAATTATGAGAGGCGATAGGAGTATGAATTCTGACTCAGGATTAGGAGTATGAATAGGAGGAGCATTATTCGTATTAGGTACACGATATGCATGAAAAATAGCAACGGTATGCATAGAATTATTATAGCCTGCGAAGCACTTCTATACTCTTATATTTACAGAGTACGTTAGAATTGACACTGCCAAATTACGAAATCAGTAGGAGTGGTGTGAAGTTCATTTAGGTTTCTTAATTTACGAAATAGGATACGGAAACGATAGTGACCCGAAATCAAGATAAAACTGCAGCTAAAGTTGCGGGAAAAGCGTGCACGTTTTTGCTATAAAGTTTAGAGCATAAAATTAGTTTAAGGCGTAAGCGGCGAACAGAGCATAATGCAACAAAGCACAAGCTGCGGGGGAAAAAGAAATAACGTGCACGTTTGAAACGGAGCTGATAATGTTGGAGAACAAATACGCTTTCGACGGCAAATTCGCTTTTTTCGCTTTCGACGGCAAATTCTTTTCAAACTATTCCGAAATTAAATAAAATACATATCAACTTATATAATTAAGCTTAATATGCCACGTCCATCGGAAGTTCTGCATAGCAACACGGTAAACTTCCGATCGCACGTTAACGACAGTTATTGCTGTAGCAATAACTGACAATAAGTAATATGACGAATACGTTACTTTATACGACGCACGTCAAGATTATGGCTTAATTTATTACTTTCTGAGTCGTTAATGTTGAGCATGGCCAATGGAAATTACGGGTACAAAACTACCACGATATCGACTACGACGCCATCAAACAAAAAACATTCAGTTAGTCAGTATTCTCCGCTTTCGAACGGCAGACCGCGTTCCACATGATCAGCTTCGCAGGTGATGTATGGTGCTGACAAACATTCCCTGTTTAATATCATTACTTCCTTAATTTAAATGACGGCCGTAACGATGTCTTTCTGCAGTTCTGCTAATTCCGAGCGCACTCCCTCTTCCATGCCGCTACTAGAGCTAAACCCGCGCTCATACTGTCGGCAGGAAAGGATTGTTCTCATGGAACTCCACAACATCGCCCTTGAGATCCTGTATGCGTTTTTGCGGGGTCAGCGGATATATCGCGGGTGGGGGCGGCTGTAAGGGTGGTCCTTGCCCGTCCATTAACTCCTGGCGCACGGGATCATCCACCAGGGTGTAGTTGCGTCGGGTGATAGGGAAAGGTCGAACTTGGGAGTTCTCGGGGAATGTTAGCTCACTCAATCCTTCCCATGCAAAGCATGTCGACACTGCAACCAGATCTGCATACGCAAAAAGATATTGGAATTAGAAACTGCATCATTGATAAACGGCAATCATTTTACACTAGCATCACTACTTAATTTTACACTAGCATGCACTACTTCTTAGCAGCAGATATGGCATTATCTGTTGAAGTACTCTGTACCTATGTGAAAAATTGGAATTCCCGTTACTTTATGCAAAATTCTATAAGCGCATGTATTTCTGTCAACGCAGCTTCGGTATACACAAAAATTAAAAAAAGCACGCTCAGCGAACAACTTTATTACTGTATTACGATATTTTAAGTCGAAATTATAATACGTTAAGCCATGGAATACAGACTTACATAATATTAAGGTACCGGCAAATAAAGGCACTCCGTTCCGCTGCAACATCATCGCAGCAACTCAACTGGATTCGCTGTACTTAACAAAAAGCCAGAAACGGAAGATACAGAGCGAATACACAAAACACCTCCAGAAAAGAATTCACCGGAATTACGCTTTATTCCAGCAACGTTATATGACTCGATCTTGAACGATATATCGCTACTACCTTTGTCGCAAGTTATGGTTTATAATAAAATATTACACAGTAATAAAAATCGAAGTTATGACTACCAGAAACGTTGTGTAAGTGACAAGCGACGGTATATTGGCAACATCTGTCATGGCCGATATGTGTTCCATGCAGTAACGGAAGTCCACTTGAAAAAACGCGCTGAGTCTGGAATTAATACTCGCCATCGTGTCAGCAGTTAAATGCCGGACAAAAGCGCTTACTGCAACAGATTGGGTTGGCTATACATTGCCATACAATCGTACCGGCCAAATTTCGTACCTCACAATCAGAACATAATTATAAGAAAAGTTTATTGCTCGTACAGTAAATCAACGTCATGGGAATTAATGAGCAAATTGACCGTAAATTAATATTGATAATTTAATAATTTTTTGAAGAAGAGAAGCATAAACAGTTTCATAATACTGCGCCGGAATTAATCTCGCTGGATTAACCGCCACCCCCATCTACAAATGCTCAATATTGACGGCCTTCTTGAATTCGTCGGGCGTGTCGGGCTGGTTGACCATGTGGGCCAGTTGGAAGGGCTCCAGCTGGTTGAGGTTGTTGTTGATGCGGGCAATGTGGGGATAGTTGTCCAGGCGGACCTTGAAGCGCTCGGCGGCCACCACCTGGGGCGCCAGGCAGATGTCCGCCAGAGTGACGGCGTCGCCCACGCAGTACTGCCCGCTGGTCTCCTCCAGCACCTTCTCAAAGGCGTCCAGGCCCTTGACGATCCAGTGGTGGGCAAAGTCCGTGCGCTTATCTTGATCATCCGACACCTGCGGCGAAAACACAGCCACGCATAAAAATGGTTGTGGAATTTAAATCACAACAAAATAAAATAAATTGGAAATAAGCCGGATTGCTGCTGCAAGCCAGCGATTTTAATAAATAATAATGTAAAATAATTAATAAACGTTGCCTGCACTCTAACACGCGTAAATACGTATACAAATCAATATTACAATAATATTGTTTCGTAATATATTTAGAACAAATAACATGATTATCGGAAATGCTAGCGGTTTAAAATATTCGGAAGATGTTACAGGCATTTAAGAAAAAAAATTCTGACATAAGTAAATACTTACTGCCATTGTTTCGGGAATTATTCGGAACTAAATTCTAAATTTTCGAAAATGCTGGCAGGTTAAGAAATTCAGAAAACATAAAATGCAGATAAAAAAAATACAGAAAAATCAGAAATTTTTAAAGCAGTTTTTTTTAAAAATTAGGTTTTACGATATCACAAAAAAAACAGCAAATAATGTTGTTGCGGAATTTCGCTGTTATGAATATCAGTGCTTGTATAAGCGAAAAAATGACAGCAAAAGATACCTTGGTAATGACGCTGAGATTTTGCAGCGGCTGGATGCCCGACGCGATAATCTCCGCCAGTTGTCGCACACGCGCGCCCGCAGAAACGGATCCTTGGGCAGCAGCGGCGGGGTGGGATGGGTCTCTTCCAGATACTCCAGGATGGCCAGGGACTGGGTCAGCACGCGCCCGTCCATCTCCAGCGTCGGCACCTGCGCCATCTTGTTGATCTTGGTGTACTTCTCATCGTTCTGCTCGCGCTTCAGCAGATTGACGGGAATGGTCTCGTACTGGATGCCTTTGTAGGCCAGCGCGATGCGCACCCGCCACGCACAGGAACTGCGGAAATAGGAATATAAACGCGGACGGGAATTTTCCGACATGCTGGTATAATGAGCAAATATGCTTATCGATAAAAAAGATTGCTTCTCTTATGTATAACCGATTGATACTGCAGTCGTAATAAATAAATGAACACACTGTTAAACAGGTGTTTGTTAATGCAGCGGATCGATACGGACTGATGGAGTATAGTGTCAGTTTATTGACAGCCGACAGGTTTGCACGCAGATTAATCAGATGATATCTCGTATATTGGTAAGGAAAACCGGAAGCGCTGTCTTTATCGCCGGCGCACATCGGCCACAGCTTTGATTTGATACGCCGGCTTGTTTACAAAACTTGTACGATCGCTCAGTGCGCTGGACCGGTAGAAGTACTTACTTTACTAGCCCTATGTACTGCTGGACGCTATTAAATTTTAAACACAGTGCTGTGGCTATTTTCTGAATCGGTCAAACACAGTCGGGATCGTACTGTATATTGTATAATACATACCTACAACGCACAAAATGCTACTGTAGATTGCGTAAAATAAAGAACCGACTATAGATATTATAAGACTGAATAGCCTATAATTGTATGCATGCGCGCTTATTAAAAAAAATAATTATCATAATTAATTTCATAAAAAGCTATACTGCAGTATCTACTATCTAGAGTAACACTGCAACCTGCACCTCGATAACTTACGTATACCCGTGCCATTTGCCAAGCTCTTGTCGATAATTACGAAGAAAAAATTAAATGTTTTAATACTTAAATTTATCCAATTACGTACTATAGATTAGTTGCCGGCCAAAATTTATAGTTTATGTGTGTAATTTATAATTTATATTTTGTAGTGTAATGTTTGAATTTACCGTATAAAGCGTAGTCGACACCGTATAAGAAACTGTGTCATGATCTTTCGGTAAAGTGCACGGCGTACAGTTACATCAGTTTGTGTACATCTGACCAACTTAAAACTGCCGCCGCTGCAGATTCAAACATAAATCCGTGAAGTATCACAGGAGATTAAAAGGTTCTCAATAGCCGTATTACTGAAGATGTTGTTACATATTCGCATGAGACTTCTATCTGCGTAATCATAATACCTTAAATCGATCTGAACAACAGCTGTTTATGGTAATAATAATATAAGTACATAAAAACTTAAGGCCTTTCAAAATCCCGGGCCGGAAATGACAATGCATTAGGAAAATGACTCAGGAAAACTGCAGAAACCGTGACTGCCGTTGGCCAATGTATAAATTAACACCGAAGACGTTGCCATATCACAGTCGTACAGTTTCGTAGAATCCATACACTCCGTGACCTTTTTTTTTAAAATGACTATCCTCAAATTACTTGTCATAAATTTTTCTGGTTTAATTAGCGTAAAAACCGCTTTAGCGCAAGGTTTGTATATTTTTAATTAGGTCCGTTGACCGTAAAGAAAACTAGTTCTATTTTTAAAACTCTAGTAAAAGTTAGTTTAGACCATGTTTTTTTACATGCATGTGTAAGCATAACGCTTGACATTTTTTTATGGAATATTTAGGCTATAATAATTATGGTCCGTCAAATAACGGCTACAACTACAACAACCCATCCCCGGTGTACACGCCAACCACCCCGCCACCGCTGCCACAACCGCTACCCACGCCACCACCGCCTCTGTACGGTTCCGGTGTCCCTTCCCCGGTATATCAAACATACACACCGGCGCCTTATCAGTATTACGCCCAACCGACACCACAACCTTTTCCATTACCGCCTTCTCCGTATGGCAACGGATACAACGTCCGCACCACGCCGGCTCCCGTTCCCGTGCCACCGGCGCCATACTCCAGCGGATCTCCGGCGAATTCTTATAACACGATACCCATGTACCCGGTAATTCAACGCCAGCCGTATAGTAATCCCCCCAATTGCCGGTGTGACCTTAGTCCGTATATTGTTATCCCGGTGTGCGGGAATGATGGAGTGACGTACGGGAATATCTGCGATCTGGTTAATGCTATGGCAAACACGCAAGGTAATGCAATGGAATTAAAATTATAATTGTTGTGAAGTATCTGATGATCTTTCGATTTACAGGTTTAGGATTTCGGTGTGGCACGGCGTGTCCTTGCCGATACGATGTAGTTGGTAAGCGATAAAATACTAATTATCTGTATGTACCGCTAAAATTATATTTTATTATTAAATATTTGATATTTAAGTTTTTTATTTTTAAATTATTGGCCTTATTAAACTGTAAGTACTGCATTTTATACAGTCATGAAAGTTATTTACACGGGAGATGTATTTATCAATAAGTGACCTTTCATGGTTTAGATTACCGAGGCGAGATAGAGCGTCCCATTCGCGGGAATTTCGCCAACTGCTTGACTAACGGTACCACCGTGCGCAGCCCGGCGGATGTCCGCACAGCGCTGGTTTTCGATCCATGTAAGTTGCGCATTAGTATGTCACACGTTACACTTGGTCTGCATTTTTTTACAGGTTTTATTTGAATTTTTTAGCTATTGGTGTACGATGCGACGCTGATTGCTCCACCTGTCAGAACGGCCCCTGGCGATGTCCCAGCTACTACATGGATTTCACCCCGCACTACAACGACAACCGACCTGTCTCCACCACTTCCCTGTCCACCATCATCAACGGTCTTCCGCGTCCCTCTAGTACGTTCGCCCCGCCTCTCAACGGATACGGTCAACCGGCAGCCACCACCCGCCGCCGCACCACTACCACTCCGCGACCCGCGGTGGTCGTTATAGCCGGTACCCCGGGTAACCGCCCCACTGGAGCGGCGCCCGCCGTGGTGGTCGTGCCACCCGCTACCCGAGGATCACCGGCGCCACCGGCAGTGGTGGTTGTAGCTCCCGGAGGCGAGGTCGAAGCCACACCGGCACCGGAAGGTGAAACAACCCAACCCACGGAAGGAGAGATAACGGAAACGCCAGCGGAGCCTGGGGGGGAAGCGACGGAAGCGGCGCCGAATGCAGAAGAGACCACGGAGGGCGGGACTCCTGAAGAAGGTGCTACCGAGGCCCCAACTGAGGGAGAGGCAACGGAACCCAGTGGAGAATCCCCGGCTCCAGAGGAAAATCCAGGAGAAGCTCCAGCTACAGATGTAACGCCAGGAGAGACTCCGGCACCGGAGGAGACCCCAGCGCCGGAAGAAACACCTGCCGAAGGCTCGACGGAACCGGCTGCCGGGGCACCGGAAGAGGCGCAACCCAGTGAAGAAGAATCGGCAAGTGCACCGCCGGAAGGTGAAGCTCCAGGTGAAACTCCCGCTCCGGCGGAAAGAGAAAACCCGGAAGCCACGGAAGCACCTGCGGAAACGCCTGCTCCGGAAAACCCTCCAACAGAAGGGGAAGCTGCTCTGGCAGAAGGGAACCCAGAGGGTGAAAACGCACCACCGGCGGAAGGTGAGGCAACGCCAGCAGCGGAAGGCGAGGGCACACCCCCGCCCGAAGGCGGTGAGGAAACCCCGACACCGAAAGCCTCCAGTGAGTCTCCGGAATCAAGTTCGCCGACATCCCCGGAAACGTCAACCGGTGCTGCGGGAGAGGAAGCAACCAGCGTCGCAAATGAGCCAGTATAATAAAATTCTAAATTACCAATTAAATAATATGACAAGTTGACAACCAAGAAACTTTGGCAACCGTTCCACTTGTGTTTCGACCGACCGCTGTGTTACAACTAATCAACCTTTTTGCTACCAAATGAACAATCTTTATACAAAAATATTCTCCAGTGTCTGATATTCAGAAAAAAGCAGGCAGTTTGAAATGGCAAAGAAAACAGATTCATGATGGACTGTGCGCAATATTTTCCTATATGAAGCAAAAGGTCATGAGAACAAACCAGCTTATGTACAAAACGGCTGCCAGCAACCAGATGGGCGCCTTAAAGCGTTTTACTGTCCTCCTTTCTTCTTTTTGCCTCCTTTCTTCTTGGGTGCGGCTGGTGCGGGCGATGCGGCAGCGGCTTGTACGGCGCCCGTGACGGTCATGACGTAATCAGGCTGATCGTCCAGCAGGACCACGCCTTCCTGGTACAGTCGGCTGTTGGAGTAGTCGTAAAATTGTTTGGCTTGCGAGCAGTCCACATTGAACCACCAATCACATATCAGTGTAATTTGGTTAAACAGCTGCACATAAAAATACACAGATTTGCGATTTAAAAGTACAGTTTTAAATTAGTTTTAAATTTAAAAATACACTATTACGTTTAGAATATTCTGTCCTTTAGAAACCGAAGTAGCTAGGAACGCTTATTTTCGCTGCGCATTTAACCGACCGATCACTAGGTAGGATGGGAATCAACAAATAAGGAAAGGTCACTTGACTGCCGGCGCCGATTGTTTTCCATTTTATATTTTAGCGACTGTTTTAAACTACTGTCTTATTTGCGCAGCGCAATAATACATACAGTAACTACCGGCATTTTCATGCCTGTTTGATGGTATTTACGTACGGTCATATTGGGGCAAAGGTAGGTCGTTAAATTCCCATTAATGTCGCATCGATGGAACACCTGACACCGGCCGGCGTCGGTATCCGCATAAAATCCCGGCTGATGGAACGACGCGCAGTCCACGTTGTCCTTAGGCAGCTCGGCGATGAGCGGAAAATCTTGGCCGGGTTTAACGTTGACAAAGAGCTCTTGGATCTGGTCGACGCTTAACTGTTTACCGGCGCCGCCGCGCAGCTGGTCCAGCGCGGAATACACTTTGGGCGACTGCGCGCTAGCTGCACGCTTCGTCTGAGTAGTAAAAAAAATTAGTTTAATCAAAAAATTTAAATACGAATATTTATATAAAAGTAGATATAAGTACGTATGTAAATATAGAAGAAGTAGTATACATACAAGAAAGAATATATAAATATCAAATATCAGTTACCACAAAACAGAATAGAATACATATAAAATATATAACTTCCCGATAAAATTTCATACAAAGTTCCGCAAACCGTTTAGTCTTACCAAAGTTTTGGCGCCGCATACCGCCAAAAGCGAAAACACGACAATAACCGGTTTCATTATGCCGCTGCACTTATACTTTTCCGAATTCAAATAAATCAGCGAAGAAAGGTTTTCGTTGTCTGCAATATTTAAGACAGAAATGGCACTTATGGCTCCTTATATACCGCAATTAAGCGGGCATGCACAGCGCCGACATTTTCGTAATAAACCACAAAGAACCAGTAATTTATTCATTTTGACGTTCTTTCATTGTTCTACCGGTTGCCGAAACGGTTATTGCCGTATGCATGTAGCCCCCGCAAAGTACGCGATGGACGACATCGATTAATCAAGAAGGCGAAGAGAAAATCCATGTTGACGAGCGCCGGCATAGTGCCCCTGTCATGGACGGTGTGTTAATATATTAATGCTAATGTTAATACAAGCAATTAGGCACCCATTAATCTTTCGCCAAGCTTTCGTCCACACTTTTGTGATTTGGACACTGTAAAGTATCGTTCACGGACGACAGTCCAGACAGCCTACGCGTTTCCTGTCAACATTACACGACGCGTACAACATTGAAGTTATTTCTACAATTCATAACTGGTGACCTTCCACGCAAATGGCTTGCACGGACAGACAGGTAGGTACCTGTGGTCTGTTTTTGCAATTGCAGATTAAATATTACAGTTGGTTTATGTTGTATTTTACTGTTGGTCTACACGCGATTTTGAGCTAGCAAGCGCTCTCCTTTGTCTCCATTTCGTACCAATCCAGGAAACCGAAAGGCTTTTCATGAAATACAATAGCAAGCGAAATATTAGAATTACTTTTACCATTTTTTAATCTGTCTTTAGTTTTCTGCGGCCCTTTCAGAATTAAAAAAAACGAAATAACAAGCATAAAGATCTCGCCGTTGAGGTGAAAATCCGGGGAAAAATTGTTTACCAATTCCGGCAATTCATACAGCACTAAGAATACATTGGTAAGTTACGTTATAAAGAACGAATTAGATCTTCACAGCCATCGCACTACGAAAGGGCTGTAAATTATAACAATGTGCAGCATTAAATCACATTGTCTTGTGGGTTTTGAGAAGCAGTGCCGTTTTTGGGATTTGACAATTACGTGTTCCAAAAACTGTTGATTTTTTTGTACGTCCGTTTAAATAGTTTGTTTGGTCCAGTTCAATCTAATAAGTGCGCACAATTTAGCCCCACAAACTCTACTTATTCGTCTTTTTTTCTGCCGTTTCTCCACAGTGAGTATATTTACAGAAATCCTCCGGAATTCCATTTATTTAGCAATCAGCGCGTCAATAAAAACATATATTTTATATTAATTAGCAAATCCGTAAAAACAAAAAGGCATAAAATCAAAAACACCTGCTGACCACGTTGCCATGGACAATCAAAAGAGCAAGGAAAGCACACCGACAAACAAACGAAGCCAAAATAATCCACCAGCTGCCGCGTCACGAGCCATCAGTTCTGAGCAATTCCCCGAAACAAAATATCCCCAAAATATACATACAAACAAAAACCACTTTACACAAAAAACTGCCCTCCCCCTTCGCGAGTATTTCAACTAGAAAGGTCCCCACCGCGGCACAAAATAAAAAAAAACAGAGCACAATTCCTGTTTGAAGTATAAATTTCGTATTTCTTTTGGCATAGCGCGCATAACAGCTGGCATAATCTTTAATTCATCCACGATACGTGCGAATAATATCCTTGATGGGCGTGCGACAAATCGGGCAGGATTTGCCTTTTTGCAGCTGGGTAGTGGCACACGGATAGCACATCACCTGATGTCAGAACAATCCGTTAAAAAGCTGGAAAATTGAAAATTCGCCAAAAAATGGCTAATCCATAAAGTACGGATGGAAAAAATTCAAAATTAAATTGAATTTAATCTACAGAAAAATCAGTTTGTACCTATGGAAAATCCCATATAAAAATAATAAACAAATAATTCTGATAATTAATATATAAATAATTTCTTTATTAACCTTTATTCAAAAACTACATAACTGTTTAATTAATATTAAAATAAAATGCATTATTATTATTTATTAATTACCTATTTATTTAACTTTAATAAATAAATAAATTCTTAATAAATAATCTATTTAATATATTAGTTAATGTATTTATTAAATATTTAAAGTTCTTTTTGAAAATCAAGTAAAATCTATTATACTTATCATTATTATTTAATGAATATTTATTTATTCACCTGGTGTCCGCATGTGTACAGGACCGCCAGCGCCGCGTCCTCAAAACACACGATACACTCGCTTACCACCGCGGCCGACGGGGGCGCCGTGCTCTTCGTCCCCGGGATGGGTGGGAAGGCCACCGGTTGGCTAGGCGTCCCCACCGCACCGCGAAGGAGTCCGTACTGCGCCGGTTCCTGCGATGTCGAGGGTTTGGAGGGGGAGCGCGGACTGGGCAGGTCGACGGTCAGATCGATGAGGTCGCGGTGCGGTTGGGTGGGGTAGGTGGCGGAGGTCTGCCGGCGGACGGGGGAGGTCCGCGGCCGCGGCACGGAGGACCCGGCCGAGGAGACGGTGCGCGGAAGGGCCACGGTGGTGGGCTGCGGGGGACGGGGGGTGGTGGTCGGGGTCGGAGCGGGGCTGGGACGGGATGAAGGTTCCGGGACGTTGGGGCATGAACCTATGGAGACAAAAATTATTATTTTACGTAACATGTAAATTAAGTATCACCGAAAAACTAAAAAAAACATTTCCATGTTTCGACATTCTTTGTTACTGTTCAATCTGTTTTTTAAAATTTACTCGTAATTGGCACTGCGGACAAAGCATAAATCTGCAGTGAAAACAACAGTTCAAAATTAAGGCTCCCTTTTTTTGAAAAATTATAAACCAGCTTAATCGCTAACAATCATTGCACCAATCACTAAAATCACTGCATGCATAACCAGTCAACGCTTGACTCGGGGCCATTCGCAAGTCACTAAACTACGAAATTCTTCTAACCGCAACACCATCAAATTAGATAGCGTACGCCGTACGGTCAAATTTGCAGACGAACCGCAAAATATTTCCGCGATAAAAAAACAAGCTCAGTTTCGGATGTGACTTCATAATAATTACGAATTTACGCATGTAACGTACTGAAATTAGACACAACACAACTTATGCAGTATGACCCCAGTAATAAATTCAAATTCAGTGAATAATTGTACCTAATAACAGTATTTTCCTGGTGGTGCCGTACAGATCAAAGAACATCCAGAAGGTCTGCGAGTTATCCACAAACAGGAAATCGGAGGGTTTATTGTTGTTCCGGCTGATCTGGACGGTGCCGTCGCGGCGGATGGTGAAGGCGTACTCCTGGCCTTCCTTCGGTTTACTGGCCACATCTTTGGCTACCACCCAGTATTCCTGTTTGAGAAAATTCAATCAATTCCTCGACAAAATTCCTAACAACATCTTTACGCAAAACACAACAAATACAGATTCCGTACACAAAATCAGAAACTATTCCTGTTGACACTTTTATTTAAGGATTGCTAACTCCAAAAACAGCCACCGGCCACACTAAGAAGTTTATCTGTAAATCAGGATGCCACGAAACTTCTAAGTTCTGAAAAAAAAATAACCCACGAAATTTTCGAGGTTTAAAACTTAAACTTCTCAAATTTCCGACAAAATTTCAACTTTAGATGAATTATTCTTCATTTCGAGTTCAAATGGAAAATATTCAGATCCAGATGCATGGGATACACACCCACTTCACTACGAAACTGGACATCTACGAGTACGACCATCATCAGCATTTTGTGAGCATATTCAACTAAAACCCTTTTCCAGCTTTTTGCGATCGATTTGCAAAATTCGCCAAATAAATAAAAAAAATATAATTAAGAAATAAATCAAAAAACAAATAAAATTAGCTAAATTAATAAAATCAACTTATGCATTCGCAAAAGCAGCTTTTCTGAAAGGTTTCCCTACCGGTCGATCGAGGAGATTATCCGCATCATCCGGCAAATTCGCCTGGCACAACGCCGCCGGATCACACGTGGTCAATCCAAACGCCAGTCCCCCGTCAAAATCCCAGTCATTCTCAATAATCCTCACCACCACCGTCTCATTGACGGCGATGGGGCGCGGCGTGAACACATAGCCGTTGCAGAACTCCCCGGCTACCAGCTTGACACACCGGCCCTCTTCCGACAACAGCACATTGCGCCCGGTGAGATTCCGGAAGAATTTCAGGCTCTTCAACTGCAGATGCGGGAAGTGTCGGGCCCGGTGGCGGGCGCTGACGGGGGCGGAGGAGGCCGACGCCTCCGAGCTACTGGAGACGGGAGGGGTCGTTGAGGAAATCGCCATCCGCGATACCGCTGCGATAAACAGCGGGTTTCGTTAGTAAAACTCTATTCTATTCACCCGGTTAAGCGCAATATAAATAACCGTATTTCGTTAAGTAAAATACTGGTGAATTCGTAAACAAACCCATCAATTCATGAAATACTCGTATATAATATTATCAAAACATATTATAAATTAAAAGATTTCAATCTGTTAATTTTTTCTTAATTCGTTAAGCACAGAAAACGCCCATTCTTATTTTTTGTACAGCATTGAGTTCATCCTGTCCTACTTTCTTTTTTAAAAAGAATGCTTTTCTTTCAAATTATCTGTTGTATCGTAAAAAAACGGAAAAGGCGCAACAAGAACCTACCCTAGTACTGAGATAAAGCACTGTCCAGAAACCGTTGATGATTTTAATCAATACAGAAACCGCAAAAAAAGTTCACATCCATACAGAAAAAAATAACACAAATTAGTAATAGCACAGAAATTCAAATCCATGTACAGCACACAAGAAAAATAATCTAAAGTTTCAATTAAGGGCATTCTACTCTCTACAGCAATCAGAAATAAGGATATGATCGTATCCACATGTGCCGCTTTACTACGAAGACAAAGGTACTCGTACTGTACAGAAAGGGTCATAAACCGTAGATACAAAACGCTCCATGTACGAAATTGCATGATATAATGTACGCACGTTACAGTATCGAATACACGCGCGCATAAATTTCGAGATAGTGCTAATTTTCAAAAACGGTCCAACAAAGGAAATCAAGCATGTCTTGTCGGTACTTTTCATACCGAATCTTTAGTATATTTTAGTGTTATTAATTTTCTTCATTTTTGGTTTTACCTGCTGCTACGGCGGCAGGAGTAGAGTTAGGAGGAGGCGGAGCCGCCCGCACAGGAGGCGGCGGAGGTGGCAGCGGTTCCGGTACGGGTGGTGGGTGCGATGACGTCAGGGAATTCTGCCGGTTTCTAATGGCCATCAGCACCGACAACGGCGAAATGCTGCTGTGACTGCGCGTCTGGTTGGGCGGACGATTAATGCTGCTGCTATCTGTAAAATGCATCAATAAAACGTTGCCACCTCGCACAATCAGCTAGGGCTTGATAAAATTTACGGATAAATTTCCCGTAAAAGGCGACAGTTAAGAATTTATGTGTCTGTTGGTCCGACTGGTCTAATTACAGCAGGCAGTTCCGTTCGAACGGAATTTATGGGACTAACCGAGCAGCTGCAGCGCCACCGTCGTCCCGTACACGTCGAATACCGCCCACAAGGGAACACTCGTGTCCACGTTTTCAAATGCCGTTCCTGCAATATTATCACTCTTAAAAACATTATATTCGCGCAAGTGCACAATAAAAGAAACCGGAGTCTGTCAGTTTTATACAGTTCGCGGAAATACCTCAAAGGATGCGTTTTTCAATCGAAACTGCACAATATCTTCACAGAACGAAATAACTTACAAAAAAGCAGAAATTATTAAAACTTTATCATTACAGTTATAAAATATGATCGAACTTGTTCTGTTATAAAAGGATAGAGAAGCAGATATGTATACCAAATTTCTCAGCAAACGCAGTAATTTACAAATAATTTATTGTCAGGAATTTACCAAGCATTTTTCTATGTTTGATATTATTTATTCTTATTTAAAACCGAAGTACGAGTATTAATAATGAATATTTAATACGTAACTAAATATTCTGAAATATTTAATGGCAACAACGACAAATACATAAGTAACGTAAAATGTTTATTAATTTTTTTCATTCGATAAGCGTGCGGAAAGGTATCTAGGAAAATAAGCATTTAAGGAACAAGAACAGGGAAATAAATCAAAATTGCTAAGGAAACTTCAAAAGAGCACCACTAAAACGTCGCTTACAGTTGCTAACCTTTATTGACACCGTTAACGCCATAAACAATCGTGGCTCCGTCAGGCAGGCACTGGAAATGAATAATCCGCTCACTGGTATCCCCGGGCGCCGGACGGCACACTTCCGGCAGGGGACGTCCCCAGAAACCCGGCCGGCTGGTCAGGTCCGGGCAGAGATAGAGGGCCTGGGCCAGATCGACACCCTGCGGGTCGTGGGTGGTCAGGCCGATGCGCAGCGAGCCGCTCCACTGGGCCACCTTGGAGGCATCGCCGCCGCAGCGGGCGGATGCCGGGGGAACGGGCAGCGCCAGCTGTTCGCTGATACGGAAACACACGCATTCGCCTTTCTCGATGGGACGGTTGGAGAAAACAATACCTGCTCATCAAAATAAGAAATTTTATCAACTATACCGCATTACGGCAGAAGAATTTAGCAAACAAAACAGTTAACGAATTTAAAACTGGAAGCAGAAACTCGTAATTAACAAGGAATGCATGTATTTAACGCAAATATGTATCACAATTATCTTTCTTCTTCAAACAATAATAACCGTTCGACTTTAACAGCAGTTTCCTGTTCCAAGAAGCAATTATTATATCGAAATATCATGGTTTACAAAAAAAGTCTCCATTTTCATTTATTAACCGTAATTACTAGTACATCTTTTACACCCGCAAGGCATATTCGATTACATCAAGCTAACAATCTTCGCACAACGCCAACGGAAACATAAAAAATCTAGACAAAATCCTCACGGTTACGACTGATTTCGTAGCTATACTGTATACACACGAGTAGTAAAATCAAACAACACTAGGACATAAGTACAGGAGAAAAATACAGCGAACTGATTTATCCTCGTACCTTTGCAATAACTGCGAACGCGCCTGGCCGCACTCCCATCCGGCGAAATCTGCACGTGCTCGCCGTGATTGGAATGAAAGCGCAGGGTGCCGACACTGGACGGTCGATCGCCGTGGCCCAGCGAGAATGATTTGGCCAGGGAGGGATCGGAGGAAGAGGAGGAGGCCGACTTGGGGCTCTTCATGCCCGCCGTGGCCCGCCCGCTCTTCGGCTCGTTTGACGGCAACATGGACAGATCGGAGCTCTGTGACAGCAGTCCCAGACCGTTGCTTGACCGATTGCCCATTGACGATTACAGCGCACGGCCGTCAGATTGAGCACGGTCCATGGCAATCTGCGGAAGAAACAAATCCTTGACATTTTGCTGAAAAATCAATTTGTTGGTGATTTGACGAATTTAGCATGCATAACTGTACTCTGTAAAAATGATCAGGAAGTCTGGTTTTCGCTGATTTAGCGCCAAATTCCATACTCATACAGTCGTACTCGAAATTCCGCCACAAATTGCGGTATTATACTATGATGTTTTAACTAATAAGAAAGTGTACACAGAAATCGACAGAATTACATACGACGTAACAAATTAACAGCAAAACTGTTTCGCGTGCGTGCTTCCATTATAGCGCTACATGATGGATTCAAAAACAAATTTGAAACAAAAGTAAAATAAATCTGGTATCTTCCCAGATGCAATACAATTTGTGCCGCGTCGACTACTCTAACACCGATCATGACTTCATGAGGATCGATCAATGTGAAGAAACCAGAACGGAAGTTGTTCAGCCCGACTAGATTAGTACCTGCGGCTGCATTCCTTACATACTCGCAGTGGTTTCTATTCTTATGATATCCTCTCAGCATTCCAAGGGGGCTCCAAAAAATAAATCTGGAAAAATTAAAGAATAAATTTAAAAAAAAAATTAAAACATTAAACAGTAATATTAAATTGTGTATCAAAGTAATATTAAAGTCAAAGTATTAAAATACGTATTAAAACAATAATCAAAATGATTTCATTTAAATGTCAAGAACAGCAAAATTAAAGTATTTATTATAGTACTATTAAGAAATAAATGTTCAATAAAATATCCCAAAATTGACACAATTTGTAAGCAGTCAAAATCAACAATCCAAAGAAACCATACGAAGAATTACAGATACCAGTGCAGAGAAACGAGCGAGATGCTAATGCAGCCAGCCTGGTTCGTTCACGGCCAAGCGTGAAATCTGGCAAATATTTGATTGTCGAAAAACCTGAAGAGGGTGCCTTAATTAACGGATATCAATCAGTCGGAAAAGTCCGTCACGTAACGGACGCGCTGTACGGCAAATGAGTTGACTGACTAATCTCGCATGCTTTGATACTCTGCTGGGCCACTCAGTGCGTTGAACCAGATTTATCGCCTCAAGGTGCGGCGTCAGCACGTGCTCAAAAAAACAAATTTCTCACATTCCACAAAAACGGTAAAAACTGAGCTGACTATATAGTTATTAATTTTTATAAAACTCACTACGACTGTAACTTGTTCAAAACAGCTGTGTATCTTGGAAAAGCCTTTGCTGTTACAACTACCGTAATTAAATTACGTAATTTACTGTTTATACTACTCTACAGCATTATTTACTCACCGTGAATTTCTTCCGTAACTCCGTTTAGTCGAGATCGGGGACCACCGCAGAACCCACAAAAATCGGATTATTTAGATTTTAAAAATTACATCACCCACAGAACGTGCACGCACCGCGTCCGAAACCAAATACTACTAGTACGCTTAGTCTAAGCTCGAGTCAAAATGAATCTCTTCGTGATTCGGGATCCTTCAGTGAGTTCAGTCTCCCACAAAATCGACAAACATGCACGATGAAACTGAGAAGACATTAGTCCATTACATCAAGACACCTTCCCACTTGTTACCGATTCACTTGTAAAGATCAAAGTCCATTGAGATAAGCGCAACAGCTGGGATTGGCGATATGAAGTATGACACACATACAACTTCCAAAACGTTATGCCGAAATGAAAAGCAGCGCCCGAGCTGCTTTTCATTTCGGCATTGCACTCTCGCATCAGTGTCTGCACGTTTTACATGAATGAGCGCAAGCAGATTAACTTCATGGTGTGTTGGTTTTCAAAATACACCAGTTTAATAAACTGTGGAATAATATTGACAAAGAAATTAACTGACCCGCGCTTTTCCAAAATTTGATTTTGTCATATACTGTAATACTGTTGATGGCTAAAGTAAGTAATCCACCGGTGCGAGCTATAATGCCGGCCGCTTCTGCTAATTCTACGCCTAATGAGTTGCAAAACGCTAACGCTAAGGAGAAGAAGAAGAGAGAAAATCACAGATGGACTGAACGAGAGGAGCGCTTATTGGTTGAATGGTTGCAAAACCCGGATAATTACCAGCAGTGGAAATGCGCCGGGAAGAAAGATACTGCGGCGGGAAGCGGGGGCCAGCAAACCACAAAGGTGCAGCCAAACGGGAAAACCAAGACGGACGTTGCGAAGATGCTGGCGAAATATTTGGTAGCAAAATGTGGAGTTAGCGCCAAAATCCGCACTGCGAAGAACATCAATGAGAAGATTTCGGGGTTTGAAAGTAAATGGCGCGAAGCTAACACCTGGCTGAAAGGAACCGGAAACGGGTTAATGCATCCGGATGAATCTCGTGAAAGCCGACTGCAGCGAACGAACATACGAGGTAAAACCTGCTTAATTTTATTACGAAGCAAAATAAATAAAAGCTTAATGTATTAGAGATTATAACAGCTTTTAAAATTTTTATTCGGTTTAGTCAACAGTAATTCCATTTTCTTATGGATAAGAATATACTGTAATTTAAAGGGAAGTGTGCCAGTACTGTACATGCACTGATGCACAAAACTTTCGCTTTCCCGAACTACCAAACACATGCATTTTGTAAGTATTTTATAAACATTTTGTAAGTATTATTTTTAAGTAACGTAAAAGCGTTTTGATGTAGCAATATAAATGGTATTCACTGGCGTGTATAACATTTATAGAATTTTGCACAAATTGCACAGATACGTGAGACGTATATTTTGCTTTGATAGACGAAGTGAAAGATCAGCTCAAATACTTTTTTGACTTGGACGCTGTCTTTGGGGAGCGCCCTTCGAATGAGCCGGCTTATGTCTCAAACACCGGATCAAACAACAATGAAAACGTGATGTCAGTGATGCGATTTAACGCATCCGGCGACGATGACGACGAACCAGATACACCTGAGGCGCCTACAACTTCAAATAACAGTCGCCGGGAGAACAATACGGAGACAGAAGATCACAGAAGCTATCAGGATATGGTACTGGAGGGTGACATAGACCGCGAAATCGAACCGGCATCAGCTGATCCGGGCAAGATTGTTATTGGAGACAAAAAGAAAAAGAAGCGCCAGAAAACTGTAGATTTCCCGGAAGCCCTTATGGTCATCGAGGAGAAAAAAGATAAACGTTTCGAAGAGGAAGTAGCACTTGCTAGAATGAGAGAAAATCGCATGGAGCGTCTGCAAGAGCGCCAAATTGAATTTCAAGAAAAACAACTGGAGCACCAGAAAAGCGAACTGGAAGTGCGGAAAATGGAAGCGGAAAATCGCAGAATGGAGTTAGAGCTGTTGATGCGAAAAAATAACTGAATTGCGCAAATGTTGTTCCGAGTTTGCATCTTTTTGCATATACTGTGTGCTTTGTATATTGCGTATGGTATTCTGTCCAGTTTTTATACTTCTATGCGTTTTCTAAACTTAAACTCTGAATATTTTCCTAACTCTGAACGTATTATTCACTATCAATTTTCCTTGTTGAATTCAGGCATTTTCTACTAATTAAAATTGTGCGTATGGGATCAAGAAGTTAAATGCATTTTATCGGCGCAGTATATTTTCCCCAATAAAAGTGCCTTCTAAAGTCGGGATACACAGTAGTTTTAAGCTATATGTCCGTGCTCCCTGGACAGTTTATCTGTGCAGTGGTATTCGTGTTGTAGATTATATAAGTATGTACGATGTACATACTACTGTAATTATATATATATTTGGCATATGCTTTTGTACAACGTATTCATCAAAAGCAAGCGACACAATTCTCCGGTTTTTATTTGCATATTATTAAGCAGCGCAGTACTATGTTTTTTTCTAATTCATTACGCTAGTAACTATGAAATTCATAATACGCTCCCGTTTATCTTGTCCATCTTCCGTTTCGTCCATGTGCGGCTCCGCATCACTGTTGTCATCGTTGTTCTTGTCTTCTTCTTGCTCCCAGTCTTCATCAACCTCGTCTGCATTTTTTACGCATAAATTGTGCAATATACAACAACATCTGAACCAATAAACAGCTCTAGTATGACTTTCGCCATCTGCTATGTAAGTTCTTAAGCCACGCAGACACTGAAATCGAGCTTTTACGTTACCGATAGTATGCTCAATTGTAACACGAGCAGAACAGTGGAGAAACTGAAATGTACTACGAAACGGTGTGGTAACGTTGTTTTTCCGAAAAGGTGGCATAATGGTGGTAGTGCACGAATAGGCGCTATCGGCTAACAGGTACTCTTGTCCTTGGAAAAATTCCGTGGCTTTTGTTCCCAGCGGTGAATTTTTGAAGACTCTTGCGTCATGCACAGAACCAGGATATCCACAAGATGCGAATAAAATCAACCGGTCAGAGTCACAAACCAACATAGCGGCTAATGCATAACGGTGTTTCCGGTTGTAATAATCTTCGCCATTAAGTGATGGTTTGTATTCTAAACCTATGTCGGTGCCATCCACAAAACCCAAACAGTGAGGAAAATGAAATTTGTTCTTTATCTTGTCCTTAATTAAGGCTTTCTCAGTCTGATTTGGCTATCGCACTACATCGTTTTCAATGGACAATAGAGCTACGATAACTCTACGAGTGTAATTTTCCACTGCACCTTCTGAAATCCCGAATCGTCGAGCAACTTTTCCCACTGCACCGCCATTCCCAAACGTTCCGAATCGATGCAGAGCGACAGTTAACTGGTCAGCAACGGATGCTTTGGCATGCATAGATTTATTCACAAAAATGGGATGATCACAAATTTTGCCAAGCACGATGTTAAATGTTGACCTTGACATCCGGCATTCTTGTCGGAATCTGTCATCGTCCAGGCGGGGCAGAATAAGTCGAAGAAAATCCGTACTTTTCGGCACTGTTAAACGGCGATTTAAATAACGAGTAACGTGCAGGTAACCTCGAATCATTAGAAAAAGAGACTCATCTTCTTCCTTTCTACGTGCAGAAGAATGCAGCAATAACTCTTGTTCATCCGATAAAAATCGCAGTGATGAATTTGTTCGCGAGGAATTTAATAAAATTAGCTTCTCGACAAGTTCTATTGCTAATTTTCTTTTACTTTTGCGCGGGGCCATATTAAGAATATTACGACACGGTTATTGCAAAAAGTCCAAACTGTGCAGATGCACACTGGATTTCCTCTGAAAAATATGCAAGCAAAAGATACAAGTGCATTGCACTTTTCTTCGCGCCAAAACATATGGCGGTGTTTTGATGTAGCGTTCATTGCTGTCTGGATGCCAGTTCATCTGTTATCACGCTAATGGCTGTTTTTTTATGCGTCACTTGCTTTCGATGGACTTTGATCTTTACAAGTGATTCGGTAACAAGTGGGAAGGTGTCTTGATGTAATGGACTATTCTGCCTTGACGAAAGGGTTTTCTAAGCAGACAGTAGCACTGAGTACTGTTTACAGGACGAGCAGCAACCACTGCTCATTGAGTAGTGACTACTTATAGGCTATGTCATATTCAGCGCAAACGATTGTTTCTCCGTTTCCGGCTGGATGCGGAAGTTTTTGTGGCGTGATGTGCCGAAGCACCTTCAGTGGCTCAGGCCTACAGAGCAGAGACTCTATCAGTTGAACTTTTAAAAACCTTTAAAAACGTTCCCGATCCGCTTTAGTGCTGTGGTTTGCAGGTTAGTTTTTTGTTTGTAATTTGCGCTGCGAGTAAACACAACAGCTGATAATACAGTACGTCCAGTACAGTACAGTACAGTACAGTATAGTACAGTACAGTACGGTACAGTACAGTATAGTACAGTACAGTACAGTACAGTACAGTACAGTACAGTACAGTACAGTACAGTACAGTACCACGGTACAAAATAATCTGTGTAGTACGCGTATTCTTAGCCGGTCCTGTCTGCCAGTCTCAACAACCTGTGGTCGAGTTGTAATGAATTATGCAAACAAACTGCACCGTCGAATTTGCAAGCCAGGCGGCCAAAAATCGGCTCAGGCGGTATTCCGGTACGTAACAGACTGAATCCGAGCCGCAAAATAACTACTTCTACTGATTTATAATTTCTGTACGAGTACGCTTAGCGTTTATAAAGTCGCACTTGTAAGTCCTAGAGTAGTACTTCTAAATTTATTTGTGTTTCGGTTTATTTGCCATCTGAAACAAAACGCCGTGAGCAAGTGTAGGATTACAGAGAATTTCTCTACGAAAGCAAATTTGTAACGTACTCCCGTAGGCGGTTGCCAATAAAAAATTTTCAATAAACACGTCATGTACTGTATATACAAATGCACTGCGAAATACTGACTGGTACGTTTTCAGCATAGTATTTTAAATACATGTAAAAAACTGTCTCCGTAAGCCAAATAAGCAAAAGCGGTATAGTATTTAGTGTTGACGAGTCGTTAAGTCAGAAACATTGCCAGTATAATAATACTCACCACTGAGCGTTTGTTCTTGCTTCGCTGCATCCGAAGTCACGTAAACAACCATCCTTGGGATCGTAGTAAAATCAGATAATACAATTTGCAAGTAAGAAACTCCCTTGCATGTAAATTGGGATTGGATTTAAACTATTTCAGTTTAAAATCAATGATAGCGTTTGACGGGTTGAGAATAATGTACAGTTTAATCAGTTACACGAGGCAGTTCTTCGAAATGGATGCTGACACTAGTAAAGCTTAACTCGTAGCGAACATTATGCAATTCGATGAAATTAGCGCGTTAATTTTCGGGCGGTCTGTGGTAATAGAGTCGCACATACAGTGTTGCTGATCCGGGACCGAGCAAATAGAGCCGGGCAGAGGCGCGGTCTACAGCGTGCAAATGGCACTTACGTCCGTGAATTAAGCCCACTGTTAGCACGGGTGATTAAAAATTTGAAGAAGCATCTATTACTTTTTAAAACTTTTATCAGTTTGAATCCTTACGTCTTACCGATTACAGCGGTGTGTTCAGTTTGTAAATCGGATCGCAAAGTTTTGCGATATCGCTTCCCGAAGAATATGTCGGTGCAGTTTGTTTACACAATTCATTACAACTCGACCACAGGTTGTTGAGACTGGCAGACAGGACCGGCTAAGAATACGCGTACTACACAGATTAGTCTCTGTTCGGGGCACATACGGTAGGTTTTCCGGTAACGATAACGGTATGACTCATCCCAAATTTACCGTTTTTCTGCCTGTACCGTATCGTTCTGCTCGCTAGGATAACGATAGATAGCGTTCGTATCGTTGGGCATCTCCGGTAGAATCTTGAAAGCAATGGAATTAGTGGATTACCGTTTTCTCAAAAGATATAACTACTTTGAACATCGCTCTATTTACTAAAATATTTCAACAAACAAAAGAAAGAAAAATAATATTTAAAAACAATTTATTTTGTGAGGGACTAAACGCACCGGAAGTCGTCAGTTCACTCAAACTGCCTCCCCACAAGCGGCTGGTCACGCTCTTGCAAATTCACTTCACATTTTTAATTTAGTGAGACCGGACCGAGCCCGAGCCGAACTCTGTATCGAGCGTTATCGTTGTGCTTAGCGAACACACAAACTTCTAACGGTGGTGAAAACCATGACGGTAGCCTACCGTTATGGTTACCGGAAAACCTACCGTGTGTGCCCCGAACAGAGACTATTAGATTATTATCGCCCCACAGTCGCGATATACGGTCCGGTATACGATACGGTGGGCCACCGTATCGTGACCGTACCGTTGATAAGGTAGAGTGATCGCAACGCGCAGACGGTAAACGATACGGTCCAATCCTGCCTCTGACACGAAACATGATGCGGTTCAAATCAGTCTTCAGGCTCTGGCTGATGGTAGCAATCGTTCAATTGAAAACTCGATGAAAACTAAAATTCTAAACTATTTTTTGATACCAAAACATCCAGATTTAACAGCCCATGAATCTTTCTACGAGCATTCGAATTTTAACACAGGCGCCTATGGAGTTTAAATGACAACTCGCGCGGAGTACTCCAACGGCTCCGTAAGCTTGGCATACTAAATTCAGATGGCTACAGAATCGTTCGTTTTTAGATATACTGCACTCGCTTGGTATCAAAAAACTCCTTAGAAATTTATCTTTCTTCTAATATCATTTTCTGATGAATCAAGAGCAACTAAAATCTATCAGAACAATTTTAAAGTTCCGTGATTTGGCAGCTGCAAACGTTATGCTTCAAGCCACTGCCACTGAGGGTGGTTGCTATATCGCAGACGTCAACGGTAGGCATTACGATATCTCAGCCTTCTACCGTCAAAAGTATTTATGCTTTAACCGTTTAAATTTTCTTTTGAAAAATGAAGAATAGATCAGAAGAAACGATTTGATGTTTAAATGCATACAGACGTTGGAATCAAGCTGGTGCGAAAACAGCGATCTGCTTTAACGGCGCACAGATATATGCAACGTAAATCGAACGTGACGTAAGGCGAACGTTCAGTTTAATATGTTTAGAAAAGGATGTATGCCCCTCGTACGAGGAGGCGAAGCGGAATATTGAGGAGAACAAATGCTCTTTGGATGTGTTTAAGCCGGTGGACGGTGGCCGCCTGAGCAACCTTCTGAAATGTTCTGTTGACGGGGGCGCGATTACTTTTGATGGGATTCTGCCAGATGGCCGGCATAAACTGACTGCAGCTGGAAAACTGGGGGAATTAGATTCCTTTCGCGAGTATCTACTGTAAGTGAGGAAATACGAGGGCGCAATCTTCCTCGGGAATGTTTTTTAACTGCTTAAATCTAGAAATGAATGACATTTACTCGAACTTAATTATTCTGGCTATGACCAATAATTTTTTCATGGAAATTACCATATTTAAAGCAAATAGATTGCAGGAATAAATGGTGATAAGCATTGCCAAATAATTTCAGAAACAAAATTATTGAGAATTTTTGAATGAGCTGTTTCAATTTGCTGCCGCTCCTTTGTACTTGTGATTTCGTTTTACTTTACAGCAACAGAATTATCTTTTGTGTGATTTTATTAATTTATCTAGGACGCTTAATTTAACCTACGCGAAGTACGGATTGCATTTCGGCGCTGAAGAGACAATAATTGTCAACGAAGCTGGCACCGGCGAGGATGCCCTGAAGGACCGGGAACGTTATCAGCGCGAGAAGGAAGCTATTGCCCGATCTCACGAAAAGGATTTGGAGAAGACTTCCGGTGGCCACCGGAACGAACCAGTTAAAATTAGTTTTATTGAAAACGTAATGAAAAGATGAATAATTTTGGCTAATTCTATGTGCTTATTTATTTAAATAACTTCCTGCTTATTTTCTGAACTTGCTTGATTTCTAAATGGTTTCATATGTTTAGGAATGGCTAGCAGAGACAGCGAAGAATAATCCTGTCAGCGAAGGTACAGGCGTACATTTAAGGTGGCTTTTTTTTATTTTTTTAACGAATTTTGAGTGGAAGTTGACACTACAAGAACATTAATTAACAACTAAAGATTTTTATTTGATTATAATTCCCATAAACTCGTAGATGCTCGGCTAATAATAATTAATACACGTACCATAATTATTTTATTTTTTTATTTACGAGTTAGTTCTAATTTGGTACTCATATAGTTGTATGCAGTAATAATAACCAGGAAAGTGCACCGCTGTTGGCTTGCACTAAAAGACCGAAGCGAAGCGGGGTAGTGCATTTAATAAACTGTTTGCTGATGGTGAGTTTGTTTCAAACGGTTTTAAAATGCAGTTTTTATATTTAAATAATATTTTCTTTTTTATTTAATATTTTTGGGTGTGTTCTTCCATACTTTATTTATTTGAAATTATTGAGGCGTGACCGACGTGACCGACAAACTCCTGTTTTCTTAAACATAGAGGACCTTCGCTTCGCTTCGGCCGATAATAATTAAATAAAAATACGAATAAGTATTAGTAACAATTATATTAATTTAAATAAAGGATAATAACGGTCTATTTATGCAGGTGTCGCAAGTGTTTGTGATCGCGCAAGTGCGCATGCAAACGTTGGATCGCAAATTGGAGCATTTGCAGAGTCAGGTACTTCCGGACTAATGTGATTGTCTAGCACGCAGACCTAAATACGAGACAGAGACAAGATAGATCTGGTGGGAAAATTCGAAAAAAAACCGACAAAGCGGTGGCTAAATAAATTTTTCGCTGGTGCTAAAATGTGTTGAAATGGGATTTCGTGGGCTTTTTGCGCAAAAGAACAGCTTAAGTGTTGGTCAGTGCTTAGCGACCTAGTTAATCTTTATAGCAGACAAATGCAAATTGCAAAGTAATATTGCAAAGGTCACGTTGGCTTCTTTGAAAAACAAAGGAGTCGACGGATTTAGCAAAAGCTTTGAATGGCAATCAGCCCAGCATAATTTTTTCGGACTTTAGAATAAGCGGAATGTTTTAACAAATTTTAAATTGGAGGAAGATAAGGATGGTCGTTGGGTCGAACCGCAGTTTTAAGTTAGATCTCACTGTATTTTAAGTCACACTCGCAGCGACGCGATCCATAGTGAAAAAATCCATAACACATACAGGGATAATAAAGAAATTGAATACTTAATTAGTAATTTGCTGATTTGTGACCTACTCGTAGAGACCTTCAAGTGGCCACCCATGTTAAGTCAATGGACGACATACCTTCAAGTGGCCAGGCTGCAGTTATTTGGCCCCAGACCCGATTTTCTTCCTGTTTTTGGTATAGCATGTTCAGCTCAACATGCTCTTTACAGAGTCCCTGAAAATTTTAAAATCGGTTGAACCGTTTTTTAGGTATTTACGTTGTAAAAAATCAGTGACGAAACGCGTAAGCCACGCCACGAGAGCCACTAAACTACATGTGCGGTTGATAAGTGAAATACGTTGGCGTTAGTGTAGTGGCTCTCGTGGCGTGGCTTACGCGTTTCGTCACTGATTTTTTACAACGTAAATACCTAAAAAACGGTTCAACCGATTTTAAAATTTTCAGGTACACTGTAAAGAGCAAGTTGAGCTGAACATGCTATACCAAAAAACAGGAAGAAAATCGGGTCTGGGGCCAAATAACTGCAGCCTGGCCACTTGAAGGTATGTCGTCCATTGACCTAACATAGGTGGCCACTTGAAGGTCTCTACGAGTAGAGTAGAGTGAATTTTAAGAGAAACTGCCCGAACGTGGCGCGGCGTCTCTGTAATTATGTTACTAATATAATATTTATGCGTTTATACAGATTGTAACGCGGCCCCTGCTAGCGTAACTGTCGGCTCGGTAACCAGAATTGTTGTGGAAGCAACTGACATGCGAGAGAATGACCCGAAGAAGAAGGGACTTAACCAGCACGAAATAGAAGCTTCCGGTCGATCTGACGACATGGAGCTCGAGAAGAAGACCGATTCCTACCGAAAAGACGCCAAGGTATGTGTTTCAAATTTCCCGTTTTTAAATAGGCTTTAATTACTTACTAATTCGGGAAGTAAGTTTTTTAATGAAGACGTAAATAATTCTGACTGATTTGTGGGAAGTGTTGCACTTATTTAAAAAGTTATGAGTTTTCTAAACATGTTAGTTTGATTTGTGCAGGAAGAGGCTGAGCTGATCCGCAAGGAACTGGAGAAGCAGGATGAGCGTCCCAAGAAAATTTTTGGCAAGGCCATAGGGCGCCATCCGCTGGAGCAGGAGACCAAGTACGCCAAGAAGGAGCAGCAACGTGAACACCACCTGACCGAGGAATCTTTGGACAAGAGCCGCGTGGCCACCAACATCGACGCGTCCATGGACGCTTTTGCGTAAGAAATGTCGACTTAATTTATTTTCTCATTTTTTATATAATTTTTCTTTGAAGTTTATTTTTTCGCTTTAAAAAAAAGTTCTGGTAAAAAAATTAATTTTCCGATTTGTCAACCTTTTAGTTATTGCTGGCATTAATCAGTATCGATCACATACAATTTGATTCATTTATTACTTAATCAAAGTAATTAGACAGTTAAATAATAATCATAAAATAATAATTATTTTCAGTTATATTTATCGTAGAAAATCTCGCATTTGAGCTCAGTTTTTAATTAAATTATTCTACAGGAGCGGCAGTGCACGGACTGTGTCAAAACCTGTTAATACTTCCGAGGTTCGCGAGAAGGAGAAGAAATCCCTGTTCGATAAGTTTAAGAGTACCTTTGGGCGTCGCTGAGCCATTCGGTGGAGGCTATTTGTATTCCTACGCAGCTGGTTCGCTCCTGCGCGTCACACATTCTTCCCCTTGGTTTCCTTTATTAATTTAATCTCACTAATTGCACACCCTAGGGACGTCGCGATGTTTACTACATATTTCTCAATGTTGCTGGAGGATTTTATTTGGCTACTTTGGTGTTTGTACCGGAAGGTGGTTTTGCATCAAACTTGTGGAATACTAATATTTATATTAATTTTTTGTATCATTAATCAGTCCGGTTTCTTGCATTCTGCCATTTTGAGTCTTTCTTATTAATGTGATCAATTCATTTCGGTGCGAAATTTTAATAAATTCATTGAATCATAGCGATTCATACTTCTGGAAGTTGTTTTTCTTAAGAAAGCTTTAGCTGAATGGTAATAAGCAGCGCCGCTGCAGATTCAAATATAAATCCGTGAAGTATCACAAGGAGATTATATAAGGTTCTCAGTAACAGTATTACTGGAGATCGCTATTGCATATTCGCATGAGATCTCTAGCTCAGTATATCTGCGTCATCATAATGATTCGAAAAACGAATGCTTATGGAGCGTACTAAATGTACCTCGACACTTACAAACCTAAAGCCATTAACAAATCCCGGGCCGAAAATGACAATGCATTAGCAAAATGACTAAGGAAAAACTGCCGAAACCGTTACTGTTGCTGGCCAATGTATATATAAGTTAACACCGAAAGACGTTGCCGTATCTTAGTTGCATAGTTTTTTACAGACCGTGACCTTTTTATAAAATAACTTTTTACAAATTTGCTTGTCATAAACTTTTCTGGTCTTATCAGCATAAAACTGCCGGAATAGAGCATGGTTCGTATAATTTTTTAATCAAGCACGCTGAACAGGAAACTAATTTCATGTAAGTATATGTTTAAAACTCTATGATTTTTACTTAGTAGTCGCGGTATTTTTTTACATTCGTCAGATGCTCACCAACTGTGCTGAATATTCAAAGTTTCAATGATTTTGGTCCGGCAAATGACGGCTACAATTACAACATCCCGTCACCGGTGTATACGCCAATTAAGCACCCCGCCACCCCCACTGTACAGTTCCGGCTTCCCCGGTGAATCAAACATACACACCGGCGCCTTATCATTTTATGCCCAGCCGACACCGCAACCCTTTCTCTTACCGCCGTCACCCTATGGCAACGGATACAACGTCCGCATTACGCCGGTACCGGTTCCGCTGCCACCGGCACCATACTCTAGCGGATCTCCGGCGAATTCTTATGACATTATACTTTGTACTCATGTATCCGGTAATTCAGCGGCAACCGTACAGCAGTCCACCCAACTGCCGCTGTGACCATATGTAGTCCGTAATCCGTATATTGTCATCCCGGTGTGGGGAAATAATGGAGTGAAGTACGGGAATATCTGAGCTCTTGTTAACGCTATGGCGAATACACAGGGTAATTTCTTGGGAATTAAAATTATGCTAACTTTAAATAATTTTTATTATTTGATGACCTGTCGATTAACAAGTCTGGGATTTCGGTGTGGGGCGGCGTGCCCTTGCCGATATGATGTGACTGGTAAGCGAGAGAGAAAATACAGTGTCATAATAATGATATGCCCGCTAAAATTATGATACATGCCGCTAAATAATATATAAACAAATTATGAGCTCCAATACCGACTAAATTATTTAAAGCATTAATATTGTACGGGCATTATGCGGTTATAAAAATAGACCATGCCAGCACATTGTAAAGCAATCAATGGCCTTTTGTGCTTTAAATTATCGAGGCGGGATAGAGCGTCCCATTCGGGGTCGCCAACCGCCTCTCCAACGGAACTACCGTACGCGGCCCGGTGGATGTCCGCACAGCGCTAGTTTTTGGTCCGTCTAAGTTCTGCTATGTAAGACTATAAGTTGCACTTTGGTTGACTTGATTTTCTGATAATTTGATTTGGTTTTTCAACTATTGGTGTACACTGTACGATGCGACACCGAGTGCTCCGCCTGTCAAAACAGCCCCTGGCAATGTCCCAGCTACCATCTGTAAGTTTATGGATTTTACACCGCACTATAATGACAACCGACCCGTCCCCACCACTTCCCTATCCACCATCATCAACGGTCTTCGGCGGCCCTCCAGTACGTTCGCTCAGCACCACCGCCACTTCACGACCCGCGGTGGTCGTCGTAGTCCGCACCCGAGGGCCACCGGCACCACCGGCAGTGGTGGTTGTAAGTCCCAGAAGTGAGACTGAGGCAACACCGGTGCCGGTAGGTGAGACTACGGAACCCACGGAAGGAAAAGCAACGGAAGCTGCTCGGCTGGAGAAAACCCGAAGGGTGAAAGCACAGTGTGGGCCGATGTCAAAGGTACACCACCACCCGAAGGCGGTGAGCAAACTTCTGCACCGGAAGCCGCCATGAGTCTCCAGAATCAAGTTCACAGACGCCTCTGGAAACCACAACTGGAGGTGCGGGAGGAGAAACAACCAGCGCCGCAAATGAACCAGTAAAAAAAAGGACAAAGAAATAAGATTTTTGATGGACTGCGAGCAGCAGTTATCTGTATGAGCAAAAGGTCAAGGAAAACCAACCGGCTTATGTTAAAAACGGCTGCTAACAACTAGAGTGGTGCACGCGTGAGATCGTGTTTTACTGTTCTCCCTTCTTTGTTCTTCCTTTCTTTATGAGCGCTGCTGCTGGAGCCGGCGACGCGGCAGCGGCCTGCACGGCGCCCGTAACGGTCAAGACGTAATCAGGCCGTTTACATGACGTTTACGTCTGTTTTTCAAAAGTTGCTTTACGACAGCTTAAACATTCCGCTGCTTTTCTCGGCATAATGAGTACATCTGAGCCAGAAGGACTGTACCCGTATAAACAGTCTCTGCGTAGCAAAAAACGGACGAATTATATAGGTAAGCGCACTTCATACCGTCAGGCGCTAAATAGTGGGCTGTACCAACACGGTTGACAGGCGTTTCGTAATACTCGTATACCGAAATGTGACACTCACAACGGCCCTGCACTGCAGCCAGGCCATTCCGGCAGAAATCCTCACAACCTGCCAGCGCCTACTGCGTAAGTTCACATTTCCCGGGCCGCTTGAAGCGTATAAGCAATACACATCAGATCCCTACAATACCCCGCACTGCGTTATTGTGCCAACACACACTTAAGAGTGGCGAAGCGCTCTGTAAAGGAGGATTACGTATTAGATAGGAGCGATGATGGCCGGGGAGATAAGTTTACAATGGAGAGAAATGTCGTCAGTGTGCTGCGGCGCCGCGATCGAATGAGAATTGATGAGACAGGCCAGAGCCCTTTAGTGGGCCGGGCAGCTGTCGCGCGGTGACATGTGCCATATATTCCGGATACAAATCCGCCGCAGCAGCGCGGATTGGATGTCCTCTCGCGCGTTAGCGGTTTGTTATGCAAAGGCGACGGGTTATCGACTTATCGTACTCGCTGACCCTTATGTGCCATAACAAGGTTTTCAAAAATATTGCGCTGATTGTTTATAGCAAATCAGACTAAGTATGGCCTTGTGCACTTCGAGGTTGCCCGCATTCCGCACACTTTTACTGTACAATATGCGGGTTTTGCGTGCCGGACGCCAAAGACAGAGAATTCTCTGCGCTGTTCTGCATTAGAAAACTTGATAGTTTTTTTGTTAATCTTGTACAGAAGTATAAACTTGTATAAAAAAACTAATCACCACAACCAATTTTCGAAATGTATTTGCCATGTGGAATAACGCGGAGAATATCGTGTCTGTGAGGTCAGCCCGGTCATGCACGCGGATGCCCGTTGTGAAAATGTCCGGATTGCAAAAAACGTCGAAGTATGCAAAATGTGGAGAAACCGAACAAATTCTTGATGCTGCCATATAGTCAGTTATTTACGTTAACAGTATACGCGTAAGTGAGTGAATTTGAGTTACGTAAAAATTGCTGTAAGTTCGCGTAGTTTTCCATTTTCGTAAAAGGCAGGCAGTCGCAGAGAATGACAAACTTTCGGCTTCTTAAACACTGGGATGTAGAGACTGGCCTGGGAAAAGATGAACGAAATCAAATATTCACATTGCCAATCATCATGTCATTTATCATTATAACAGGAAATCCACAAGTTGACGATGACGCTCCATGATTTACATAGCAAGCCAGCTAAACCGGCAACAAAAAATCCCGGGGCACCCAAAAATCTTTTTTTGACGGCCGGCTCTAAAAAGTGACAACACTGGCTGGCACTGGGCAATTGTGTCGAATTCACTGTCAACAACTTTCACAGCTCCTCCTCTCTAATCTTAACAGTAAGACTGTCAAGGAATAGTTAAGGAATGAGGTTTTAATGTCCAGCAAGTGTCCATGGTGCAATTCTTAATCAGCAATACCGCTGTACTTTATGCTGCAGGGGATTGTTGACGTGCGTGTATTTTAAAAGAATTTGACACTAAAAGTAAAGGTTTGTAGACTAAGAATTTAAGATTCACCCATCTGACCGTTTAAGATTCACCCATCTGACAGAATTATAGTAAAGTGACCGTCCGCCACTTTACTATAATTCTGCAAGCACATGTTTTTCTGTTTAACAGTTAAAATTTTGTTAGCACACATACAGTAGGCACTCATAGTAATCGTTGCACATCGAGGCGTTCGAGCGGGTTAGTCATTAATACAGAAGACTTTTTTCCGGCGCAGAAGAACAAAGACAACATACCTCATCCAAAGATCGACCAATCGATAAGGTCTGCTAAAACGCAGCCACTTCGATCAGAAAATCATCACAATGGAAATCTAGTATAAGCCGACTGAAAGCTCGAAAGATCAACGCAGCTGTCGTCGTGACTCGTGCAATTCCGAACGGCAGAACCATTCGCCGACACTGCCAAGCGATAATCAAACCGAACCTTGCTAAACGACTCAGAAAGGGTAGCCAGGAATAAATTGCAACCCGCCGTGTCCACGGCAAAATAATGCAACAGTACATAGAAACATGTCGCCAGAGCGCCAAGAAAAATCCGGGATGATAGTCTACTAATGGAACTGGACAATCCCCACCATCATCACCATGTGGGAGGTGTGTCGCCGGTATGGCAAACAGGGGATAAAGATACAGATTCACCTTCAGATTGCCCTTCTCAAAGCAACGGGAGCCATCGACGCCCGAGTGGCGGACAAACAAATTGCTGAATATTAAGTCCGCGCTTCACTAAACGACCTTTTATTAGGATTTAGAACGTCGAGCTGCTGGACGGTTTACTGAATCGATTAATGCGATTAAAGGATATTCCTAAAGAAATTTTTAACCGCTCGGCTCAAGAGGTTTTTAATCCTTAAGATTATGATAAAAACCACGCTTTAGCTACTCACTTTTATAAATTGGTAGTGAATCTAGTGAGTGGTTAAAATCACATTTCTAAAAGGTCGCTTAAAACTGACAATCAGTCGATGTGCTGCAGCTTCTGCTGGCTATACTCAGGGTAAAGCAATGGCTCGTCAGCCTGGTGAGCCTAATGCAACTTCCATGTTATCTGTAACGGCTGTACATACGTAGCTCTACTCTGAACTAGTATGTTTACGCAATTAGTTTAAATTTGGGCAGGCTTCCTGGCATTTTTACGCAATTGCAAATAATTTAAGGTCGCCGCGCATGCAAATATTGTTATTCTGGTGGCTGTCACTAAAATTTATATGCATAAACCAAAATTTTTTTAAAAAGATATTCAAATGCACAGTACATGCTGATGCACATAAAGGAACCATAAGGTTTTTGCGAGATTACTTTTAAAACTTGAAAGCGTACCTTTTCCTGGATTTCCGGCTCCTTGTCTTCGCGCTGTTCGCCTAATAGGGCTCGCGACAAAACCAACAGCAATAGATGTAAGGAAAACATGTTACGGGCAACAGGCAGCAGTGCCAGCTGTCGAATAAGGGCTTGGCATGGGAGTTCTTCTCTAGATCTCTTCTTATCACATCGTCAAAGGCTGGATACAACGTTAAAAATCCCCACACGAGCGAGAGCGGATAAAAGCATAGTACCACTACCACTGAAGGGCTGTTATATGCACCTCCACTCTTACTACGAATAAGGGCAACGGTTTCGGCAGATTTCGGAGTTCGGACCGTTGAGTCATCCTATGTACTAACGCTATAGGCATGGCTGGAGAACTCGAATTTCGAAGGGATTTTATAACAATCGAAACATACAGTTTAAGAAAAATAACGTAAAACCCATGGAATACCGTACCAACACGATTTACTGTAACACGTCAATGCAACCAACAGGCAACAGCCAACAGGCAACAACAAATAAAGCAAAACTGGGCGAGAAAAAGCCGCATACTTTATTTCTTTTGAATTGCTACCGTATTTACAGTAAATGCGTGAAGCAATGGCCGCAGGCGCCATAATATAAGTACGAGACTGTGCAGACTATAATAAAGTAATACATCGAAACGAGCCAGCGCGCGCAGAGCAGGATAAAGTGACGAAGTATCGGGAAATCACATAGGACTACATGTCTGTTGCCTAGTAGGCGTCGAAACACTCGGACCGGACGCCTCCCGCTTGATCACGTCACAGAACTCGGGAAGGTGACAGACAAGGTAATGTGACAGGAAACGGTCGACGTACGGGCGGCGTACCTGTGTTAGGGGTCAGCATCGAATCCAACGCAGGAATGCGGCCTCTGTCATGGAAACAGCACAACGTCGGCTAATTTAGACGAAATGTTCTATGTGATTAGGTCGCCTATTTCCGCTCCCGGTTACAAGACTGTGTATTGTAATCAGTAAAATCTTTTACTTTATCAAAAACTTGGGAAAAAAACGTTCCGATCAAGTTTTATGATTTGGGTTAGTTTTCACGTGATTTTCGACTTCATACTCTTTATATCATCAATTCGAGTGAATATGCTCAATCATTTTCAGTTGCTCACGTCAAGATCGATCAATAAATTTAGCACTTTTACTCACGTACATACGTAAAGCACTGGAACCCGACCAGGCGTTTGTTTTACTGCATCGTTACACGATTACATACTGTATGCTACCGTGACCTTTCTAACACTATACCTTATGTTTTACTTAGTAAATTATGTTTGTCTATCACCACATTACTTCCGAATTACCACTGGATTTTACCGATGATCTCCAAGAAGCTATGACAACATCACTGCTATCTTCACAAAAACTGGGGAACGATATCTGTGAATATCTTCAACGATCTTTTGAGAAACTTCAACAGTACGAAGAAGCCTCCATACGCTAAGTCTATCGGAAAAAAAAGCCACATTAACGCAACTGGCTCTGTCGACACCACCATGAAATCTGGATAGTCCTCTGTTTTTCCAGCTATCTGTACCATTAAAATCTGCAATAAACAGTACTACTCTACGTGGAAATTCATCAAATTCTTTGCAGTCGGTAAGCGGAAAGGAACCAGGTTCAAGTCGACGAATCATGGTACTGACGAAATTACGCCTCGCCGCCATGCTGACGAAAATTACGGATTCATCTTCGCGCGAGAAGTAACGAAATAATTCACAACTTAACGTAGCGCATGACTCGAAATCTTGTACTGGCTTTTCCTGCTTTTGGGATCTGCTAACTTAATGCACCTGTTAATTGCAGAACTATTTAAAATAATTCAAAACCTTCATAATATGTTGACAGTAATCTTTTTTTCTGGCTGACTTAATCAATTGCTAAATTACAGCTTAGGAGTTAGGACTAATAAGACACATAACCCCATACCCAGATATCCGTACGCATGTGGCAAGTGCACTTGTACGACAACCGGATATTTAGCTGAGTCGTACAGCGCACTGCGCTGCATACTTTCGGAATGCGGTGGGTGGGACTATGCGTCTTTTTTGTCCTAAGCTGTAACTTATAAGCTTAAGTAATCATCATCTAGGCTTTATCTGTTTTGCGCTCAAAGCATCCCGATGCACCAATGGACAGTAATTTTCCGTCACCCTGCGCCAACGACATACCTGCATTCGATCCAGTTACAGCCGCCGAAGTTATTAGCGCCGTTTTCAGTTTTCCTAGCGGCTCTGCTGGAGGTTTAGATGGTCTCCGTCCGCAGCACTTAAAAGACATGCTTAGTTCCAAAGATGCTGTCGAGTCTCCACTACGTACTGCACTGTGCAAACTAGTTAATTTTCTTGTGGCCGGCAAGTTATCAGAGGAGCTGAAACCTGTTCTGTTCGGTGCAAACTGCAAACCTGATTGCCGTGTCAAAGAAGGATGGCGGCGTTCGACCGATTGCTGTAGGAAACGTTTTGCGACGACTGGCTGCCAGCCTAGAACTCAATAAAGTTAAGTTTTATGTGTACACTCTGTACTAAACCAGACTAGACCAATTAACTACTAGATTTTCTATGGATTTTGCGTATGCTTTCTGTTGGTTTTCTGTCGTGGGTTCTTGGCAGAGTGCCTTTATTGTTCCCTTGTGTTCTCAATAAAGATTTTGCGGCATTAGCTCGCCTTTGTTTCGCTATTTCTGATACAAGTTTCTCGAGAAGTACGAGAACATCGTTTCGCCAAAGGCAGGATCAAACTCTGAAAAATCCCCAAACGAGCGAGAGCGGATAAAATACAATGGATTCGGCACATTTCGCGGCGCGGAATCGTCCTTGCTACTAACGCTATAGCTATGGCTGGAAGTCTGGAAGTGTTCGGATCTGGAAGAAATGTTAAAACAACCGGAACGAAAATAAAACATGACATAAAAACCAGGCAATATCGTGTCAAAACGGTTTGCTGCAAGTCTGGGACATTCATGCAAGAGCAAATCAATACAACACAGCCGGAGCGAATACCGTATACGGTATAAAGTAAATACGATAAACTCTTACAATAAGCAATAAACTCTGTTTCTTTGGAAATGCTATCGTGTGTAACGCCATGGAGTGATGAGCGGAGGCGGCATAATACTCGTGTATAAATGTTTCAGTATAAAAATATAAATACGGTAGTTACATACTGTATTACGAGTGTATCAGCCTTTTCTTTAAATGTTAATGTAATTACTGTATCTGAATGAAATCTGTAGGAATACATCCATTAATATTATTGACGGGCCGAAATTTAGTGGATGCTTCGTACGTAATATAAAAAAATACACTGCCGCAATGGGCAAGTTGTGCGGCATGGCTTAATTTTCACCCGATTTCTGACTTCATATACTTTAATTTATAATTATTCCATTGCAATATTATGCATTCATCTACGCTATTTTACTTTAGGCGCCAGATCGGCAGCGTCTGCTGCGCGTACCGTACTGGCCGCATCTTACAGTATGTAGGTGTGCGCAATACCGTGCTCTCAGTTATTATTAAACGGTTTCACCTTCTTAAAATGGTTTAAATCCACAAAACCAAAAACAAAAGGAACAGATCGTTGCAACTCATCGCTTTTAAAAACAGGGTTTTTGATAACCCTGATAGCAAAATTTAATAGATGACCTTTTACACAGATAAATGTGTGGTGGTATTCGTTCCAGCCTTTTACAGAGATTAGCGCCAGTAAGCAATATTGGCAGATTCGTGCACATAGTACCACGTCCCGTAAAAAGATTTTCCAGGCAGGATAGCCTTTCATAACTGTCCTGGAGTAATCTCGATTGCGCAGTCGAGCAAAGCCATAAAATCAACAAAAGCGTAAGGGCTGTGACAGCACTTCTTGATAATAAGTTATTATTAAAAGATTCAACTAAAATTCAAGCATCTGGAAATTTAAAAGTTGGGAAGCATGCAGAAAATAAGAAGCAAGCGAAGGAATGAAGAGACCCAACGGTCGGCTGAGAATTCACAAAGAAAGAACAGGAAGACACAACGACAAATTTATCGAAAATGGTTCCTCAGGACACTAAGTGTCCTGCTACTTATAAACATTCGTAAGGTAGGCAGTGACAGACAAATGCCAGATGAATTTCGATGTGATGTACGTGTACTTCTCCTGTCACAGGAGATCTTTCGATGCTGGCATTACTCTCGCAGTGTCACGATAGCTTGCTGAATGGGATCAGCGTTGATCATCATGCGGTCATGTTTTTTCATACTCGGAACACCTCGTTTATCCCGTATATGGCCATTTTGCTCCATGTGGATAGATGCACACACCGTAGATCAACCTCGTCCCATACCTTCGGTGTTCCGTCCGAGTGAAATCCGCTGAACCTACCCAACAGGATGTGCACGTGGTTAACTGTAGTGTATAGTGCGAGTTCACGTACGTACAGGTACAACGATGTGTATTCTCGTGAATTTGAATACTGTCCGATGCCCATTGTGCCGTAACAACTGGTATTGGAAGTACCAGCATTGCTACGTTATGTTTTTTAGTTGGTTGTTTGCTGCTGCTGTACCGAGCGGACATAATAAAGATCATGCCGTTCGATACATATAATTATGACACTAACCGTTTTCCAAAATAAATCACAAAAAATATGAGAATTTATTGATTTCGAGCCATATTGAAAGGACCACATTAGATTTCGAGCCATATTGAAAGGACCACATTAGAGAGTACTTTCAGTACTCGTATACGTACTCGCACTACTATTACTACGCAGTATTAACTATTATCAAACTGCATTAAAGGAACCTTTAAGTGGCGTCTAGTTCCTACTTCCTGCCCCGTTCTTGGAAAACTCACGGATTTGTTCTTACTCAGATCAATGCTACTTCGAGATTCCGGATTCGGAACAATTAGTCACTCCAACTACTAATTAAGAACAACAAGTAGAACGGCAAGAGTCGTTCAACTTATTTTTTGCTTCAGTGTTTAAGTTTGGAAATAATGCGATCGCGAGGGACTGCTGGGAGTGTGTTGTATATAGTCCCTTCTCGTGCTAACTGGGACAAATTTTTTATTTGAACGTATTTCGTGAGCGATGCTTGCCTTTAAAAGTATGGATTGCGAATAAAAATTTATTCTAGAACCATTGGTCAATCCACGCATTGAAGACACAGCTTTTTTTACAAGGAATAGTGATTACGATACTTATGTAAATACTGTACTGTACTCTACTCTGTAGTTGAGAAGCTGCGTTCCGCAATACGGTGCGGCTTAACAACTGTTTAGATGATAGTACAATTAAACATTTATCACGGAAGCCGAATCGCTTTAACCCAAACTCTTAACACAAAATGCATCGCAATGCTTGCTATTTAGTGCTAGCACCGAAAGAATGGAGGCATAAAAAACTCTTAAAATCACAGATCTTAACATTCCATGGAACTGATATAAATGCAGTGTATAAGTACGTACTGCACTTAATTACTTTAAGAGATGTCTGTTTTTATTTGGACAAGCCATTCAAATTTTGTAGCAAGAATCGAATTAATTTCCGCAGCGAAATTTCTTTTAAATTATCCGTTCCAGTTATTGAACCGGGGAGGTTAACCGCGCTATCCCCTTATATTCTGCGAAGCACGCTCTCGCTTGCCGGGAAGCGTATAGCGGCAGATTCCAAACAGTAAGATCAATATCCAAATATTTTAATGTTTATTAAGCTAAAATTGCGTACAAAAATTTATAACCCATCTGGAGACAACGCAACACGACACAGTTTGACGGAATGAGTCTACTTAAATTACTGTACTTATTATGAGTGTGTGCACAACGCACTCAACCACTTTCTCATTGAACCCCGTTGCAAGACCCGTCTGTCACTTCCGTCCGTCAGATCCGTGGCTCTGTCTCTGCTTTACTAAACCTTTCCTTTGCAAACATTGGTTCTCGTCTTCTCGAATTTCCCCGATTTTTAAACTAGAGCGAATAGCTACATTCTACAGTCTACACACATTTGCTGCAGATTGCTCACCTTTACAAAACTGCTAAGTTTAAGCAAAGATCGCTGCCTCCAATAGGACCACAGCGAAAAAGTTCAATGGCATCAATTTTTCCATACCCAGTAACTGTATCGACCGGCAAATACACGGTATACACCTATGGTAAAGTTAGTACAAGTTAAGTTTTTCCGGGCATGTTTTTTGACTTGTAGTTGTATCCGAGTATGGTCATCAGTGTGAGATCATTAGTGTGTGGTGCAAGTGTGCAATAAACTACGAGCCGTGACCGTGGCGTGAATAATATTTGTGGTACTCAGCGATAACCAAATGGCTGCCGGTGGTAGTGGGAGTACTACGACAACATCGGCCGCTGCCGCAGCTTCCGGTGGAGAAGGAAATAACGCATATGGCTTGCTGCGTTTTGAAGCGACTGTCATGACGTCGAGGTCGTGCCAGTTTAGGCATCGATTACCCGGTAGCGCAGATCGTGGATAACAGGCGTACGTCCGGAAGACGAACGCGAACGTGAAGTGGGCCACCTACTTCAAGCTGCAACAGCAGGCCGCAAAAACGCTGTTGGAGTATTGCAACAAGCTGCCGCCGAAGGCTGCGCATTTCAAGCGGAAGTTCTGGAGAAGAACATGTCCTCTATCTGTATGTTCCTTAATGGCGTGGCCGGCGCTGCCACTCGTTAGTATCTAATAACGAAGGACTTCTCCACGTTGGAAAAGCCCTAGAAATGGCGCAGCAGTACAAGGTGACAAAGAGCAGCAGCAGCAGCCAACCGGCTACGGAAGTGCCTGACGTTTCATCGTGCGCAGCGCGGGGCAAGGGTGCGGCTAAGATCGTAACCAAGGTCATTGGGGCCGAGCTGGGGGGTAGAAGCAGCAAAACGGTAAATAAAGGTCACTGTATAATGTAATGTTCAAAGACAAGTTCAATGCACTCGGCGGTTTTCCGTGGCGGAGCCGGTATTCACAAAAACAAGACAGGCTTATACCCGTTATCTCGTAAAACGGTCCTAGCAGCAAATATTTGGCAACCTTGCTGTTTTCCTTCTTGCTACCACGCACAACAAAATTTTTAGAAATTTTCGCGCTAGCAATAATCCATATTTGTGATTATTTCTTCTAGGCTCCGGCCATGAGTGCCAGCAGACTCTAAAAATTTTGTTGTGCATTTTCCTAGTAGTCATAGATTTGGTGGTGGGAGTTTATAGGCCAGAATTGATTATACTGATCTTGGTCAGAGTTTCAATGATGCGAAACACTGGCTTACGGGGTTGTGTTTGCTAAGCCGAAGACCAAATTAAAGTTCTTGCACTTACAGCAGGAGGTAATTGCGAATGCTCTGCCAGTCATCAGGATAGCTCAGGGTACGAATCCAGCGCGCACGGACTGCCCCGACCTTTGCTAGCATGTCCTGTGTGACCGGCGGGAAGTTGTCGTCCAGCGCGCGCATCAAGCGGCGTGTCATATGGAATCTGCCTTCGCTGCAGTGTATATGCAGCTTCGGAATAGTGATCTGCAGTTTGTCAATGGCCAGTTCGTGCGCGTGGCGTGTGAGACTCACCATCCACTCCCGCTCGTGCGCCGGCAGGCGACAAGGAATCGCTCCCACGCCGGAATGTCGCTCATAGTAGAAATTACTCACAAAGACATCATACATTTGTCTACCGAAAAGGTCAGAAATTTTCCAGTTGTGCAGCAAGACGGAGTTGCAAGTGTGTTTATATAATGTTAAATCAATCGCTGCTCCGTGCTTCAAACGCGACTGTTTTTGTTGAGAAAGTCCCACAGGTTTGACGTTAATGTGATCTTTGAGAACAAGCAAAGGCAACGTGATTTTCATCGTACGTAGCATAGGATACAATAAAGCTGCATGGTCAGGCGGGAAGACCTTCAATAGGGTCAGACTAACTGTCGTGGAATTGATGCAGCGGCTTAGTAAAGAGGCCGCTTTGAAGCAGTTATCGGAGTCTCTTTTGAGGAAGCACTTAGCACCATCGGCTTTGAGTTGCCAGCAGCTTTCGAAGGAGATGCTGACGTGTTCCATCATCCGAGGGTTGCTTAGCAACAAATGCCATAAGGCACACGCTCTATCAAAACCAATACACCGTATTAATACGAGAGTGGAGTTTTTATGAGAAATGGCTTCGCTCGCCACTGGGCTTCGGGTGAAATTTTTGCGGACATACTGAACAGTCGGCAGACCTGTACGGCTACACCTATCTACCAAGCAGTGTTCGGTAAATTTTAATAAAAAACCTATTGAATAGACAAAGACACTGTCGGATTGCAGCGTATGGTAGCGTTAGGGGTGTCTGAAGTTAAACTCTGAACTGTATAAGTACCGGTAAATGACATCATGGATTAGTTTGTGAATGTAAGAAGTGTGTCGGTAGAAGGGAACGGCATAAAGGTATTAACGATATTATTTTGCGAGCGTTATGTAAGGATTGAATCGTATCCCGAGCCTGCTGGCTGCGAAAATGAAAAGCGTCCGGATGGCGCCACGCGATGGAAATGGTACCCGGGACAACCTTTAGTATTGGAGAGAAGACCTGTAGAGACACGATGGCGGATTCGTATGTCGACGCGAGCTCAAAGTGTGCGGGGCCTGTGGGCGCAGCCGCCGCACTGGCATTCACCAACAAGATGGGGAAGTACAAGTCGCTTACCGATCGATGTTATTACTTATTTTTGTCCCCATTGCATGTGAGACATTTTGCATTTGTGTGTGAGGCCGCAATTTTTTAAAGGCGGGGCGAATTTAAAGTACTGAAAAGGGGCGTGGCGAGGCTGGCGGACGTGTCACGTGTTTCTTTTCGCCATACTTTGAGCTCGGCGGGCCGCCCCCTTCTTTCAAAAACCTTGTGGTGGGCCTGATTGTTTTGTTAAATTGGAGATCGGTAAGAAATTGTTTGTCAGAACGGGGAGAGTCGTGCGACTTGTTTTTTGTTTCAACGTTTAAGTTTGGAGATTATGCGTGGCAGTGTAGCCAGTGCTGTTAGTGTATTGTGCACAGTCCCTTGTCTTTATTCTTTATTTCTGAGATGTGAGTGCTGCTCAGTGGTCACTGATGTGCTGAGCAGTGCTCACTGATAGTGATGTGCATAAGGCTGCATATACTGTATGTTAAATTATTGGTGTCATTACGATAAAAAAAAACAGCCGTACTTTGCGATTGCTTTATTCGGCTAGTTGTTTCGAATGACTTTTCTTAAATATTCTCTGTTCTCTTCGAAGGGGGAGGGGGTAAAGTGGTCTGCAGATATTAAAGGAGCTTGCGTTTTCTCAATTCAGCTAGGGATCTAGAGGGCTTCCTATTATTTCGTCCACCATTCATTTTGTCCACCATTCATTTTGTCCACCATTCATTTTAGTGTGCATGGAACTGTAAGGTGGACAAAATGTACAGTGGACAAAATGAATGGTGGACGAAATGAGTGGTGGACAAAATGAGTGGTGGACAAAATGAAGGGACACGATTAGAGTAGTTGTGGCTTGCGGAGATTCCGGTTTTTATGCTGACATACTGTACGATAGTTTTGTTCATCTCTCATTAGTGTTTAGTGGGTTTACGAACATTACACTTTGTGTTTCTTTGTCATTGCATCGAAAATGAAGGTGGATTTCTCAACGAGATAAAAAGTAATACTTGTATCAACCTAATTTATTTCAGGCTAATAGTTCGTACCGTTTGGCTTTCATTTGTGAATGTAGATCCAAATGCGATAATATGTCGCTCAGCAGTGAAAGCGTCAAATCCTGGATGCAGGCAGTCAACATTAATGCATCAACATCGAGATCTACCAGAATAATAAAATGCAAAATTCAAATAAAATATATATATTATTTATGCATATATACAAACAGTCCCGTCTTCAGCTTTTTGGAAGGGGTGGGCGCACCATTGTTCTTCCCGAGAAAGAGCAATTGCGCCAGTTCCAAATTTTCCTTTTTTTAACATGTAAGGTCCGACGCCAGTTGCGCCAGTCTGTTGCGTCGCCAATTTGAAACTCCAATCCTAGTAGATATGTTTTCCATGTTTTTCCGAGCAGAAGTACCCAATTTCTAACAGTTTTTCTCACCCATTTCCATTTCATAATTTTTTGGATCAAACTCATTTCCTTCCACCCTCGTTTCACCGTTCCCATTTTTAAAATTTGTAACCAAATACCTCCGCAAAATAAACGAAGAAAAGATTGTACGTATGCACTAATGCACACAGTAGTTTATTTCGCATTTCACTAAAAAGATGGTTAAATTTCGTAAAGATAACATTTACGACAGTCCACCAACCGGCTTCGCGAGGGATATTCTCATGTGCTGGGAATGCTAGATTATCGACAGGTAGTAGATAGGGGCGGCTGGTCAGATGTGTTTCCAGGATTTTCGGCAATATTTCTTCCATCCACTGAGTCTGTTGCGCGTCTGTAGGGAGGCTGACGAAGACAAACAGGCAACCCTCAGATTGGATGCGCAGGTGAAACCGGCAGCAGTCCGGCAGATTTTCCCGTCCTGATTTCAATTTAGCTTCTATGGCGTCATAAACGTGCTTGATGATGCGAAATTTATCAGCAGGCTCGCTGAGAACGATCCTCGCTTGGCCAAACGGGATAAAGTATTTGGTATACAGCAAACCGCTGCGGCATTCCAGCAAGCATGGACCGGTGGGTGGTAGCGCACTAGCCACTTGGCGCAGATGGACCAGCTCAAAACCAGCTTTGTGAGCAGAAGCATCAGCTTCGGAAATGTCAGTTTCGATGCAGAACATTTGATAACCATCTAATGTCTGTAACAAAACAGCCGGTCGAAAACGAAACGGTCCGTCAACTTCATCGCGCAGTGCCGCAAATATTCGACGTTCTACAGGAAGCTCGCTTTCCCAGTACGATGGGAGAGGCCAGACGTTTTGCATGTGCATCCAGCGAGCTTCGAATGTTGTGGAGCTGAAATGTATGAAGGCGTGGTTGCCGTCGATGTCCTGAATGTATCCCAACAGCCAAGTGTCGTCAGGCATCCGAACAGCAACACTGTTATGATAGTTCATTTGGTTGGCGTCCGCCAACAACGCCTGATATGGAGGCATTGTTTCTAGCATGTCCACAATTTCCTAGAAAAACAACGGAATTCTGTTACAAGGATTTCAGTGCACTTTGCCGCTTTAAAATTAGACCATTCATATTTCGACCTCATCTTCAGTCTTGAATACGGTGTCTTCAGTTTTGTGTTCTTCTAGGTATATCAGAATTTTTATTTAAAATTGTTTTTGTTCATTTAGGATAGGCAATGACAAGCGCCTTTTTATTTTACTTGGGCAGCTCGTGACCTCGGCTAAAGCATATATCGCTCGGCGCACACAAGCCAGCTTCTTGAGTCTTGCTGGCATCCATTTGGTAAATGTTTCATTCGAAAGCTCTTTCGTTCGCTCTTTCTTAATTGTTATTTGTTATGTTTTTGTAAAGAAGACACTAGGCGCGATGCAGAAATCTGAAAACCAAAACAGGGCCGCCTTGAAGTAGTGAAACAAACCGCTAACACTGCGATTTGTTTGGCGGTGGTTCGGTTGAGACTTGTCTGTCGTTACTGAACCAAAAATTTCCCATTTCCTCGAAATGTTCTTTAATATGTAAGTAATGTACTGACCAGACGAACGCAGTTTTAAGTGCAGCACAACCTGTCACGTGATACTCAATTATTAATTAATGGTCGATGTTGCGTGCACGGAAAACACGGGTTTAGGCTAAGTGCACGGGTAAGTTATTTCTTTTTAAATCGCTTAAAATTAAAAAAAAACTTATTTAAATCCGATTTTCGGGTTGGAATATGAGGACGGAAACCAAGCGTTTAATTGGTCTCTAATGATGTTAGACAAAGTACAAAAGGGGTGGATACGGTCAGGGAATGGATTTCGCAAGCAAAAGGGCGCTGAATACGGCGGCTCTGTGTTATCTCAATATCAACCGAATTTGTTTACGGGCTTGACCAGGGAACGGCAATATTCGAACCGTAATCGATGCGAGGAAATCTGAAGGCTGCATTCGAGGCCGTGAACATCACTCATTCCCTTGTGCTACTGACAGGGTTGAAAAAAGCCTGACCCGAAAGATGAAATTTTTTGAATTTACAGCCGGTGACTGTCAGATAACTTATCATATTGCAAATACCTTAAACCATGCATCAAGCCACCAGCCAGCCAAATGCACGTTACGTGCTTAAACAGTGTGGCGTGGCGCGCTGTAGTATGGGTTTAAGCGTAACCCGTGAATTTGTTATTTCGCTGTATTTACGAATGCTAAATTTATCGTCAGGTTTGTACTGTAGTAAATAAAGGCAAAAAATTAGAACTTTAAATTACAGCCTGCAGTATGAGTTTGCTTAGATAAGACAAGACAATCTGTAATAAAAGTTGCTCAAATTAGTTAAGAACCTAGACTATTAACTTATACATCACACGAACCGGGGCCTTCTTGTCTCCGCGGAAAGCACCATTGTGAGCTACATCATTTTTGAATACTTTTCGAGCAATAAAAATGTTCGATTGTTCAAAGAAGAAAGAGATATAAATTCGCAGAATCTCACAGGGTGAAGATGGTTGGTTACTGCATGTATGTACCAAAAGTCTGGTTATTTAATTACCCGATTTTCTTGAAACTTTGCTGTAAAAGACACATGGTCATAAAGTCAGAAAGCGAACCAATATCAGATTCATTATTCATAGCATTTATTTCCGATTTTAAAATCAATTTCAAAAATTTAAAATTCATTTCAAAATTACGGGAAAGTGCTTTGGACTTGAAACTGGTTCACTTTTGTTACGGACTGTTGTGCCGTACAGTAAATATACCGTATACGGCAGTACTTACAGACTAAAAGTTACAGTACTTATAATGTTTGGGGGCTCTAATTCAAATAATAATTACGTAACACGTATTAAAGCTCGCTGGTAAAACCGTAAAGCACTATAAGTCTATAACCGACTGTCAGCTTCGCGCTCCCGCGAAACCAGCATTTAACCATTATTGTACTGTATTTGATTACAGTAAATGAATTTTAAATCCCTGCGCCAAATATGGTTTCTGCGAATGTTCTACAATACTCTAAGATGCACATATTTTACTGAGTAGATTTACTTGTTTATAAATCAACTATGCTTTATGAAATACAAAGTGCTTTACAAAAAATTCGTAATAATTTAGAATCTTTTATAGAATTTCCAGAATTTGACTTCGCGCGTTACAACGTAGCGTCAGCTTCGCGCGAAATTTCATATTTTCTGTAAATTTTACATGGTAAGTTGTAAGTATATTTTGATACAGCCTTACTTCTTGCGGCCTTGGTAAGAGGGTGTCAAATGGAAGTGAAATGGAGTTCTTAAAAAATCTTAAGTATTTTCGCGGAACACTAAAAAGCCATTTGTAGTACTCGTACTCAAGTATTACCCGTACACAGCCAGGCCCGTCTTTAGCTTTTTTGAAGGGGGTGGCGCATGACTTCGCGCCAGCTGCGCCAGTTGGAAAATGGCCGAAAATCAACACAGCAGAAAAGTTAAAAAACTCTGAATACTTCAAGATACACTAATAATTATGGCGATGCTGTCACAGCTTATTAGAAGCGATTAAGGCATTGAGCACTCTTGCCAATGGCAAACATGAAGGCTGAGAAAGCAATGAATGCATCCATAAAAGATTACTCACTGGCAGTGACGTAGAGAGGTAGGGCCTATGGGGCAAAGGGCTCTACTCTAAAGTCTAAACTAAAGTTAAAATCGACTCATAGGCTATCGAGTGCAAAGGCAAGCCGCAAGATAGTTCGATAAATTTGTCGGATAGAGACGAATAAAAGCGCTGAACTGGGTTCGTAATAAGTACAGTAGCAGCAAGGCATGACGCAGAAACAGGAGGCTTTGCATGCCCTGCTGATAACGAAAATCAAAGAGGACATTAAGCTGGAGCCTGGAGCAAATACTTGACGCAAACGGCTGTTATCTGTATTTCGTTTTCTTCTTTAGCCAATCAATGATTGTGCGATATCTCGTATAAATGCCGTATTGAAAAACAATGGCATTCAACTGCGAAAACTGGCAGTATATAGTATAGTATATCTGTATAATGTATTTGCAGTACTTTGTAATTTAGTTTAGGCTTCATTATTTAGCTTTTTTGTCGATTACGTACGGATTGCCAGTATGGTTTCTGACGCGATTTCATATTAATTAATATGCATTACCGACGTTAACTATAATTATCTTATCTATATACTGACAGTCAGTATAACTAACTGCTCGACGCGCATACAATTACTTGCAAAGTTGCAAGTGCAATTACTGCGAGAAACGAGATAGGAGCTGCAAAAATGAAAAACGGAAAGAGTTTTTATAATTGTACTGGTACAGAGTACAGACAGCACAATTAATATTTTCACCAACTCAGCGAAAATGCCTGCACTGCAACGAAATTAGTGATACCGTACAGACGTTTTGTTATGATTTTATTGTGGTTCCGTACTTCGTATGTGGAGGTATTGTATTAAAATCATTAAATTCAGTCCTCGCATTTAGCACTGCTCTGAAGATCTCAGAGTGCGTCAAACTATGAGCATCATTGGTAAAAACAGAGTGTAAAGTATAGAACCTGTACGAGCGCGCAACACAAAAATTAATCATTTCCGGTTTGTTTTTCGGCAATTTTAGAATCCAAAATTGTACAGTGCATGATAACATATATTAAATGTTTATTACAGTGAACATATGTATATTAAAATCCTAGCATTCGTACATGCTACCGGCATCGATGGAAATGCAAACGTGACACCTAATTACTGCATTATTAATGTATATGTTAAGTGTTTACCCACATAATTACGAATTTAAACCTGGAGTCACCGGCTCGGAAGGTATTACAATGGCAGTTAGCAAATTAACAAAGAATTAAAACCTGGCACTGCTGCACAATTCAACGGTCGCAACTTTGGCGGTATCGTTTGCCGACAGCAACAATGCGCCATGAATTAAATCGATTAATCCCGTTTTTTTTTGTCAATAGTATGTGGAAAGGCGGTCTGCAATAATGGCCATGGTACAAAGCTGCTCGAAATATTCCATCTCATAAATTCGCAATTACAGAAGTCAGTGCTTGGGATGCATCTTGTGCAATAAATCCGAGACAAATCCATGATGCTCCTCCTGTTTACCGGCATGCATGTGTCCATCGTTATGACCGTGACCTTGGCTCCCTGTGTCGCCGGCATGATGACCTCGACGATCGGCCGAATGGTCCCGGTGTTGCTTATCATGGTGGACATCCAGTTTATCGTGTCCGTGTCCATGTCCATGTTTATGGTCATCCGGTTTGTGTCCGAAAAGGAGATTATACTGCGGGGTCACGCCGTCCGGGCCCGGGGGCGGCGGGTTGGGCATCTCGTCGGCCGGGTTATGATGATGATGATGGTGACGATGTGGTGAGCGAGAATGCGGGTTCGGTGATGGGGAACGCGAACGGGAGTGATGTTGGTGATCGGCGGAGAGCATTTTTAATGAGGCGTCTTATATACTCGGTGCCTGGTCTGTAACCAACAATACGTGCTAAAATAGACCGATATTCTGGTGGAATAGGTACGTATATCTATATAATCGACAATAGCCGGTAAAAACGTACCAGACAATCAACGGTGAAAGATAAGTACCGGTATCTGGTATGTAATCGACAATAAACGGTAAATTTAGGGTTAATGTAATAAAGAATTCCGTCGTGATCAAATAGTGCGGTGATTACTGGATTGTTGGATGTGGAGGATTCCCGGGTATTTATAGATCTGGCGGAGTGGATGATTGCAGCATTGTTGCCGGTGGTGGTGCGTCAGACGGTGTTCGACAGCGGTGCACTGAAAAAACAGTTAAAACACCCGGTTGGATCGATGGCCGCACAACGGGCGGCTGCTGAAGCGGCCGCGCAGGATGAAAACAACCGGATACTCTTACCGGGAACTGGCTCATAAAGCGGACAATTGAGAAGACAATTGTTCCCGGCTTCCGGGGATGTGGAGCATGGCAGGGATAATGGGGAATAGCTCAGTATGGATGACGAAATACATGTGCTTGTGTAATACTCAGTAATTGTGATCGGCTGCGCTGCGGGAGCCGGTATGTATATACGTCCTCTACGTAGTTAGGCGTGATGTTGATTGTGGTCTGAGAATCCAGGTTGTTTTATACGTTTCTCCACATCTGTGTCGGTGTCGGTGTTGGGCACATTGAGCCTGAAGATGTAGAAGCAAAAAAAGACTAGGAGACGATTTGTATATGACATAATTATGCAATTGTCAATTGTTGTAACTCTCAACCCACCGCGCTTACTTGGATGTTAGCTATGGAATTGTTTCTTCGGGGATTCTGTATATGTGTAGAAGTATAGACATTTATTAATCATGTACATATGCCTATGCTGGATCTATTATATCTATATATACGTGTATATTCGACAATAACAGAATCTCTGGCATTATGGTACAATACAGTACAGTAGTTGCCAATCGACATCCACAAGTATTTACTACCGCATAAGCCGAACACATTTTTCGGAAGCGTTAGTTTGACGTTAAACTTTTCTTCACAATTACTGGATGACGTCGCTTATTGATTATTGTAATTGTAATCAATACCTTGACGTTAGTTAACCTCAAACTACAATCATGTATTGCACAAGTAGTGTATACAGCAGGGTTATTCATGTGATATTTCAGTAACCAGACGAATCAAATGGCTATCGCACCCGGTCATTATAACTGTAACTGAAACCGGCTCAAATAAACCACAAACTAAAGTTAATGTCTTTTTATTATGCGTAATATTACGTGTATTACGTAATACAATGTACGGTATACGACATGCCGGCGAATAATATAGTGCAGCATAAAATTTTGAACATCCACTATACTAATTATAAAGTACTCCGCGTTGCTGTACAAAGCAATTTATACTAACACGAGTAGTATGCGGCAAAATTATTGGATGTATCATGTATCCAAAAGTTAAATTAATTTTACCAGTTAGTGTAAAATGCAATCGTTTAGTGTAAAATGCAAGCGCCTACAAACAACCTTTAAGATACGTGCTATTTCAACGAATGTTTTCGCCCCCTTTTTTTTCTGTAATAACAGTGCTTTTAATAATTTGCGCGTTATAATAAATTTTTGTTGTGGTCGTTCCTATAGGATTTTTCATTGCATTGTTGCATAACGCCAGCGTTTAGCAGTGATTAACTTCCTTTACACTTGTAATCCATAATTATACTGGTGTTGTAAAGCACAGTTCCTTGTTAAAGCGTAGTGTTGTAGCGTGCCGGTATAATATTCAAAACAAATTTAAAGGTATGCCAGCCACATGTAAATGATCGCTTGGCGTATAAACAATTCTTTTGTTCTCATTAAAGTGTAGCGACAACTTCAACACCTTGTCGATGGCGTAACCGGCATGAGTGGTATCACAGGTATGAATTTATATGCAGTAAATAATTATGCATCTCAGTTTTGGCCGGTAAAATGCAGTATGACACACAAGCGCCTGCAGTCATTCCGATTTCTGCTACCGAGTATAAAATACATGTCGCTTTTCAACCATTTTCATCAGCGTTTTCGGCGTTTAACTTTCCCACATAAAGGCGTGGCAGTCCCCAACTTTCACCGGTAAAAATGATGAAAGCCGTCGTTTTCCTTTGCCTTGTCGCCATGGCGGCCGCCCAACGGCAGTACGTGTGGGATCTGTTGAAGCCGGCGTTGAACGCGGCGGAAGTGCAGACTATCCTGGCCAACCGGGACACCAACCAGTACCCCAACTACAACACCATCCCGCAGACGGGATTCAACTGTCAAAGCAAGAAGCAGCCGGGATTCTACGCCGACACCGAGGCCCAGTGCCAGGTGTTCCATCGCTGCGATATCAACGGCAACCAGACTAGCTATCTGTGTGTTAACAGCACCGTCTTCAACCAAGTGACGCTCATCTGTGATTATTTTTTTAACGTCGATTGCCAACGGTAAGGCATTTTGTCTACTTACCTATACGTACGAGTATTTCCACGCAATTTTTTATTAGATTTATTCGAAACGCGTCATCGTACAGTTTATAATACTTTTTAAAAATTTTGTTACAATTACAGTAAATGTATACATATGAATTTCTGATAAGTTTAATATGAACATGCCTACCAGTAGACAAAAATATTTGATTTTTATTACAGGGAACTATGTAATCTGGTTTAAAGTACACATTAATATTTTACATACTGTTTGTGTGTAAATTTATTTATTCGAAATTTCTTTAAATTTTTGCGAAGTATAATATACTTTTATGATTGATTATTTTTCGAGCGAGTACGTGACAAGTGCGCTTTTCACCACGCAGATTCGCAGCCTATGAAGACTTCGCCAACTCCCGCCTGTACACTGACCAGCCGCTCTTCGATACCCCTCCGGCTGACTACGTCCCGCCCGGTGTGGGAGCCCCGCAGATCTTGGCTGTGCAGCCGGTTGCTGCCTTACCTAAGCCCAAGCCTCTTCCTAAACCGCGATCGGCCGGTCGCCGCTAAACTTCCGGAGTGCCCTTCCCAACTGGAGGGTGTCACACGCTTTGCAGTATTAAGGCAACCTACGGTCACCAAAACGATGTCGCTGATGCAGGCGCTTGCATCTTCGCATGACGATGACTTTCTGTAATACAACCAGCTTGATGCTTTTCCTGAAACATTCGGGTGGTCATATGTTGCTCAATGTCGAATTAAAATCGGATGTGATACCAACTGCCGAGTATTTCTACTGTAATCTTTGATTATTTAACTGCAACCACATGGCATACATAATTAATAACATTATATATAGTCATGAACGTATAATACAAAATACGTAGGAGTAGTTTGCATTACAGTATACCGGTACACTGAAGGTTAAAACTACTATAGACTATATTAAAAAATAACCTACTTGTTTCGTCAGTTAGCGCAGGATGATGTTCTATAATTTTAGACCCTATAATAAAATTCTCCGGAGGAAATATGCAGCAGCGAAAACTGGAATACGTACAGCTGAAAATATTTCTAAAAAGAAGATGCATTCTCTTTAATTTTCAGTATTAACCATTTCGACGTAGTACGTACGAGTATATACTGTATGTAAGTACCCGGGTAGCTGTAGATACCATAAATAAATTTTCACATAAGAAATCAGAGCTTAAACACCTTATCAATCAGAGTCCTTGATGTCTCGTATACTACATCATCCGACAACGAACACTGGTGACACTGTAAAAGGGATTCTTGCGGTTAGAAGTACTGCACAATGTACGAGTACAATACATACATGCTTCCTGTGCTATCTGTACAAACAAGTGCTCACTGTAGCGTTTGAAAGTGGTACAATACTAATAAGTCATGAGGCTGCAGTGTGTAATTTTCCGGCCACCGCGAGGCGAGGTCAGCTTATAGTTTACGACTGATTTACCAGATTGTCCTTGTTATAATAGTGCGTGACAAACATGACGCCAGGCCTAATTAAAACGACTTTCGAAATTTTCCTGGCTTTTGGTAAAATTTCAATGAGATTACGGGTTGCCTTAGGAAAGACGGTTTGTGCTACGTCAAGTGTAAGAGTAGGGCCTATAGTGCGGCTTCGTATTGTGCTCGCAGTATATACGAGTATAACAGCTACATCGCCTGCTTGGAATCCTTGATTCCATGGTGGATCATCATCACGCTACAGGAAATAACACATCCACTGCATCGTTACCAATATCCAAACATTCTTTCACCATAGTGTAAATATTCAATTTATTGTGGAATGTAAATATTCAATTTATAGCCGGTCATTTCTGCACGTGATTAATTCTTTCAATTTTGTCTTACTTGTAAGCGTTAACAAAATGAAGTTGACATCCAACAACTTCCGGTGCGTTGCGAAAGCCTCGCTCAAAGCCAATATACCGTAACATTCGCCAATGTCGAAGTAAAAATTAATATGTCGCAGAATCTTAGTAATCAATCATTCTCCAACCTATCGGTTATTACACTCTGGACATTGCATAAAAATTCCCTGACCGTGTGGTTCGCTTTTATGATAACATCTGCAGTAATCGGGACAATCTTAAATATTCTAGTTATATTCGTTATCCTGTCCTCCCACAATTTCCGTCGCGGATCCGGTATTTTAATCTTCAACTGTCTGTTTGTTAATGTAATTCTGTGCGGGATGATCATGCCCATGATAACCGTCAACACGTATTACGGCGATTACTATCAAACCTTCCCGCGATATTTCTGCCGGTATGTCGCATTTTTCTACATGTCCTGCGTCGACACGGTCGACTGGGTACAGCTCGCCATCGGGATCAACCGGTTTGTCGCCATCTTCTTCCCACACGCGTATAAATACTGGGTGACCACAAAGGTCATCGTCATCATGCTCCTTTTTCCATATATAATTCCCTTCAGCTGTAATTTACTCATGTTGTTGGATATTGGCGTCAGTCTGCAGTGGTTACGGCCGTGGGGCACGTGTGGCACACAGCCGCATCCCGGGAGTAATTTACTAGGTATCCTTACTGCCGTCAAAGCGGCGGTGCCCATCGTCGGGCTGGCCGTGATTTATTTGGCGATTTTTATTTTTGTGTGGTGGCGATCGGTGACCTTTCACCGGCGGGTTAACACCGGGGATCAGCGGAGCTCCCAGTTCAGTGTGTCGTTGGAACGCCGCTACCATAGTGCACAGATGCTGTGCTTAACCGCCATTTGGTATTCCATTGCACTGCTCCCGGCGCCCATTGCGTCCAGTTATTTTTTGGATGGATACCGTGCGAATCCATTTCTGCAACTGATTTTCCGAGCGTTTTTGCTGTTTGCCTATGCAACCAGTCCGGTACATATATAAAATATGAAGTTTTATGATATACTCGTAGAATATTATTTTATATGAAAATGTAAAATCTATGTTGTACTCTGTATCTCTACATAATATAATCGAATAAAATATATATCTATATAATATGTAAAATGTGTAAAACGGTAAGACTCTAAAGTGTATAAAATGTGTAAAACAGTAAGAACATTTCTGATAAAGCCAGTAATCTATTAGTTATTACTTTCTTATTGCTGCGAAAAGCTATGAAAAAGCTGTTTTATTTAAAAATGCAGCACTGATGTAATGTGTATACATATCGCAATTCACTGATTTTCAATTAAGAAAAACTTGCATTTTGGTTTTTTCAGATCATATTTCTGGCAAAGACAAAGCGATACCGCAGTCAGCTTGCCATATTATCCTCCACTGTTTTAAGGCGTTTTTTAAGTTTTTTGGGAGTGCAATCGCATCTTGACGCAAACGTCCCTCTGAAAGTAGCGAAACCCACTCGCACTGCCCGAGCATCCGGTCTGGTTTACAATACTAGCGGAGCATAATTTTTTTGTTTCCCGCATCTTCTGATGCTACGCACAGGTTTCACGTGACTTATTGCGACACTTCCGCACAAGCAGCTGCAGAATTTTCGAGCGTTACTTTTGCGGGGAAAGTAAGAAATTCCCATCCAAACAATCATCTGCATAATAATAACTTAGCGAACCGGAATAATAACACGCTGGGTATTCGGCACGAAGTTATGTATCTACGTACCGGCGGTATTTACAATAAATGCATCTTGGATGTGCGTTTTCCATGCTTTAATAATGCGTTTGACAACGGTCATATTCAGAGACTAACCATTTTCAAATGCAAATCAAAATGCATAATACAGGCCAAACATACACAAATAAAACATCATTGAATAAAAAGCTTTTTAAAATGGTTGTAACTAAAGTGTGCAGCCTGTGCATCAAATTGAAACAATTGTCACAACTCACAATTATCACTTAATATTGAACTTTGCCAGCCAACACGCAAAACGTCCTACAGTCCATAGAATGCAGAACCAACATTTCTAATACTATGCAAATTGCGTACGCAACTGTAACTGATGCGCTGACCAGCTGCGTCTGTCCGCTAAAAATTAGTACTTCAAGTACATCATATGAATTAACCATGAAGATAACGGATCTTTTAGTCGTATATTTCTGTTTTTTACCAAACAAGCCATGGCGTGAAGTCTCCTAAATTTTATTTTCATATATAAAACAAGAGCCGGGCGCAGTGACCTTGGCACCAAGCCACAGCTGAGCGGATATCCGGAAAGTCGGGCTGGCCATCCATGCAATTACTAAGCAGTTTTCTGGCTGGTAAATATTCTGTAACCTGTAAGCGAATGTCGTACAGTACATACTGCACTATGCGATTCGCCCTCGCCGCTTTTGTACAGAAAACTTTGTGTCGTGATGGTAATGTAATGTTCGTGATGGTACCTACCATTAATGTAAATTCTGTATTGCGGTTATTAGTTAAGAATTAATATGGAAAGCTGCTTAAGATTTGTATCTTAAAGACATAAACAGCAATAATGAGTTGCAGTATCAACCGTTCTCCAGCCCCAGTAAACAAGTCATTAAGATGCTCTTCAAATTTTGCACGAAAACACATATTGGTGTGAACATCGTTTTGGTACCGAACCAGCTTTCTACCATTTTTAAATTTTAAAATGAATTTCAAAAATTTTAAAAATCATTTTAAATTTTGAAAAAAATGGTAGAAAGTTGGTTCGGTACCAAAACGATCTTCATGGTAATGTGCGTTTTCGTGCAAACTTTGAAGAGCATTGGTTCATAATGAGACTTTTGGTACACCTCCGCGCGTTTAAACTTTTGGAATATTATTTCGCTAATAACTCCCGAACCGGATGCTGCGCGCACAAACGGTTTTTTCGCCTATGTTTACGCATCCTTTGGCTACAAAATATCATAAAGCAATGGAAAAAAAGTGTTTAGGAGTGCGCGACAGCGAAAGTTGCCGTGGATGCAGACAAATTTGGTGCTATGTACCGGACCGAATCCTTTAAGTACTTCACAGGATTATTTACTTCCAACACCTGCTCCATCTGTACATCTGTTTATAACGATAAGTGCGAGATATATATAGTATACTGTATCTATACTATAAAGGCATATTGTAGCCAGCTAATCATGGTTTTCGTCAATTTGCGGTGTCATCGAATAAACTGCTGCCGACAGCGTACGTATAAAGTACAATTGCTACAAACTTTCAAACTAAAAGAACTGTACAGGTTTAAATTGACCTGATTCGGATATCCGGCGCTTGGATCTTGTAACGTGTGGCAGGATGCACATATATTTCGGTGCGGTGCATTTCCTCGGGTCATGATCAATGTGGACATATACCCGGAAGAGCTCAACCAGGGACCACGCGGGCATATAGACGATAATATTTCTAATGGAGTCGAACCAATTAAAAGATACTGCACTATCGACATGCACATCCCAGTCCATTTTCCAGAACTACGAGTTTCCCTATTGCGTTACATTGCTACAAGTCTGCACCATCAGAAAGTTCTTGTGCTTGTATAGCCAGGATTAAATTCCCATGCTACCCCGCAATCGTAGCTGATAAAAGGTTACCTACTACCAAACCAAACCAAACAAGAAATTATTACCTGTAAGTTCAATAAACCATAAACAACATAGATACCGTTCTTATTATCCAGCCACAGACGAGCGCTGCAACAATTTTGTTCTTTTGAATGATGTATTTTGCTAAAAACCAACAAATCGAAGGCACTGTGTTCAGTGATACAAAAACGTTATTTTAAATTAACTTTACTTTTTCTTACAGAACATTCTTTCTGAGAAAAAGGAAAAGATTTGCTGAGAAAAGAAGCGCGAAATTATTTATGCATTCACGACGATTATCCTAATTCAGATCTATATCGCCACGAATGGGATACACCAGAGCCGGCAAACCAGAAAAGACTGACCAACACCAATATTATATTCTGAAAGACCGTAGTCGAAAACCCGGCCAGATAGTATTCATTTCTTTCAAAACCTCTCCCGCTTCGAACGCCAAAGCGGAAGAGTTTTGACTAACTTCACCAAATGCAACTACATAAATTATTGTAACAATAATTATCATCGTGGTATGTTTAACCAGGCAATGTTGCCACGTAAACCAACTAAAATATAGCTAAAAAACGAAAGTCATTTCTACTACTTAAATTATCAGAATGAATTTAATTAGCAGACCGTTATTACGACAAGAACGACTATATATGTAACGTTGTCATCGAGGACAATTTCTGCACGAGTGCCGGCCAACCAAGTGACCGGTACTGTCCAGTGGTGCACAGGACCCGTTAGGTCAGCGGGTGACCGAGCAACCGGTACTGTCCAGCGCAAATAGCAGGTTAGGCAGACGAGCTATTTGCTCTCGGTACTGTCCAGTGCACGGGACCTTTATAGGTGAGCGGGTGACCAGGCTAACAGTACTGTCCAGTCTACGGGACCCGTTAGGCGAGCGGGTGACCGAGCAACCGGTACTGTCCAGTGCACACTCACAGAGCCCGTTAGGCGAACGAGCCCGTTAGGCGAACGAGTGGTGACCAAGTTGTCACTACTGTCCAGTGTACATGTACAAAGCCCGTTAGGTGAAACGAGTGACTGACCTACCACTACTGTCCGGTGCAGAGATCCCGGTAAATGAACGAGTCACCAAGCTGTCATTATTGTACAGTGTATATCTATATGAGTGACCGAACTACCACTGTCGTCCGCAGAAAGCCCGTTAAGTAAAGGAGTGACTGAGCTACCACTACTATCGAGTGCACAGAGTCCGTTAGGTGAGCAGGCGACCGAGCTACCACTATCTGTACTATCCGGCGAACAGAGCCGGTTAGATAAGCAAATCTCGAGGTACCACTACTGACCGGACACAGCCTCGGCTTCGCCGAGGCTCTGTCCGGAGTACGGGGCACTTTAGGTCACCGGGTGACCGAGCAACCGGTACTGTGTACGGGACCGTTAGTTGAGCGAGACCATTAGATGGGCGGGTGACCGAGCTACCGGTACTGTCCAGCGCAAATAGCCTGGTAGGCAAATGAGCTAGCAGGTGAATGATCTACCGGTACTGTCCAGTGCACAGATCCCGTCAAATGAACGAGTGACCGAGCTTCCACCACCCAGATTCATCAAGTAGAGGTTCACAGAATCATGAATTCAGTTGTGGGAATTTATGGTGATTTGAGAGAATCATGAACTGATTAAAAAAATCATAAAAAATTAAAATCCGTGTTTATATAATATAAAATCCGTTTTTTTTGCGTTAGTACGATGTAGCGATTATGTTTCGACGAAATATGTTATTCTAATAAATATTCATTGAAAACTGAATAAAGTGGCCGTTGACCACAAGAAACGCGGAGGCGAAGCCGAGGCTGTTTCTTGTAGTATGTGAGAGCCGTGTCTATATTCCGGTAGTCTTGTGGAGCTAATTTCTTACCTCCGCAATACATACAAATATTCATACGTTTCATATGTTAAAACTTTTTATGCGTTTATTTCATTTATTACAACTTTTCATATGTTCGCTCTACTAAAATATGCACATTTTATGACGCTTTTAGATTCGGAGGCAGAGCACGGGACACTAATAAACACTTTATGCTGGACGGACATATTATGAGCAGTAAGAAAAGTGCACTGTGAAAACTGTAAAACGTTTTAGAGCATCACTTATGCTAAACACATCTTCTCTTTGTTAAGTACTTTAACTAGTTTAATATTGCGCTTGGACATGTAATACGATTATACGAGTATTTGTGTTACATCGCAAAATATAGATTCGGTTCCCAGCTGGTTATTAAGATAACTCGTAATACATTGTTTTACTGCCTTGTAAGTTATGTCTTTTTAGTGGCGTTAGCAATTGTATTTTCAGTCCAGTTCTTTAAATAATACACATTAGCATAGATTAGATTCCCGGCACACCGGGCGCGCGCAGCCCTTCCCGCCGCGACACCACCCCGATCAGCTCGTGATGCCCGTCCTTGTCCTTAGCCACTAACGGGCCACCGCTGTCGCCTTGACAGAAATCTTCACCACCTTCCGGGGATCCACCACAAATCTACAAATTAACGGTAGTCGGTTATTTTGCGCTGGATATACCAGTATAATCAGAATCCAGCAGCAGGTTCATACCATAGCTTCAGGGAAGGTGAACCCTTCCAACTGTTTAACGCACGTAGTCCGGTCGTATGAATCAATGGCCATTTGTTCCAGTTTGTCCGAGCCGGCGCCCAAAGTAGGAATGGCGAAATTATTGTCTGTTCGTCCTGAAGATAAATCCACTTTTTATTATTTTCAGCAGCTCTGGATAACCTTTTTCGCAGCTTTCGCAAGCTTGAAACCCCGGTATACATAATATATTAAGTTTTTTTAACAGCGCAAGATGACCTTTATTAACTTGTAATCAAGATGCGGAATTACAATTTAATACAGTAATTCGAAAAAACTGAAAACCGTATCAGCGTCCTTTGTAATAAAATAGTAGTTAAAGTCTGACCTTGGTTTTCCACCAACTGACCCCATGCAGCCACGAATGTCGCTTGTTTTCCGTCGCGTTCTTTGTCAATATTGGCGACGTTGGCCAAATCCGTGGACGGATGCGTCGGCAGACAGACAGGTTGAACACGCGACGTGAACTTTACAGGTTGGGCTAATTCCCGCAATGTCACATCGTTGTTGGTGGTATCCTTGGGATTGTCGTATTCCGGATGATGGAATCCACGGGAAATGGGCAACAAACGTTGCTCGGTGTTTTCGAGTCGCCGACGGCGGTGCCTCCCGTGGCTGGCACCGGAAGAGGCGGAGCTTTGGGATTAACTGCCGGGTTGTTGCTGATTGGCTTCCACCCCATTCTGTCAATGGGCAAATTTTCTGCCGGTATGTCGCGTTTTTCTATCCATGTCTTGCGTTGACATGGTCGACTGGGTACAGCTCGCCATCGGGATCAACCGGTTTGTCAACATCATCTTCCCACACACTTATAAATATTTGGTAACCACAATGGTCATCGTCATTATGCTCGTTTCCCTGTACATGATTCCCTTCGGCTGTAGTTTACTCATGTTGTTGGATATTGGCGTCAGTCTGCAGTGCTCACGACCGTAGGGCACTTGTACCACCCAGCCGCATCCCGACAGTAATTTTTTAGGTGTCTCACAGCCGTCAAAGCGGCGATGCCCATCGTCGGGTTGGCCGTGATTTATTTGGTAATTTTTATCTTTGTGTGGTGGCGATCGGTAACCTTTCACCGGTGGGTTAACACCGGGGATCAACGGAGTTCCCATTTGAGTGTGTCGCTGGAACGGCGCTATCACAGGGCGCAGATGGTGTGCCAACCGCCATATGGTATTCCATAGCGCTGCTCCCGGCGCCCATAGCGTCCTTTTTTGATGGATACCGAGCGAATCCGTTTCTGCAACTGCTTTTCCGAGGATTTTTGATATTTGAATACGCAACCAGTCCGGTACAATATATTTTTTATTGGTTTTGCAAAAACCTAGCTTTATCGAATAATGTGAAAGTAAGTTTTATGTTGTAAGTGTAACACGCCGTGCATATTTTGGAGGAAGGTTAACACTGCTTTTTATTTTTTCAGATCATATTTTTGGCGAAGACAAAACTGCATTCATGCTTCCAAGTGAGTTCCAACTTATTCTCAAATGTCCTGAGGCTCTTTTAAACTTTTCTTGGAGTATGGTCCCCTTTTAATGCAAATGTTCTTGAGTAAGGAGGAAAACCCACTCGCACTGCCCGGATATCCGGTCTAATTTACAACACGAGCGAACTATGACGCATTCTTGTTTGCTTGACGCATCTGCTAACGCTACAGATACTGTACATGTACAGATATCTTTTTACGGCTCACTTGCACAAGAAGCTGGAGCATTGGTAAAGATTATTTTGTGCAGAACAATTCTCTTTAAAAACACATCTGCAGATTGCTTGATGTACGTAATTTTTGAAACTGTCCCGGCTTTCTGATACTGAACGGTTTGTTTCTAAATTTCATCTCGTGGGACATGGCCTTGCGGTTCATGCCCATGATCGCCGTCCGATAATATCGTACTACGCTGAACACTATTAAACCTTTTTCGCCCCTATTCTGCTGCTTTTTTCGCTTACTTTTACATGACCTTTGTCGAGAATGGGCAGCTCAGTGCAAATAGCCACTGGCATATCGCTATCTTTTTTCCGTATGTGTACGATATACATTTAAACACTGGCAGGGACCGTTTTTCAGATACATACTATTCTGAATGGCTTTAATCGTAAGTCAACATGTTCAAGGTAAGGTTGTTTGAGGTGAAAACCAGAGAATATTGAGAGAAGCCAAAGGGTTGCATCTTAATAAGCGTTCAAAAGAAAAAGTCAGGTAAACAACACGAGCTTTATTCTTATTGCCCTTTTTAATAAATATGTAAACATAAAATTTGCTGGAGTTACTTTTTATAAGTACTAGTCTACAGTAAGATCAAATGGATGTCTTTTTGCATACAAGTTTTTTGTTAGCTGTATCCAAGAAAAAAGCGAGGTTATACGATATTAATCCGTACGAGCTCTTTAACACTGATAGTAGGTTGCACCTCCATCGTTGCTGCACCATGTCGTTGTCGTTTCGTATGATGGCTGGACTTCGGCTTCCTGGACGTCGTCATCGTCATCGTCATCACAACGTTTCCTGCGTGCATGACTTAAAGGTATAACTGTATTTTCCAAGCAGGGATGTGCCTTCCTAGGCTGCCATTTTCCATCCTTATTGATATCGATAGTGTTATACAGTTGATCAATGATTGTCCGATTTAGGGTTGGATCGTTAGTGAGTTCATTCGCTTCAAGGACGTAGTCGTGATTGACGTCAGCATAGGCGAAGGCAGTGGCAATAATTCGGCATGTGTCGTCTGTGTCGTTGACACTCCGTTTTCCGCGGTCGTCCCACGTTGCATCTCCGAAACCTACACCCATTCCGATTCCAGTCAGCGCGCCGGTTGCGGCTCCTGCCAGTACGCCTATTGGTCCTCCTGCCGCTCCTCCTACTGCTCCTAATGTCAGCCCCACTGCTCCACCTACAGCTCCACATGTGCCAAGCCATTTTGCTTTTGCCCAGTTCACGCGCCGTTTTGCACGCGTACCGTGTAGGCGGAAAAACTGGTCTACGGAAATTATGCCGGTATGGGATGTGTTGTTAATATTCGATGTCACAACAGGCAACAGAATAGGCAGTTCATCGGTGGCAGCACACGTCACGGCACCAGTGTTCACAAATACCAACAAGGCAACTGCACATAATATAATCTTTATCGTAGTACCGGTCATCTTTGTAATTACAGTTCGACGGGCTTCTCTTGCGCACTTGCGCTTACGATCGACTGATGTGAACTGGTGCTACTGAAAAATTGCCCATCTTGTTTGGTTATAAACGCTTTCTACAGAATTTTGCCAGCAGGGAGACCTGGCATACTTTTTCTGCTAGCAGAAAACTGCTCCGTCACAGAGAATGCAGGCCTGCATCGAAACACGTAGATCATTTGCTAAATAGTAAATACTCATCATTTCAAATTTGCTTTAGGTTGGCATAGCCTATGCAGAAGTTGCGCGTTTTACTACGGCCGTTTAGAGACGAAACACAACAACACACGTTTAGTATACAACACTTACAGTTGCAGTTATGCATTGTTTATTTTTTACTGCAACGGCAGTGTAACCCATTAAGAACTGGTATCATAATCTAGCATGGGAGTCTAAAGCTGGTTCAAAACAAATTAGACAAGGAAAAGGAAGTGGCATTAGCCTGAGTTACGGCACACCCAAAGAACGCTACTGCCCCAACCAGCATTATAAACACCTAAATCCCTAATCATATAAATAAGTAATGGTTGCGTCTGTAAGTGTGTGTGCACTGATACAGAGTTGGTAGTACGTTAATTTACATTTATATTAATATAATCTGTTTATATAATCATATTTATATAAATTCCCCTCGAGCGATGGAAGCATCAAGAAGATATCAAGTTGTCATCACTTGTTGACACCAACGTTAAATTGATATCGTTTAGGGTTTAACTGTTTCTTTGTTCAAAATTATATAACTTTAGCATCGATCAGTATATGTGCAACGGAAGGTTTTTAATAAAATGAAATTTCTTCTAGATGGTTAAATTCATGTCGATTTGGTGGCGTTGGCAATAGTACTTTCGATCCAGTTCTTGAGGTAGAACACATTCGAATAGATTCCCGGCACACCGGGTTGCGCGCAGCCCTTCCCCCACGACACCACCCCGATCAGCTCGTGATGCCCATCTTTGTCCTTAGCCACTAACGGGCCACCGCTGTCACCTTGACAGGAATCTTTCCCGCCTTCCGGAAATCCACCACAAATCTGAAAATTCACGGCACCCGGTTATTTTGGGTCAGATAATATATGAACCTATATAGGTAATCAGAACTGCCGGTAAGCAACAAAGGTTATACCATAGCTTCAGTGAAGGTGAACCCCTCCAACTGTTTAACGCACGTAGCCCGGTCGTATAAACCGATCGCCACTTGCTCTAATTTATCCGAGCCGGCGCCCAAGATAGGAACGGCGAAATTATTGTCGGTTCTTCCTGTTATAAGATAAATTCCACAAGTATTATTGTTTTTACTAACACCTGATGATATTTTTCGCGGTTTTGTCATCAAGCTTGAAACTGCGATATACTATGTAAAAGTATATTTAATAACACTAGATGACCTTTACTGACTTTGTGATTCAGTTCCAAAATTACAGTTTAATAATCATTGAGAAAACCTAAGAAATCGTATCATTGACTTCTGTATGATAGTAAAGTCTGACCTTGGTTTTCCACCAGATGGCCCCATCCAGCAACGAACGCCACTTTCTTCCCGTCGCGTTCTTTGTCGATATTGGCGGCGTTGACCACATCCGTGGACGGATGCGTCGGTAGGCAGATAGGTTGAATACGCGACGTGAACTTGACCGGTTGCGCTAATTCCAGCAATGCCACGTCGTTGTTTGTGGTGTCCTTGGGATTGTCGTAGTCCGGATGGTGGAAGACCCGAGAGATGGGCAGTAGCAGCTCCGGCTGGGTGAGCACCTGCTTTAAATCGGTAATCCCGACCACCGCTTTAATGTGGGTGGTGATGAAGTCGTCGGGGTGGTTGTCCACGCAGTGACCGGCAGTCACGATCCAGCGGTCGCTAATCTGCAGTGCAATTTTGTCAATTAGGCAGTGCAATGGTATTTTATTAAAGGAAAGTGCCTTATTAAGCATAAATCACGGTGTGTTCATCTTGAAAACTATACGAATGCCTAAGGCTTAATTAAATATATACGTTAATGATTATTTTATTTGTGCAAATACTTAGGCACAAATTGTGTGGGCGTTATTACAATAAGAAGCATTAAAACCTCAAAATCACAATAAGAAATTCCGCATTAAAAATGTAATGGTTTTTTTTAATCTTACTTGTTCTGCAGTAAATCAAGAACTTCCAGGAAAGAGAGGAAATATGTACGTAAGGATAGTGTTCAGGCGGACTCTATTGCCTCTACACTACGATTTTAAGTAATCAGAAACAAACTCGCTGACAAACCGGCGTGTTCAACACAAGTACCGAGTATGTGCAGAAAATTAACGCAGCGTATGCCGTAGATAAATGTTTTTATAATATGTATGAAGAATAGCCTTAAACTCACATATCGCTTAAACATTGCTACCTGTACATACCAGACTGGCACCACAAAATTGGTAGACGGGCGGCATGTACTCCGGCCGGAACTGGATGAGCGCCACAATCCATGGCCAGCTTTCTTCCTGCGCCTCCACACCGCCGACGATCCTGGAACCGGTGGCCCACAGAGCGTCCGGACTGTTCGTCGGCCGACCACATAGTGATGTTGGTAACACTTTGGTCGGTGTATTGGAATCGCCGACGGCGGTGCCTCCCGTGGCTGGGGCCGGAAGAGGCGGAGCTTTGGGATTAATGGCCGGGTTGTTGCTGATTGGCTTCCACCATTCTGTCAGTGCATATCAATTCATTATTTCATAATGACAATAAAAATAAAACAAGGTTTGAATGAACAGGAAAAAAATATTTATTTTTACAATAATTAAGCTACGTTGATACTTACGAGCTTGAACAGCAGCCGCAAAGGATATGAAAATGCACAGTGATTTAATCATAATTAAGTGAACTGACATCAGCAACCGCTAATGGGTTGTTACAATTATTCCACCGCCAAGGTGGTGAAAATTAATTATGGCAGAAATACGCAATATAATTTTGCAGTCGGGTTGTGAAAATCACATGTGCATGATTCGGTGAGCGCATTTCTTAGGCCAAGGTGAAGTGGAGAATTTTGCTTCTCTTCGCATTTTTGCAGGAGTGCTGAAGTGGAAGCATTGACCAATATTTCGAAATTATATCACTGATGTTAGTGCTGTGTTAAAGCAGCGTGTTATATGACTGTGTATTGCACTACCGGCACCAAAACAATCCTGTCGCGTTAAACATTTGTATTTTTTCATTTGGTACAGCGGTAAATCAGCGGCAAATCCTTACAAAATTGTATTTTTTTAATACCGCTGTCCCTGGCCTTGCTCTAACATACGAAACGTCGCGCTTATTTTTCAAATTTGTATAAAATTTTTAGGGAATAAAGCGTGTGAATGGCCTGGTCGAACTCCTAATTAGTTATAATTGTCGTGCCAATCCAGTCTTTAAATGCGAAAACATTGGTATATATTCCGGGGCTGTTGGCTCGCGCACATCCCGATCCCCACGAAACAATGCCGATCTGTTCGAACCGTCCGTCCAAGTCCTTCGCCACCAGTGGGCCTCCACTATCGCCCTGGCATGCGTCTTTTCCGCCTTCCGGGATACCACAGCAAATCTATACATAAGACGTTCGGTTAAAACTTGTCAATGTTATCAAATTGATCCATTTGTTCTCACCATTTTCTCGGTGAAGACGTAATTGCTGAGGCGTCGTTTGCACTCGCTGTTGTCGTAAAGGTCAATCGCCACTTGCTGCAGCTGATCGGTGCCAGCGCCCATACGGCTAGGGTCATCGCTATCTAAAAGTCAATAAGAGAAATTTTATTCAGTTCGCGCTGAGAAATTAACAAATTATGTTGTTTATTACGACTCGTACTTCGTTAAATATTTTAAGCAAAGGTAAAAGTTTTAACATACTTTAAGTGCAGAATAAAATTTAAAACTTTTTCGAAAATGCACATGGTACATTAGGTAAAGGTCGTTAGAGACAATTTTTAATGAAAACGATCTGAATGATCCAATATCATGTACTGCAGAAGAAAAATTTTGTAATTCACTTTGGAAGTTCAAACATAATCTTAATTGTCAATATTAAAATACTATATTTTGAATACAGTTAATCTGACCGATACGTACCCTGATGCTCCTTTAAAACGCCCCATCCCGCCGCAAAGACCACGCGCTTGTTACCGCGTGCTTTATCGACATTTCCCCATCTGGTTCGATTGTCCGGGTGCGTTGCCGGCAGACAGATGGGCTGCGTGTACTGGTCGAACTTCAAGGGCTTGGCCAGCTGCAGCATCGCAATGTCGTTGTTGTAGGAATTCTGGGGATCATCGTACTCCTCGTGTTTAAACACCCGAGCGATGCGCAGCGCCAATTCCGGATCGGCTACAACGTCCTGCAGATTGTTCACGCCGGCTACGACCAGCACATCATCGACGATCTGGCGTTCCGTGAGGGCGGCTACGCAGTGACCGGCAGTCAGAATCCATCGTGTTGCGATCTACAATATATATTTTGTAACAGTATTTCTGAATATAAACAAAATGTCAAATTACATTAATAAAATAAACTCCTATAATACAGTTATTAATACTACTATACGCAATTATTTTGTAATTATTATGGGATATTTATTACTTATTATTGTTAGTAACGTGCACCGCTGCTGGCTTGCCTTAAAAGACCGAAGAAAAGCGAGAAAACAATTTAAGTAAACTATCTGCTGAGTTTGTTTTAAAACTGTTTCGAAAATATATTTTGTATATTTAAAGAAACATTTTCCCTTCATATTTTTGGTGTGTTCGTTAAATATAATCCATAAAAAAATAACTCCTAAAAAATTTCCGGATTTTATTTGGTTGATATTATTCGGTGATAATAATTATTAATGAAAATCCTCTTTTGATAACAGTTCTTTGAAACTCGCTATACGCTTTGGATAATGGTAAGTACTGAAGGACGTACAATACTGCCGCTGCAAAACTGATACGCCTGATAGCCTTGGTCCGACCGATTACGTATTAGCGCCACAATAAACGGCCATCCGCCATCGGGCGCCTCCACGCCGCCGACAATCCGCGAATCTGTCGTCCAGATGGAATCCGGCGTGGGATCCGGCCGGCCACAGGGAAAGCGCTGGAAGCCGGTTGTTGTGCGTGGCGGACGCGGTGTCACCGGCTTCCCTTGTTGATTATTCTTGCCTTTTATAGGTCGCCAGAATTCTGCAAATCAGGGATATAAACTACCAGCTGATGTCCTATTTCCAGCTGTAATTATTTTTGTATTGTCGGATGTATACCGTGAATGACTTACGACCATAACTCACGGAACCGATGGCGAAGATGACGATAATCCGTATTGTAATTCCTGCCATGGTCCAACACCGTTGCACCGTTCACTGCAATTTTTAATTTACTTTTTCAGATCGAAGAAGTGAAAGACATAATTTATGGCTACGCTACTGGAATGATTACTTGACGTAGGCGAAAAAAGTATCCATCTCCGAAGGCGAAGGTGAAAGTTAATTCTGTATATAAGATGATACAATGTGCTGCGCTGGGAGAAAATTATTCCGTTAAACTGTACAATGAATGCAACAGCAGTAAGTATATTTTTTTTTATACGGTAGTTCAGTTTGAGATTCGTTGCAGTCTGCTAAATGTTCATCAAAGCGGTTTATGCAAACACGCCGCACAGAGACGGTAGTAGTGGACTAATAGTCTAATAGTACAAGTTTTTTTTTCTGTTTGGATTTTACGTCACACTACTAGCCACAGCGATATTACAGTAGTGTACAGAATTAAATTAAAAGTTAATTAAAAATTCAGTAAAACAAATTTGGTATGTCGATTTGTCTGCTTGCATTTGATCGCTTTTTTCGCCTTTATGTTATTACTAATTTATAGAACGATTAATAGCAAAATTTTAGGCTATATATGAGTGGCCTTCGCCTTCTCCTTCCGCCTTCTCCTTCGCCTCCGCCTTCTAGCCGAAAACCTTCTCCTTCGCCTTCTCCTTTTAAGTTTTCCGCCTTTTCCTTCTCCTTCCACTTCCTAATTTTAGGCCTTCGCCTTCTGACTTTGCAACACGGAAAATGAAAACATTATTGAACAAAAATTGAGCTTTATTCATTTACAAACTGTATAGCACATAGCAAGGTAGTAGGTACACCGTACCGTAATCATAATTACAGGGTTATTGGGCCAAGTGTGGACGGTACAAAAAATTCCCGAGTTGCAATCAGTGAAGTCAAAAATTTTAATGTTAATTTTATACAGGGTGGTCACGCCAAGTTGTCACCATCACTGAAATTCATTTTTAAAAATTAGAAAAAGTTCACTTACTCCAGTTGATTTGTTTGTTGCTAGTACAGAATTTAATTCTGCGTATACTGAAATTAATATCTGACCATTGGCTTTGAAATCGACGTTAGAAACAAGGTCCGAAATGAGATCCCTGGTGGTGCATTTGTGATCATTATATTCACCTCATCAGAAAAACAGGAAAACATTTTATACTCCCGAAATTAGTTTAAAGAAGCTGAGAATACATTAGGTAAGCGTTGCAAAAGTGAACCAACGCAGTGGAACCATTACTTCATTTATAAAAAATTTTTGTTGGAGATTGTCAGGCTTTTATAATGCTATACGGTACGTGCGGCGAAAATTTTTTCGTAAATACCTGGAACTTTCAGGTGTCCGAATGATCGTTAAAAAATACGCTGCAGGGATCATTTTAAAGATCCTAAAGTAAACAAGGATATAGATCACATTCCTGATTTACTGTGAACCACCTACGAATGGAAGAAAGAATCAAGAAAGCGTTCGTCAAAAAATATTATGTGCCCGATGGTGATTCGCTGGAACGGAATGAGCCGCGTTCACCTGGTCTATAGCAAACGCGAAACTGATGCTACATATGTCCGTAATCATATTATGTTAAAAATGATTAGGGGTGACATTCCTCGTTTGTGTGGGGATCGCTAAAAGGGGGTCCTCCCCCATTTTGACAGTGCTAATTTTCAAGTCGCAGTTGTGACCTCCCAGGGGTTCGAAAAGAACCACATGATATACGCCCAAAGTCAGTATTGGTGGTTGAAAAGTCTTGACTTTTCACCGATTAGCCAAGGGATGACCTCGATTTTTAATTAAATTTATGGCGAACGGTAGGCGAACAAGGTAGACGGGTCGGGACGTATTCTAAAGCAGGTGGCGTGCGAGTTTTCTGGTGTAACTTGTCAAAAAACCCTTACCTGTTGGCGGTCTTGGGCTCAAATGATGCAGAAGAGAAATTATGATCATATCAAAATTAAATAAAAATTCTAGAGTCACTCTGGAATATAAAATAAATTATCAAACTTTTGGTGACAACTTGGCGTGACCACCCTGTATGATAGGTCTTGGTCTGTAGCAGCTTCTTTGGCCATCTTCCCGCTCTAAAAGCTATACTGCAGGAAACGGGAGCCGAAGATTTACTTTCGTTTTCTCCGAAAAATTGCACTGCTTAACGAGAAATAGTCACGTTCAACCAGCAATATTTTAAAAATGTTGGACGATTGAGAACCACCACGTAATAACATCATGCTCTAATGGTTCCTTTCGGACTTCCGTTAAACCACTAACATCTCTTCCAACGCAACCAGGATCCAGGCAACAACATTCTTCGAAATGTAGGTTTTAACATACAAGTCTATGGGAGACACATCTTGTTTTGAACTCGCGACGAGCAGAGATCGTGCTAGAATTTTTTGCTAACCGGTAATAAAGACCTTGTAGAGCACTCGATAGTTTACTATAAAGGTCACGCAAAAACACCCCTTACTGAATTTCTGAGAGGGGTCATTGTAAGCGTTAAAAAATTGACCGCTACCCCCTCCCTTTAAGCACCTCCCGTTTCCTTTCGGATAGTTCAACAGATATCAGTTTTGGTATCACTGAATCCGCAATACAAAGGTACACTAGAAAAAAGCAAAACATGCGCCAAAGCGATTTACAGGAAAGTTTCTTAATTTATTTTACGCAACTGTCCACACTTGGCGCGATAACCCTGTAGTTCATGACCTTCTAGATCTGGCGTCTGTAATGGGCCAGTGGTCAAGAAGACCTTAACACTTCAACAAGGTTCTTATCTAGTAAAGCAACTGTATCGCATGCGAAATCCGTTAGAGCGTTACCGGTTAAACAATCGCAAAACTGTGAAAATTATTAGGTGGAAACTTCCTGTTGGCCTTGAATGCAGCAAATGCGTTCAGATCAATGTCGGGAAACTCTTCAAGTTTTACGGCTGGGTCGAGGCGTGTCACCCTTGGATCAAAATCTGGGTGCCGTTTCTGGATGCAGCACAATTTCATACAGTATCTTCTTTGTTTAGCTTCGGAAATTACATCCACCGTAACCATGAAATCTGCACCTTTCCCATAATAAGCCCCACCCCTTCCTCCGTAATAAGCTCTCTTCCCTTGACCGGTTTGAAAAATAAGGCCTCCCACAAAAAAAAGCGTTAATAAAAATGTCAAGTGCCGTAAACTGATAAGTGTACCGCAAAATCCTTCATAATAATTTAATAATTTAACGGAAAATTGCAAACGGATATAAAAAATAATGAGAATTAGCTCAGTTTTTGTTCAATGATGTTTTCATGTTCCGTATTGTGATATCTTGTAAAATTCACATTGAACAAAGTCAGAAGGCGAAGGCCTAAAATTAGGAAGTGGAAGGAGAAGGAAAAGGCGTAAAACTTAAAAGGAGAAGGCGAAGGAGAAGGTTTTCGGCTAGAAGGCGGAGACGAAGGAGAAGGCGGAAGGAGAAGGCGAAGGCCACTCATATAAAGCCAAAATTTTATTGCAAGCTGTGAAGGCGCATTTGAAAACGCACTAGCATGTCTTTCATTTTAGAAAACATCGACATGTTTTTACTTTTTGTTTGTGTTTTTAATTATATAATAAGATACAGTAGTTATTTCTGTATCGTTTTGAATTAAACCCTATGTGCATATCTGAGACCTGTATGCTAATGTAAAAACGTCACTGCAAACAATCCAAAGACAACTGACGAAAAAATGCTGAAAACATAGGTCAGTCTAGGATATAACTGAAAAGAATCGGACCAAGTGTGGCGATCAAAATGACGAAGCAGAAAACAAACACCTGAGGCAGAGTGTTCTCCTTTTCAAAACTTACGCAAAAAAATAGTGCACAATCGCTTTCATATTGGGTATAGCACATCTAACAGGGAATGAACGGCTAGTTCACCCCTGTGCGCGAACAGAAACGGAAACTGAACGCCAACACACTGCACACTTTATCTCTCTCACATACATCACATCAAAGGCCACCGCAGCACCTTGCTGCGGGGCAAAATGGAAAAAGCATCCAGCTCAGACGACGAAATCTAGCAACTGAAGAATCTACCAGATTTAGAATCTGGTAGATGGAGAAAAACACGGCAAAAACAGCAAAACAACCTAGCAGCCGCCTGTGCGCGGGTGAACGGAGAGGCCACTCCTCCTCACATGCCTGCGGGTGGATCCCATGAGGTCCTCCGAATGCATCGCGCGGCGTCGCGAACTCCCCTCCATGTCTTCCCGGGCGTCCTTGCTGCCCATTGGGGCTTTAAGCCTCAGCTCGTCCGTCCACACAGCCGATGCGCATCCTTCACACTGCAGGCACGGGCCGTGCCTGCGGTTCTGGAAAAGCGGACACATACAGTGTAAGCACCTTGCTTAACGCACCTTCGCGTAAAAACTGTATCCGCTGACGTCACCGGTGCCTGCGGTACTGGATAGACGTCACATACGGCTGGCTTCACATCGGCTCGGCTCACGGTACGCTTTGGTTCGGCTCGACTCCGGTCCACTTTGACCTGCTTTGCCTTGTCTGGGTCACTGCACTGGCTGCGACGAAAGATGGCGTCCAACCCGGAACTGGGTAAATTTCATTGTTTCTGCTGTACGGAAAGGTCACTTTCTGAGGAAAATCGAGCAGGGGTTTGCGGCATTGGAACGCTGGTGACCCTGCAAACACCAAAAATACGCTTCTTCGGTGGGGAAATTCCGCTGCATCCGTCCGGGAAAGGTCGTCATTCCAGGTAAAACGGGCAGGGGTTTGGGGCATTCAGACACTGGTGACCCTGTGGGGCAGCTCACTGGCACTTCTGCGATGGCAGGGTTCACGTGGGCTTCGGTGAATGGCAGTCCTGGAGCTGCTACGGACTGGAGTTGGCCTTGTCGTCGCTGGCTGCTGCTGACATCATCCTTCACGTCCTTCCTCAGTCTCCCTCACCGCGCTTCGGTGATATTCCTCCGGCCTCCGGCGGGGGTCATTCCTCCCGTCCATCGTCGTATCCGGGGATGCCGCTTCGGCAAAGTGAACTTTCACTGGGGGCTGCAGGGGCTCGCACTTGGGGCTCGAAAGGGTGCACATGGTTCTTCCGAGATCTGCTACCATCTAACAGGGAATGAACGGCTAGTTCACCCCTGTGCGCGAACAGAAACGGAAACTGAACGCCAACACACTGCACACTTTATCTCTCTCACATACATCACATCAAAGGCCACCGCAGCACCTTGCTGCGGGGCAAAATGGAAAAAGCATCCAGCTCAGACGACGAAATCTAGCAACTGAAGAATCTACCAGATTTAGAATCTGGTAGATGGAGAAAAACACGGCAAAAACAGCAAAACAACCTAGCAGCCGCCTGTGCGCGGGTGAACGGAGAGGCCACTCCTCCTCACACACAGAAAAGCGGATGCGACTGACCGCTACGCGTAGCTTTTTGCCGTCTCATCACGGATTCTGCATGCCTGTATAAAAGATCGGTGCATCCAGAAGCTAGCATATTCTGCCAAAGCTCGGACCGTGAAAAACAAAACTTTATAGATTTTAATAGTTTTGTGAGTTTAGTTAACTTTCCTACAAAATCTCGTTTACCATGAAGGTTTTCATCTTGTGCGTCGCTGGTATCGTCGTTCTATGCGCTTCGGTAAGAATTCTCATTTTTACTGCAGTGACCTTTCCTGTCTCAGATTTTAATTATATTTATTTTTTCTTGTTTTTCGAAATGCTTCACATGCTTCTTGTTTTTATAAATTTGGTGAGTGACTTTTCCTTCTTTAAATTTCGTTTCTAAAAAACATTTCTTCTTGTTTTACTAAATAGTCCATATGCTACTTTTTTACCAATATAGAGTGACCTTTCCTTTCCTTAAATGTATTCTTTTCTAAATACTCCTTATCTGCTATTCGGATTTCGGCAAATGCGATACGTACTCTGTACTCATTTATTTCCGTTGTACTGTGCAGACAGTGCAGGCGACTTTACATACTGCACTTTAACATATTTATTTTATAATCATCCTTATAAATTTCTCTAGATGAGCGCCTCCGATGCGGCTGACCATCCGGAGCCCAAAGCGCACGCCGCCGTCGTGCACAAGACCGAGGCAAAGCATTCAGCACCCGTCGTCCATCGGACCGTTGTCGAGAAACCACGCGTTATTCGCACCGAAGCCAGACCTATTATCCGGCCAGCGGGCCGTCCCCACGGACACCCGGTCATCGTGCGCGGACCGGGCTGTGAGCTGATCCTGGAGAATAACGTGTGCAATTTCCATAATCGGCGCTGCTGCGGTCCGTTAGTTTGTAACCAGGGTTTCTGCACCTTTTGATCCAACGCATATTCGGCTTTTCCTTTAACGACTAAATGCATGTCATCAGAAGGGTTTTGATTGGTAACGCAACTGGTTCTTGTTGGTGGATAATTTACAACCATCGAAGTAAAAAAAAGTTGATGTGTTTTCTCTTGAAACGATTATACAGCTTGTTCGTCCAAAGTTCTTGATCTGTGTTTTATAAAACAGCAATATCTGACATCAGCCAGTATTAAGCATTTTTGGAAATATATGCGTAATAAAAAGTACATTAATTTACGATAAAACTTTACCAAGAGGAATCTTAAATTTAAAAATTGTGTTTTGATTCACATAGTTTACCATCGAAGGTTTAAATCATCTTGCGGGAAAATTAGGTTATATATCATTTTATATCATACTTATAAACTGTGAAGTAGAAGCCGAATGCAAATTGTCATTTTGCAATGCAGTCATTATGCAGTCATTTAGCCAAAAAAATGTGAAGTGAATCTTTTAGACACTGTAAAGTGAACCTTTATTGATTATTTTCGCGGATCTTTGAACATGTGAAAAAATCTGCGAGGTCATAATTCCAAACCAGTTAAATAACCACCCGACCCCTTCTAATAACCATGATACCGCATATTTCTCGAGATATTTCATGCAGTGGTTGAACTGAAAAAAATTATTTGTCGATATGGCGACCTGGACTGAAAAGGTCAAACATCTAGTTGAGGGTGTTGGAATCGATGAAGCTCTTCAGGTTGTAGACGTTGGTGTACACACCGGGCAGATTGGCGCGCGCACAGCCCACACCGTAGGAGACGATACCGGACAATTCCCAATGACCGTCCTTGTCCTTGCAGACCAGGGGTCCACCGCTGTCACCTTGGCAGGAGTCAGCACCGCCTTGCGGGAATCCCAAGCAGATCTACAACGTGCACCATATCTGTGAATCTCTAGCTTTCATTAGGCGGTGCCGCGGTGGTTTCTTTAGATAAAGGTCAGACAGATTACCTTTATTCATGACGGTTTACACGTACGACCTATGGTTTTCCGAAATTTATCCATGTCCCTTACTTTAGTTCTGTGCATTTGTACATACATTGGCAATACCAGTAAAACATTTTCAGACGTTTTTTACAAGAAAAAAAGTGCATTTACTCTACTAATTTTGTCTTTTAAAAAAATAAATTTAAATTATTAAAAATTAGTTTCAAATAGAAATTTGATCTTTCTTTATATTGATGTGCCAAAAACCATTCCATCATACCATTTTGTCGGTGTATGTGATTCCGACTTTAGCCAGATACTGTGTGCATTCCCGATCGGTGAACATATCGACGGCCACTTGGCTGAGACGGTTGCTACCACCTCCGATCGTGGTGCCGGGTGCACGCGATCCGAGTTCTATGAAATACAGAATGATAAATCGCCGTTTAGATACTGCCTCAATACAGTATAAATCGTATATCTATATTCTGAAATATGTGTCTTAGTGTACTGTAAACGCTATAGAATACATTCGCAATTCGTTCGTATAATACTGTAATTATGTGTATATATATATTCGTACATATATGCGGTATATTTACTGTTCAGTCTTTAACTACACATTTTATAGCCTGTATATTTTAATACGTGCTGTGTAGATGTAATAACGTACAGTACTGTGTAAATGCTAATTATTCACTCGAATATTATTTTGTTCTGCAACCTACGTTCTTGTTCGCGGAGCAGGCCCCATCCTGCGACGAAGCAGGCCTTGCGACCGGTGGAGTAGTCGACGTTGGCGGCCAGTCTGGTGTCATGGGCATCGTGGGTCGGCAGGCAGATGGGCTGTACTTTGGAGTCGAAGTTGAGTTGCTTCTCCAGTTTGAGGAGGGCCACGTCGTTGTTGGTGGTGCGCTTATCGTAGGACGGATGCTTGACCACTTTGACAACGCGCAGAACCTTGCTGGTGTTCCTCATGGCGTCTTCCAGGTTGTTCACGCCAATGACGACACGGACACGGCGGACGATCTCGTCGTTCTCCATATCCGCCAGACAATGACCGGCGGTGGCGATCCATTGGCGGCGGATCTGTGCCAGAGTGGTGAATTCACTGCATGTACTTTGAAAAAGCTGGGTGTACGCCCTTACAAATTACGCGTATAATATCATAAAATACCATTTACATGCAACAGTACAATGGACCGTTAGGACAGAAAGCTAGTTCGTATGACAAAAAAATCACCGATGCTTTTTGTCTTAATTTCTGAACTTTTCTGTAACGAGTAATAAAAATAATAATGTGTAGAATGATAAAACTAATAAATTCTATCATTTTTATAATTTTATTCTTTAATTAATTTGTGTAATTACGATAAAAAGTTTATGGAGATTTGTGTATTATCCAGTACGTACGATGGAACCACCGCAGAACTGCGAGGGATAGTACTCCTCGCCGTTGTCAAGCAGCAGGGCGACAATGAAGGGCCACGCGCCTTCGGCAGCCTCCTGACCACCGACGATACGGGAACCGGCAGTGAAGCTGATATCCGGCTGGCTCATGGTCGGCTTACCGCAAGTACCGAAGGATTCTGTCAAACATACAGACCATAAAAAAACGCGGTATATTTTTACTGCACCTAGCAAAACCTTGTCCACTTACGCGCCATCGCCGTGGCGATCAAGGCCAAGAAGCTAATACAGCGGATCATTATGGCAACGTTTGTTAAAAGTTGATAGTAAAGAACAGCTGGCCCCCACTAATGACACTCCAATCTGCATGTCACAAGACCGTTTTATACGTTTCACGGGCATTGTTGTTCGCCCTATGGTAGCGGCCGATAGTTGCTGTTGGGTGCAGGTTTTTTCCTGGAGTCAGGTGTTTTGCAGGGAGTACTTACCAGGTCCTCATGTCGTCCACTGGGCGCTTCGTGATGTCGGGCTGCTGGCGCGTGGTGAATTTCGATCGGCTGCGTGAGGGTCAGGTCAGCCGCATCGGCAGTTTTTTTCCTGGGATGGGTCAGCTAAGTGGTTTGTTGTTGGAGTGCGCCAAAACGAGACGACAAGAGCGGCCGTGAATCACGCGGTCCCAAGTATTAATTGTGATTTCTGCTTGCCTAATCAAGGCGCCGGTCTCCTAACGTTAACAATTTACTTATGCATAGTGGTACTGTGCTTCCCAGCCGGTTTTGAAGTACTGCTGGTGTATCTGTATGTAAACCTAAATGTACTGTAATGTTTGATCATTACAGGTGTCACACTGGAAAAGTTATCAGAATGTGTATCAAAAACCGTTACCAGCAAAGCGATAATGCATTTCATTAGCTGCTGATTGTAAGCCTTTCTTAACGTGCGATTGGATTCTTAATCACAAATTTTTTGGAGTCAGTACTTTATAATTGTTTCCCGGACTGTAACGTTCTAATATTAACACGTTCGGTCGTACCACAAGCCGGGAATTTTTGCGTTAGCTGACGGTGTGAATAGGTACAGCGTACTGAAAGTAAAATACAGGTACCCGTCGGATACGGGGTTTTGCTTTCTTTAGCAGCAGAATTATGGTATGAGTATTATTGATAGTCTTCGTGTACGTAATAGTTAACTGCAGGATTGAATTCCATATGGGGCACAATCAATTCGATATAATTTTATGTGTTGTGTGTATCTGTACTATGTACATACTACGACCGGGTTTAATGCAGTTGAGGGCATTACAGTATTAACATTAGCTTTTTTTTAAAAATTAAGGGGCCAACGCGGTTACAGTTTGAAATAATCATATCTAATGTATATTAATCATATCAGTTAATTTCGAATTACTGCTAGCTGTATACTCTGTAAAAGACACCAACTCCACCTAATGCAACTCAAAATTCAGAATTTTATTGCCGAAAAAGAATTTAAAAGACAAAATTAATAACGAGAATAGAAACATGCAAATACCAGAATATCCGGCAACGAACACAATATCCATCATCATAAAATCACGATATAAAAAGTCCAACAGTAAAAAATTGCAAACCCGTATAAAAAAGTCATCTAACAAAAATCTGTTAGGCTGACTAATTGGAGCAAAACCACGCCCAGAACATTCACCGAATCTACGATGACAACCAGCGCGTCACGCCGTGGTGAACACGAAAGTATTTATCCGCATACTCCGATGACACCTGCTCGGACATGGTCTGAATATGGCCAATACGAATATAATCCGAGGTATTGGTCTCCTGGGCATACAGGTCATAGATGATACTCCCGGCGGGAATGGGCTTCAGATCCAACCGGAAATCCTGCTGACTATTGGGATCGATATCAAACTGGTGGTTGGGCTCCAGCCGGAACGTGTACGGCGCCTTAATCGGCTGCTGCACCACCGTCCCGTTCTGATAGATTCCGCAGGCTTCATACACGGCGATGGTCAGCGGAAAAGTCTCCGGGCGCAGCGGCGGCGGTTCCAGCTGGTTCACCGCCCCCAGGAAGCCGGCGACGGTGATGTTCCGGGGGAAGGGCAGGATGCCGCTGGCCGGGAAGACCAGGAGGTTCTGGATGTGGCGCATGAAGAAGTTGCGGTTGGGCATCTGGCCGATGATGTCGTAGCCGGCGACCATACCTTGGGAGAAGTTGCCGCTGATGGGCCACTTGAAGGAGGCAAAGGGCGCGAAGTTGTCCGTGTAGGTGGGGGGTGGGGAGTACCCGAGGGTTAGTAGGCGGGAGATGCCGTGGATCTCCTGGTTGGGGCCGAAGAGGCCGGTGTAGGTGGAGTTGTCGTTTATCTTCATCATCGCCTGTACACGTAATGACTATGAAGATGGTATAAAATTAAAAGTCGCCGTAAGCGAGCATGAGTCACCTTCTGACCGGCTTTATGCATACAGCCGAGACACCCCTTATTATACAATTTGACCAAGGAAGCTGTGGTTTTGTAATTGTGCATTGTATCAGTATGTAGTACATCTATATGCGTAGATTCATGGTAGTATTCTGTATCAAATCTTGTGAAATCAGTATGCAATCAAGTAAGATGTCAAAAAATCTGGCAAAATAATTGCTACAGCACCTAGCGTCTCGATGGTCATCAAGATGACCAGATGTTATGTGTATTTGATTTACGACAGTTTAAAACTAAATGGCAACAGCCATGGTGACAATGCGTTTACAACGCAATAACGGTTTAAATGTGGCGCAAAATGCGACATATTACACTGAGTATATAGTGCAGGTAGTTGCTGCTGAAGTGATTATAATTAATTTTTATTCAGAACACTGGAATAGTAAAATCCAGTTAATGACCTGTTTCTATGATAAATGGTTAATAAGGTTTTGGTGCAAATATTGATTGCTGTAGCAATATTATGGTAAAAACATGATTTTTAACGTCCTGATAATGCCGTGTAATTAATGATCGGGAACGATAATGCATGTACCGGTACGTAAAGATCAAAATAACGATGTACGCAGGTGTAATTTACATGTTTAATGCACATTATAACAGTACTTGAATTAATTTGCTATAATAATTCGAGCGAATTGTGCCGTGTGCCGCACGTAAAGATAAAAGACAATATCGGACACTTCACTTACCTTATAAGCCGTTCCATGCGGGCAGATGACCTTTGTATGCGGAACCGTATTCTCATCACCCAGCTGCGTAAAAATCGGCACCAGTGTCCTATTATAATCAGCAAATTCATCGATAAATTGTGGTATACTGTAATTATTCGTCGGTAGATTATTCCAGTCGTGCTTCATCGACAGGATTTTATCCCAGATAATGTCGATTTTGTCCATATAAGGGAGCGACAGGAAGTTGAGCGGCAGCGTCCCGGTTCCCGGTCCATTCAGCCCGTCGCTGCCCGTCGGGCCACCGGGCGGCGCCACGGTCGTGTCATAGCTGGGATAATGGGATTGCGCCCGGACGACACCGCGCAAGGGGCACTGTTCGTACACCACTAAAATCAGCACGACATACAGGGAACGCATGACGACTGACACGAAGTGCGAGAACATTTCTGCGTGGCATTAGCGACGCACTTGGCGTTACTTATACGAACCGCAATCGCCAGCGGCAATTGTTTTGCTCCCAGACGTGTTAACTGTATCGGTACCGTTATGTATCTAGGCGGTCTATAAATTGCAACAATTAAAGCAACAAAGTAACGGATACAGTGTTACGTAGAGATGCAATAAATTTAAACAAACTTCAAATAAATTTAATTTAATTGTTGTGTTACAGAGCTCACAGTGTGTGTATCAGCGTTGTTACGTCGCAATTGCCACAAAATTCCAATGGATACATTAAAGGCTAAACGTAATAATTTATAAAATTGTTATTCTGGCGCCGGTTCACAGCGTGCTGCGTACAGTATCCTTCACTATATTGCGGTTGTAAGGTTGACACGTCGTAAATTAAGTTAACCGAAGAGTGCGCGGATGTTGTGAGTTTTTGCGCTGTAGCTATTTTTTATGGGATGACATAATTAGCAAATTGTTACACTTCATATTTATATACATTTAAAATTGCAAATGTCTCATAAACGCCACAAGCGGTCGAATGGCAGCACCTGAAGGACACCTGACCCATGCCATGCTAGCTGCAACGCAGGACAGTTAATTACAAAGCACACTGTTCAAGAATGTGGTGCTACATGGCGAAGATTTGGTAACATGAAGATGATAACGCTAGTTTGCGTGCCAAGAGCAAATTGGACAATATCTGTTATGATTCGGTAATGAAATCCAGTAAATAATGCAGCAGCGGCCGTGTTTACGAATTATTACTGTAACGTTTGTACAAGCATTTTCCGTAATTTCTATTGCATTAAATCAGCGATATTACGTTAAACTCCATACTACGGCGCGCTGCATGCCACACGATTTATATACGCTCTACATGCATTTTACAGAGGCCGATGTTTGCCAAATATCGATTTAAAATTTATTAACTATTTATAAAATAAATTATGAATTATAAATATCGTATAAATTAATCGTATAAATTATGAAATACTAAATTATGAAATTATCTTATAAATTATGAATACTAACTTTTCTCCTTTGTGATAATTATCTTAAATCTTGATAGGAGTAAATTCGTCACTGTGGCAGAGGAAGTGCAGTCGCAATCGCTCATAGGGCAAAACACGCGCTGTCTGTGCCTGTACGGTAGAAATTACGGAAGAACTTGTAAATCGAGATTTTTCTCTATCGTGTGCTCAAATTTCATAACGTTAAACTACAAATTTTATTGATAAACGATTGCCGAAAGCAAATAAAAACGTTGCATTTGGTTACTAATGCCTTGCACGTTGCAAGCCTTGTCAGAAACTCTTAATTTTTATGGCTATTTTATCTGTATATGCAGTTAAATTTACCGGTTACCGGTGTGTGGAGAGGATGTGCGTATTAAAAACGGCGCTTAAAAGGTTACTCGTAGGCATCGCTTTGTTCGTGTGAACAAGGATGCCACTGTAGAATGCGTAAAAGACACCGTGTACAGTAATGCATTGTGCAACCATAATAAAAGCTGAGTCATGACGACCCCCTGAGAGCAGTTAAAAAACCACAATGATAACGGTAATTGCTGTACCCGTCAGCCATCACTCGCTTTAAGTCGCTTACTAGCTGTTACCGCCTATAAATTATTTTTTTGTTGACGGCATACTTCAGTATCTATAGATATACAAAAATCAAGTATGTAATTATAAAACAACACTTCTTCTAAATTCGGTTCACATAATGTTACATGATCATGTAACGAACCCTACAAAAACTTTATGAACAACGAGTGAATACATGGTATTGTGATACTGATTACTTATATAAAGATGGTCATTAAGGCATTAATTTTGCATAACCGTTTCAAATTGAGAGCTGCACTGGCTTATTATCTTTGTTTTGCCAATTAAAGTCTCGCGTAACTAGTAATAAACAACTGAATGCTGCCTTTTGAGCAATGTATTACACAATATTCTGACGCACTCTTTTCCTTTGTATAACCACAAAACTGTTTCGGCTTGGTGATTCAGCTTGCCGACACTTCGCACGACTGTCTTCAGGCCTGCATGTACAGGTGCGTGCATATACGAGAGGAACCGACAGAAACAAATGAAATCGGTTCCGTAAACGACGGTGACCTTTCCTGCAGCTCATAGTGGACGCGTGAAAATATCCTTTTTGCCGTAGGACTTCTATACTGTGGTTTCATCTGACCGGCCTTACAACAAAACTGTAGCGTTTTTGTACAATTAATACGCCTTCTTTTAGTACGTTTACAAATGGCTGCACCGCCTTTGACATATTCTACAAGGATTTTCATTAGGTTTTTAGGTTTAAACCTAAAAACCTAAACCTACTGTACCATGGTACTTAACGTTGGTGGTGCAGATATAACCGAAAAGTTCGATTTACTGGAGTATGACTAAGTCTGCACAGTTTTTTACGCATTTTAATCAAGTGTAAAAGTATAGCTACGGTAGTTCCCGAGATGCGTGCAACGCCGAGGAAACTAGACGATTTAAAAAAGTATTAAGTAGTACACATATAAATAGAAATTAAAATGACGGGATATCGAGTCAATCAGAAACTCCGTCCTGGTCTTTTTGTAGTGTCATACAGGGAGCGGGTAATACCGGAGTTTTAATGCCCGGACAAGAACGCCTAGGAGACAGTGCATTTTGACTTCTTCTTGACCTCCAACGGTGACGTCTCGTGTGCATGAATTTCGTGCAATTTGTTCGTTATCCATCCAGAATGGCCGATTTCGTCTTTGACATATCTGTAAGGAGCACACGTCACAAAAACTGCTTCGATTCCAACACTTTCTTAGAACAACAGGAGTACTTAAGGTTGGCACGTATGCATCACTAGGGTAAGAATGCAAGTAGGGTATTCTACTCGAGTTTTTCTGGCAAAGTGAAGCCAATAGTCAAATGCAAAGTTTAGGCTATGTAAAAAACTTATTTTTGAAAAGTTTCAAGCAACTCCAACTGGAATACGTGGGTGATCGACTGTTCATAATATGTAGCTGAAGTGGTTGGTTGCTAAACATAGCTGAAGTGCTATACGCGTAAAGCATTAATCACGCTCACCCCAGAATTTTCTCCGAATTGGAACTGTCGACTTCCGCCGACTTCAATTCCTTCTCCATTTTCTTGTTGTCGTGCTTGAACTTGTTGTGGAGATAGAGCGCCATCCGTAGCTGGCACTCTTCGGACATGGGGAAGCCGCAGGTGCACTGGTGCGTCTTCTTGTTGCATTCCCAGCAGTCCACTTCTTTGGTCTTGGTGGAGTGGACAAAGGTCACCGACAGCGCAGCCAAAAGGCCGCTGGCCAGAATGAAGAATGCGTACATCGTTGCTTTCAGTGGAGTGATTCGCGAAAACATCAGATTGTGCAATCTGGTCTTAGTTGCCGAGACATTACTGTGGTTAGCGTTTGTTGTTAATTTTATTCCCCGTCAGAGGAGCGTAACCCCGCAAGTGATCCACACGATTTCTTTCCAGCTGATATTCTTGGCTGCCTTTCTGTGCGGACAAACTCTTATTGCCGAACAGGTAAAGATCATACAGTTACTTATTAGTTTCGCCGTCGCTTTGTCTATGCGGCACAGAAGCAAATTTTTTCTACTAATTTTTGAAACAGGGTAGTGATTTTGTAGTATATCTTGGACATCGAGCCGAAAACGAAAGAGACATCAACGGAAAGATGGCGCTGTATATCCGCCAGCAGAATTTGAAATCCTCACCGCAGGCTTTCACCCTCGCCGGGATGATGCCTGTTGATCGTACCTGCTTGGCAGCGGTACAGTAAATTTTATCTTGGAGTAGAATATTTTATCTGTAGCAGTGTCTTTCTTGCAATGATGGCTCTGGTCATTTCTCGGTTTATTGCTGTAATCTCAAAGTTATAAGCCATTTATTAGCAAATAGCCCCAAATAAACAATTTCAGAGTTCAGAAAAGAAATTATTTGAGAAGTTCGGTATTTCCAAATTACATCGTTTTATTATTCACCAAATCCACGGAATCTTTACGGTTGTCATCGAAAGAAACAGAAAAACTATTTTCCAAAGTAACGAAATACGCCAGCTATCCCGGAAGCGAATTAAATCGGTATAAATGTGCAGACGTAATAAAAAAGTGTACAGTTCGCTGTGGGTAGTTTTCGACATACGTGCAGCGTGCAGGAAACTATAATTATAATAATAATAATAGTGGAAGTTTATTGTCCTTTGCACGGAGCAGTTGCTCCCTCTGGTAGGCTACAAACACAGAAGTCAAGCAAAGTAGAGAGATAAAACATTAAGAAGTTTAAGCGCAAAAACAACAATGGTAAGTAAAACTTGTCGGCGGCATGCAGTAACATTCCAACATAGGCGGAAAAGAACATTCGTAACTCGGTTGCGATCAGTTGATGCTACTTATGAAATAAAGGGAGGGAGACGATCGCGCTGGGGTCGATGCATAGACGATTTGAAACTTATTTTCCAGGACTACGGTAATAATTCGAAATTATAACCCACGCATCGATTAAGTTAATAAACGGAGTCAAACGGAAGCCTCCTTGCAGTGTAATAAAAAGCGGTACGTGATCCTGGAGTTTGAGTGGACGGACAAGAGCGTTTACGAGACTGTGCATTTTGACTTCTTCTTGAACTCTAGCGGTGACGTCTCGTGAGCATGGATTTCGTGCAGTTTGTTCATTATCCATCCTGAATGGCCGATTTCGTCCTTGACAAACCTGAAAAGAACATTTTTTATAAATCTTTTCTGCTTCTGTTATAATAGTTACTTAGAGCAACAAGAGTACTTAAGATTGCTAGATTGATGTACCCACCGTACTGGTGAAATCACGCATATGTATAGTACAGCACTGACAAGGCAAAAACGTAATATACCTACCTCGAATTTCTCTGGCACGTTTAAATTTTAAGTCTTTAATTCAAAGTAAAGACTATGTACAGCAGCTATTTTTGAAACTTTTTTACCTTCAACAAATC